AAAGCCCCAATATACGTAAAAATCACTATAAAAACAAACTTTATCTTATTTTCCCAGTAATATATGTAACAAAACAAATACTTTCCTTTAATTAAAGAAAATAAAACTGAATGTTTTTAATTTAAATAAAAATTGAAAAAATCGGAAAATAAACAATGTGGGACCCACAATAATTTATACATTACCGCTCGTAGCGATAACATTGCGCATGCGCATATTCCGCGTGTGTGAACATGGCAGACACAGTACAGACGTTCACCAGTCGCTTCCTTTTTTTTTCAATCATACATCAGGCCAGTTCTGAATTCTTACGTTATAATTGTGCGTCGTTTCGTTTCTTAACTAAATATTCCTTCTAATAATTTCCCCAAAACTGAATGTTTTTCACAGGAATACCTCAAGTCTACGACAAGACTTCGCAAACAATGTTTGTAAACAAAAACTTACCGTAGACATATCTGCATGTGCTTCCTCTATAAGTAGAAACCTCAACTCTCGCGAGATCAGGTCACGAACTTTCCGACGTCGTTCGGCAACAATCCTAATTTCGATGGCGGCGTGTTTAAAATGGAGGTGTGTTTACAAATAGCGAGTTTCAACTGCTCATATATCAATACTTTATGCAGAAAGTCATGGTAACTATTATTTGAATAACTTAATTTTAACTACATCTTAGAGAATATCTCAATAATTATGTGTGATTCTACACTAAAGGTTTGGTGAATGTTACGTATATTAGGGCTTTAAAGGTTCCAAGTGGACAAGACGAAAAGCCTGGCTTGATTCTTCGATATACATCAAACAAATCTAGAGTGTTTCTCCTTTGTAATCTTCAAAAGGAGCGTATCAGCCTGTAATTGGTCAGGCTTTTCTCCTGTAACCAATCAAATTACTTCTCTTATACTTCATATTGCCATGTCATTATCCAGATGTGCAAAGAGCAAAAGTGATTCTAACCCTGGAGTATCCAGGATGAGTAAGGACTGGCCGTTGCAAAAAAACAACGATGCAAAACTGATATCATTTCCTTTTAAACATCAACAATAGAAACACATAATATTTATTGTATATGAATATTTATTTCAATCTAGCATCAAACAATTCCATGACAAAAATCCAAGGGCCCTGACAAGAAATTTACATACGGAGTTGACTGATCAATCCGTTCAAACTCACGAATACACGAAGATGAATAAGACGTTATATCATATGTTCAAAGGGAAGTAACTCTTCTTCGTTTAACGTATTTTGCGTATTTACGGTAGTTTGCCTGTTGGTTCAGTTGTTGTGTAATTTTTTTCTCATTCGAAAAGGAGACATGACTTACTTGAATTGACCAAGATTAACACTGCAGGTGTTACCGATGAAGCAGAAGACGCCTACACTTCCGGAACAGCTGGTCTTCTTTTCCTTGTATTTTTTCATAGATCTTCATGTAAATCTTTCTTCTGTTCATATTTTACATTAGTTTTATTGATTGTCTTTATGTCTGTGTTGACATGTCAGTGATATTTTTGTCAATGTTTAGGACTTTGATATCCCGTCTAATAGTTCACATAATCAACAAATTAATAACCGATATTTAAAAAGTACAACATTGTAACGCAATTATTTTCACGAAATTTTGTACATGCCCTGGAACCAAATACGTTGTGTAATGCGATTGTCAGGTGTGAAGATATTATAGGATTGTTTCTTTATTAAGGAGAAATGATCTACTAATTCAGAATTAGTATTAGAAGGATTAGATCCCCTACTTTGTTTACGATATAGTCAACCAAGCTACCATTTATTCATTGAGCAAAGTTGATCCGGTGCTTAACCAAATTTATGAAACACTATTATTGTTTTTAGATATATCATATTACCTAATAAGATATCTTTTAACATTTTTAATTGTGGTATATCATTTATCTTATAAACCATATCTCAATAAAATATATCGGATATGATAAAGTATCTATAACACTTTATAGAGAAAAGTAAATGAGATTATACGACATCAACTTTAGATGAGATAACTTATGAGCATGTAGAATGTCTTATAAGAAATTAGATGTATTATATAATAAATAGAATACCTTAAATAATTTGAGTAAAATTACATCTATCTTTAAACGGAAAGAACTCTAATTGAAAAGCGTACGGATCTTACATCAGACTTACGTACACCAGCCATTAAACACTGGCGTCATAACGGGTTAAATTTACATGTGTAATACGAAAAAATATTCAATGCTTATATTCCCATTCAATCATGAGATAAATAGAGGATCTTACACTCGTGTCAATGTATTATGGAATTTATTAAACGAGTTCAATAATTTGATATGCCACGAGCCGATAGTGTCAATGTATTATGGAATTTTTTTAAACGAGTTCAATAATTTGATATCAATTTATTGAACGAGTTTAATAAATTCCATAATACATTGACACGAGTGTAAGATTCTATTTATCACATAACCAATTAAAATGGAAAAAAATCGTCAGAAAACTACGATTTACTTCCACTATGCAGCTGTTTCTATATAGGTCAAAACCAACACACAGTGATCATAGTTTTATCCATCCGTGTTGCAAATAGTACCTTTTTTTCAATGATTGAATAAGAGATTGTTATGTTCCAAAATAAAGCATTTAAATTCTGTTAAATGCCAAAATAACTTTTAAAAATCACACAAAAACATCTTCTGGAAATTCACTTGATATTGGTAACATGACGTCACTCGCATGACCTGGGAAAACGGGTCGGTTATGTGATAAATTCGAATATCACACTTTTGTCGGTGAGATTAAACTGCTCATGAGTCGAACACCTTTCATCTTCCAATGGACATTTGATAATGTTTGGAATAACATTCCGTTAAGCAATGGGTGTCGTCAAAAACGTCCTGTTTTTCGATACAAATAGATTCTCGGAGTTCCTCCGAATTTATGATTTTAAATAACGCAATTATTAGATTGTGTTAAGTGTGTTTTACTTTCTACGAGGGCTGATTGATAAGTTGTGAGCTTCATAGCTAAGGGTTTGAATTTTGGCGGAGATATTGCGTTGTTTTTCAACATAATCCCCTTCAATATCTATACACTTTTCTTCGGTCGACAAAGTCGCCAAATTACACATACGGCAGATTAAGCTCGCTGACTTAATTTGCATATTCGCCATCTTGATTTTTTTTTAATATACTATAAAGGTATAGCAGGAGAACAGAAAACGGGTACATTCTTTTTATTACCGGGGCCGGACACATTTTCAACGGTCAATTGTTACACCTGACACCGTTCCGAATGCATTGATATCAAACAATAATCATTATGTTATGCTTTCGAGGTTCTCACGAGAATCACAAAACTGAAGAGGTAAGCGCTATATAATCGGTGTCGTCATGTTACAAAATGGCATGATATCCCCGTCTTCGATAACTTTGAATGATATCACTGGGTTGTATTCTTCGAGAACGGCAAGTTTCACCGTATGTAATATACAGAACCGACTCGATATTGTCAGATTCCAGAAACAATACCGAAGAAGTAGATTTAAAGATTCATGAGACCTTTGAAAAGGTAAATAATGCATCTGTGCTCAAAAGTTGAAGGGGTCAGCAACGGGGAAACTAGGCTTATAACTTGCAGGGACAGCATGAAGAAAACAAATCATCAATAGGCATTCTGAATCCCGTGTTTAATCGTTTTACCAATAATAATTAGATTACTACTAAGGCAATCAGAGGGAGTATCACAATGAAAACTCGTAAAGTTATAGACAATCGAACATAGTTCAAATGTAAATGCCACTGACGAATTCATTTTGAATACTACTGAACAGGTGCAATTGTTGAATATATAGCTTAAATTCACATGCTCATGCATTAAACTGTATAGACATTATTTGAAAAATAAAAAGAAATTAAGTTTTGTTTGCCTCTAATATTGGATACAAAGTTTAAAAAAAATAAGGAAAAATCTATTTGTACCCCTCCCCTACCCCCGTTTCATGCATGCCGCCTCTCTATTTTGATGACGTCACAAATATTGACGTCATCATTTCATGAATATTATTGAGCTGAGCAGGCCTATTCCTCCACATGAGTTGTGTCATTACGGATGCGACAACAATCCCTTTGACTATTTTTTTCCTTATATTAGGACTTCTCTCTCCACGTGCCATAAACGACTGGAATAAACGAATTGTCTAAGGAAAAAAATGATTCTATATTAAGAAGCCGCCCATTTATCGATATGTACAGGACAAGCCTTTAGGAAGTGCGCATAAAATATCGGAAGAAATTGTCCGACTTAAGATTATGTTTGACTTTAAATACATCTGTTATAATATATTTGAATGTTGAGGAATTACTCGGAGACGTGCTGTCCTTTACGTTGTGTTATTTTTACCGTAGAACTAAGTGATGACGTCGTCTATATCTGAGTATCCCACAATTTGATAAGGCAAGGTTTCGCCTAACACTCTGCCAGTTTGATACTTGTGCTATTTGTATGGTCATATCAGAACTAGTTTTTTTTTAACAACTTTTTTAATAACCTTTTTAAAAATATTTATTGGTCCGTAATGATATAATGTCATCGGGATTCATTATGACGCCATCAAAATGTGTGATAAAGAAATTTTTTATACAATGTACCTTTTTTTTATATCACACCAATTAACAGCCTTTAACCTGAATGATACCAGCCATAGAATTTTTGGTCCTAGGGCTGATTCCAGGTCCTCGAGTTGGAAAAAAATGTGTAATATCATAAATGACATATGATAACCTGAAATAGTTACTGTGATAAAATACAGTACACATATACATATGGAATGGCGTCATATACACTCAAATATTGCATGGTTGCGTTAAAATGGATACTTCAAGTTTGACTCCTAAATGCACTAAACCTAGTGTGGCCCGTGTAAACCAAGTGTGCCTGACATGTTTAAGTCTGGTCCGCTGAACGCTTAATCATCGTTGTGTAGAATGAATGGAAACTCAAGCATGTACAGCACGTAGATGACCACAAATTGTATAAGCATAACAGAGCTACAAGTTGCGTAAGGAACATGAACTCACAGCTCTTTTTCAGTTTTAGATGCCTCAAGAGCTATGGAAGGTGTATTAACAGCGTAACCAGGTGTATATTTTATGATTTAGTTAACAATGCATTGTCTTTTGAACACTCTTTCGTGTAACTGTCGATTGTAACTCGGTAAGCTTACATCAACCTATTAACTTATTACAAATGTCTTTGAAGGTTCATACCGGAATCCAATGTTTCCAGTACATTAAATGACCGATAGTAAGCGTTTAAAATGGCTATACAAATCTTTGAAGGTATACGCTATAGGTATAACAGAGGTCATTATTTATTTCAATGCCTCCGCTAGGATTCAAACCCGGGACCCCAGACATACTAGTCATACCAAACTGATCGAGCTGGTATATTGCGCCTAGTACTTACCAGGGTAACATACTCCCCTCTAGGAAATAACTCATCCTCGAGTTTCTGGGGGTTACAACGATGCTGGTGGGACATGGCTTAGTACTACTATTCATTGGCCATTACATGTGTGCCAAGGTAACAGAGGTCATTATTCATTTCAATGCCTTAGCTAGGAGTTGAATTCGGGACCCTTGGCATACCAGCCTGACGCTCAACCGATCAAGTTAAAGCGGTATATTGCGGCTAGTATTTACCAGGGTTTCATAGCACTACAAACAAATTAAGCACAGTACATTAGTGGTACAATGATTAACGTGGTAGGTGACCAAATATTACAGACAAACACTTTTCGGTATTGCTATTGAAACAATGATACTTTTTTTGAATGATAGTTTCACTCACCTGCACATGTTTTCACTGTGGCTGCAATATGCAACTTGTCTGATTATTTTTTTCCTACTGTGGTCCATTATCTGTCCATAAACAATCCTGTTATCACTAGAGGATTATTTCCCGAACTACATATGTAGGTTCCCTCTCTCCGTAGTTGTGCCTATTCTACTTTAAGTTGAATCAGTGAATCAGAATGGTTGATGTACAGTGCTTATTGATTTCAACATTTGAAGTTTGTTACCGCTATTGCTGAAAAGTGCTACAGGGATATATCTCATAGTTCTATTGATTGTTTCCATTTAATTGTGATACTGATAAGTTAAATAGAATTGCAAACTGTCGGCCATCATGGATTTCAACTGTTGAATTATTTCTGAGACTTTCAGATTTCACTGTTTTCCCAGTTGTACCCATACAAATTGGATTCTAACTGAAAAACAAAATAGTTGAAAGACAGGCATCTTGGATTTTGACAGTTGAAGGTTGTTATCAGTATGACTTGAGAAGTACTGGAAAAAGTTGTTTTTCTAATTTTATGTCCAAGTTTATTTTGGTCCTATGTTGCACCCATTAATTTTGTGTCAGTTTGAGAAAAATAAAATTGCTGACAAGAGGATATTTTTAATTTTGACAGTTGAAGTTTGCTATTGTTGTCTCTTAGAAAGATATTTCATGTTATCACTCAGATGATTAATCAGAGCAGTGTTAGTTCATGATTGACCCAAATCTTAATCTGGTTATTTTCATGAACATCTGATCTGTAAATTTTGGTACATTTTTAGGATAATACCTGCTTTTTTGATAGTGACAGTACATGTATGACACTGTTTTGAAACATGGAGACATTTTTGATAGCGTAGAAATGGCGCTAGGAGTTGGTCACTCATCAATTGATGAGATATCTCCACCCATCAGAAAGCTAGGATTGGTAGTAATACCTAGTTCCAAAGGCTGCGACAGTAGGCTGAATAGTAACTGGGTTAAATGTAGCATAAATTATAAAGAGGAAAGAAGGGAAAAATAGAGAAAGGATCAATCTTACATAGAACCAATATCTACACTAAAAAGCAGACATCTCTATTTCAAGGCTTAAAATCCTTCTTTGTTATTCGTATTGTATTCGGTTGATGTATGAATTAAATTCATCTGGAAAACAAGGTATTTCTTAGCCTTGCAGTATTTTCAGAGTACTTATTTTCTTTCTTTTTTTTTTTCAGACCAAATGTAAGATCTTTACACAAAGCTGGAGTGCACTGTCAAGATGGATCAAAGGAGAACCCTGATATGCCAGAGTACATGAAGAAAAGATACAAACTTCTAGAATCAAACCCAGTGAAATATTCCACAGGAAAAGCTGCCAAATTTAGCATGACAGAAGTGGGATTTTCTTCAACAAATAAACCTCTACACAGGAATTTAAGCGCTGTTATAAGTTTATCTGTATTATTTATCTACTTAATGTGTCGTGAAGAGAATGACATTGATGCAAATATCTCATTTGATGCAAAAACTGCAGAAGAATTTCAAGAATACCTTGACAAGCTGAAAGCAAGAAAAGGGAAGTAAAGACGGTTATAAAATCTGACTTGACATTATATAACAATGTATTTTTTAGAAGTTATGTGGTGGATTATGTTGCATTCATTAAAGTTGAAGAAAAAAAGAAACATGCCTTTGTTATACTTGGGTAGTATACCATTCTAAACTTTTAAGACAAATTCCCAAATTGGGATTGTGGCCCAACTAATTTTTGTAATGAATTCGCCTGCATGTACAAGTTATCAATTCAATATACATTGTTGACCAAAAAAGGACTTTATGGTCCTTTGATGAAAAATTACGAAAGATTTGATATGAATTTGAGACCTGAATAAAAATGTCCAATGTTTCTTGCAGACTTTTACTTGTATAACCATTTCCATATTGGTTCTCATTTCAATATAGTAAGTAATGATTACTTCTGTCTGGTAGTATATTTATTACCAAATGCTGATCTAGCCATCTAGTGATAACTGAGTATAGCTGTCAGCCAGTTTTTTCATCAATCTCAAAATAGAGCATGCACAACTCTGACCAAGGTTACCCTAGAAATGAAAAATAAATTTTGGTGGAAGATCCATCCATTTTCCATGCCCATTCATCAGAAATAATGATAAATCAATGGCCATCTTCTTTTTTCAATCTGTCTAAAAATGAACAGTAAAATGCACATGTACAATGTATGAACAATTGAACTTACATATGAAATTCGAGAATGATACATTAAACATCTTCAGATAAAGCACCCGAGAACAGTCAAAATCAAAGATGGCTGCTGGTTGGCAATTTTGTAATTTAGACCAGTCCCAGAATGAGAAAAGGGTATGACCCTTCATTTATTCAGAATTAATTTGCTTTATTCCCAATTGTGAAACACGAACTTGGCATTCATCCAAAAGAATTTTTCAGTTAACTATATTTCTACTATTGGACTGCAACCCCTTTGGTGGAGACCTACCATTTATTAAAGATAAATTCCCCTACATCCAATAACATTTCAGACTACATAGACAGAACCATGCAAACCCTGAGAATTTCGAAAATTTGGAACTCTTCCTACTTTGGCCTTGACCTACAACTCATGACATTTGGATACTTCTGACAAAATCAGGTCTTTATCCAATCAATCATTAATGACAATAAAAAAAATATAAGAAATCAAAGGGAGATCTCTGCACCAACCATTGTTTGATCTTAAAGAAATTACTGTAATAATCCTTTGCTGCTGAATAAAGATCATTGCCTGTCAATCATTTTCGTTTTTCTGATCAGTCCAAAAACCTTTTACAACTTTCAGACCTGCAGTCTCCTGGAATTCCTAGAAAACATATGTTTGAAAGAAGATTATTTATCCCTATTGGGCCACTCAATGACCAAACCCACCATATCTACAAAATTGGTTCAACTTTCCCCAAGGATGCTTCAGACCAAATTTGATTAAAATCTGCTCATGAATAGGTGCAATATATAATAAAAAATGTCAGGTGCTGCAATATCCCTTTAGCTCACTGCAAGGAAAGCCAAAATCTTCTGTATGACAACAGCTTCATAAGTCAAGATACATGGTTGAAAACCTTTATTGAAGTTTTCACTGATGGCAGAACCAATGATGTCCTGACAAGTTGATTTTGCGGACATGATTGATTTTAGAACCTAGTCTCTGATGTATCATTCCCCTGTACTCATGAAATTAAATAATCTACATATCTCTATCTTGCCTTTCTGCACTCCTTTCGCAACAGTGAAAACTAGTTTCAATGTCTGAACAAGATACATGTACTGGTATATACTTCTATTTAGACTTCAGTTATCAGTGAGCATGGGAAGGAGGCGTGTCCAAAAAGGAATTGCCCCTCGTCAAGAAAACAAAATTTGAGTATGATTAGTGAATCAAGATTTGAATTTTCCCAAAGGTTTCATTTTTCCTCAGGCTATATGCATCTGCAGTTTATGTTAGTAAACAATGATTGTAGACTAGAGGCCACACAGGTCTTTATTTTGTGAGGAAATTTAATAATTATGTTCAATGTTTTTGAGATCGATAATAAAATGAACTTGTGTGCTAATTTAAGGTCAAGTTTCCCTGATGAGAAAAGCAGTGGCATCAGACATCCAACACAAAGGAAAATAAAAGTCCTGAAATGCAAACATTCTTGCATTTTTAAGTCTTGGAAAAAGATATTGCAATTCGTCACGAAAGAAATTGCCTATTTGTCCATGTTTACCCTAACTCAATGTTCTTTCCAAGCTATCTTGCTGTTGGCAATGGATCTAGCAATAATTGAACAGCAATGTGTAGACACTATATGCATGGGTTTGAAAGTTATATGAACTGAAACATGTCAACCAATAAAGTTTAAATCTACGGAATCCTTGGTGTTGATGCTCCATCCTTCATCTTGTTATATGAACTAATTAAGTGTCTTAAGGGCACCAGTCTGATGGTGCTTTCAAGATTTAACAGGGCCCTGAATGGCCATTACTATAAACCACAACAAAAATTGATAATAAATATACTACATTTATTTTGTTGACCAAAACGATACAAAAACACTTACAACACAAAAAGTCAATGATAGTAATGAACAAGATCTTGCATTGCTGCTTTGATTGCAAAGAACACTTGCAAAATTGAAAACACATTATCTTGTTGATCACTATAACCTGAAAGTTAAGAGCAAGAATACATTGTTTAAAAGAATTCACTTCGTTGATCAACTGTTAAAATCCAATGTTAAAACCAGGAGAGTAAAAACTGCTGCAATTGATGAGATGTTGAAATTCTACACACAAATCAGTTCATGAATTTAAGTCCATGCTAGAGGTATATATTTCATGTTATTTTTTTCCCCGGAATCTGTTGATCAATCCTTCGAAACACAAAAGTTGCACATTCTCAATTTTGTAGATCAACTAGTACGACTTGCATGATCTGTAGAAACAGTCTGATCATTAAGTTAAAAATTTCATGAGATGAGTAATGAAATGAAACTGGATGGAGTCTTTTTAAGCACGTTCACCACGGATTCTTCTTGCCAACTGTATGTCCTTGGGCATGATTGTCACTCGTTTCGCATGGATGGCGCACAAGTTGGTGTCCTCAAACAATCCCACGAGGTAGGCTTCACTTGCTTCCTACATTGGATAAAAGAGAAATGTTTGTATTCACAATCAATATCATTCCACCATTTTATCAATGATTATTATTAAGTAACAAAGTTTTAGTATCCATAAAGCAGACTTTATATTAAGAACTTGTACTGTTTGGACATCTTTTTTTAATCGCATTCATAGAAAAAAATTGTGAAACAGAAGAGTTATCCAAAGCAATCTGCAAATACATTTGAAAATCTCGGACACAAATCATTAACATAATATTAAAATGTAATACACCTACTCATACTTTTACAAAAAGTGTCTGTCAAATGAAACTGCAATTGCAAAGCTGCAGAGTTACAATAGCACAGACAATATTCTTGTGATACAAGATAACCACCCAGACAAGAGGTTAAATTTTGCATCCTGTACAGTAGCAAGGATGTTTACTTGATATCTTAAATTTTTTTTTAATTACCTGGAGAGCCCCAATAGCTGCACTCTGGAATCGGAGATCTGTCTTGAAGTCCTGAGCAATTTCTCTAACCAATCTCTGGAATGGCAATTTCCTGATGAGCAATTCCGTAGACTTCTGGTACCTCCTGATTTCTCTGAGAGCTACTGTACCAGGCCTATACCTATGTGGTTTCTTGACTCCACCTGTGGATGGTGCACTTTTCCTAGCTGCCTTTGTTGCTAGCTGTTTCCTTGGGGCTTTTCCTCCAGTGGATTTACGAGCAGTCTGCTTTGTTCTGGCCATGTTGATTCACAACTTGTTCTAAAAAGCACAAGTGGACAGATCAAAAACTGTATGCATGGAAATCTTTACATACAAAAGATGCCTGTGCTGCGAATGTATAACCGTATTAATTCTTCCTGAATATAACTTTGGCCTGTCGGACGTTCTTAATAAGTCCCTATGAAGTAGACTGTATTTGCGAGACATTTTTACTCAAACGCATGAAAAGCATGCCATATCGACAAAGGGCAGTGAAGTAGTGATATGGGATCGGCGACCAGTGCAACTTTAATAAAAACTCTTGTATTTACTATATGGGACATTTCGATGTTGTTGTATAAACTCCAACTAGTAGAATACGAGTTTAGACCACTTTACATATCTCGCCTTCCATTACCCTTTTTTGGCGGGATCATGAAGCGGTTTTGAAAATGTCATATCTATAACTGCTATGCTAGCAACAAGTATACAACACTCTTCGGTAAACCTACAAAGGCTTATTGAAGCTACAGTAACTTTGTATGGTCTATTTTTATCTAAAACAGGAAGCAAGTCTAAACCGCGCAAATTTCTATAAATAGAACCTACACGAGCTATGTTTTCATGTAACGGACAAAATTCCTTAATACTCAACAATTTCAATCACACCATTACTTGCTACACTAACTTTCAATTGCAGGAGATACAAGATAGATATCCAAATTGAAGAATTTCCATGTGGTTTCTTTTGGCAATGTTTCATATCGCCATACTAACAACAATAAAAATGGCGTCTACCACGTTGAGTTACAACTGTAGGAAAAACAATGAGACCCGGTCATTAAATGGGATACTAGGTATATGAATAAGAATCAAAATAATGTAAAGACTTAATAAAATGTTTTTCTATGGCATATTCGGGTCGTTAGGGACAGACACTACGTCTTACCTTCTTCTCTGACGACGATTTACAATTTGCCGCACAAATTTTCGCTACGAATTGTGGATATGAATACAAAATGAGCTTCACACGCAACGTCATTTTGGAATGAGATTTCTCATTGGTGGATCGCTAAGAAAGACCATGGAAATCATTGGCCGTGCATTCTTGTTTACCATTGGTCATTCAGAGCTAGTATGCAAGGTAGCGATTAGTCAATTTTGAGACTATTTCATTGGCTAAACTTTCAATCCTACCTAGGACGATTTTCGTCAAAAAGGAACGATCTATATAGTAATAGGCGAAAGACCGTAAATAAGAAAATTAATTAATCGATTAAAAGCGGAGTATGAAAAAAAAGATTTCTTATATCACACATTAGAGAAAACTATTATGATACACCAAAACACATAAGATAATTGTTACTTATATGATATATTCTCTAATAATATATGAATGATTTTTCTAAATCCTTGATTATGCCTAATTTACATTAGTCACATTAGTAACTTAAGACTGAATATTCAGCTTAGGGTTAGAAATCAAGCACGAGATATACAGATTGTATCTAGAAAATACATTGTAAAACAGATCTATGTTGTATCTATGTGATATTTTTCTAAGTCAGACATAGAGGACTAGTGTAGTGCAAGAACCAGTGTATCTAATAAATTCACTCACCGTTGTTTATTTTTGCGTGTGGTTTTCCGACTCTGGTTCTTTTTTCACCAAGTGTCTAGATTATTAAAGAAAGCGAGTCGTTCTTGTATTTATACCAAGTTTCTAGGAACCTTGTAAGAATTTTCCCTCAAGGAACGGATATTGATTCAAATGGTGTTAACGGAAAATGATGAGATTTTTATCTTAATTGACAGTCAAAGACCACCGCCCTTGTAGTGTGACGTTTTGTCATCTAAACAGACCTGTATGGCAGGTTATTAAGGCCGAAATTAGCTCAGCAATCAATCGACTAGCTACTGATCTAACTAGCTCTACAGGTATCAATGTCGCCGAGAGCGTGTCCATCTGCTTTGTCACTAAAGTCTCACATAATAATTAATTATTATAATATATATATATATATATATATATATAAAGTCTGTGGACTATTTGATTGATAACCTTTGAAAATCTAGACAAAATGTAAGAAGACCATTAACTCTAAGCTAATAAACCTACACTGATCATCGTGTTACATTTGAAAAAAAGAGAGATCGCAAAAAAAGAGAAACCTCTCCAAAATACTGGTGTTATTTATAGGCTTAGTAAATAAACTTCACCATCTTCGGAAGTTGTTTTTGGAGAGAGTTGCTTCCCTTCGTATGTATCCTACACAGACGGTCAGCTAGCTCATTGACCTAGAAGTTTCGCCGAAATGAACGTGACATTTTTACATTTCCAAAAGAAAAGCAATCTTGTAATGTCTAAATGCGAAGAGTTAAGTTGTATAAATTATCGTAATAATGACTTGTCAATTTCAAGACCACGGCATTCGATATATAATGTAATTAGGCCGACTTCTTAATATTCAGCCAGCGACAAGAGTTCTGAATGTGTAACTCTGCACATTCCATTAAATTACATAGGATCATTCTACAATCGGTAAAATTGTTGTATTTTTTTTTTCAAATCCGGGTATTAATTTGTATAGCTCAAGGTAATTAAAGGATTTAAAAATTGAAAACCTATTCCAAATCTGTAAATATCAATGGGATTTAAAAGACGGTGTAACAACAAACCCAAAGAAAACAAAATATAATCGATTCGGAATTTTTTAACAGGAAGTATCGATGTTGTATTACTGAAAATACCTGAAAGTTATTCATACTTTTTTTCTTATTTTAATTTCAGTCTATCTTTTATAATGCGAAGACGAAGTCGTTGAAGAAATATCAAAATAAATCCGCGTCTAAAATACACTCCATTTAGTACTTCTCAAGAAAATGCTATCAGATTTTTTTTTCACAGTCAGAATCCAAGACGGTAGTCTGTCGATCATTTTTTTCTTTGAATCAAAATCCTCAAAAGACAACATTATAATGACTAAGGGAAACCTTCATACGGAACGCGGGAAAGATCCACCCAATAAAAGAACTTGAAGAAAGAAAGTTGCGATAACAAACGCTAATTGTTCAAATCCAAGATAGCCCCTTGTGTCAGTGCTATTTTTCAGTCTTAAAATTGTACAAGTACACAAGATACCAAATCCGAGCCTTCAAATTAAATTTGAAAACGGCAATTTAATATAAAAACCAATATTGTCGCCTGTTGACCATACCGTTTTTAAGCGTAACATAACACGTACGACATTCATATAAAATTTTAAGAAAATAAAGTAATTTTTAATATGTCGTTTAGTTTTTCTGCTTTGTAATTATGAAAAGCGACAGAAAATTAAATTGAGCTATGGTGTTAGATTGTATTTTGTATTTCTAGATGTTTTTATATCGTAGTGATCCAGATTTTCATGGTATGTATCCAACCTTTTTGACAAGTAGGTAAGTCGGTGCTGCCAAAATCATATCTTACTGGATAATGTTAAATGTTTTAACAATATGTAAACCTATTAATGAATATAGATCCAGTTAATTCAATGTTATAGTAATGTTTGTCCTGTTTGCTTGCCCTCAGCCTCTCCTTGTTAATATGATATAGATGAAGTAAATGTTATTGCAATATTTTTTTCGGGTCGCCTTCCGGTGTCTGTGACTGATTGCCTTATCATAACTTAACATTTTAATAAGGTACATCCATTTGATAGCCGTCTGGGTTTATCAGGCTTGCAGGGGCGTAGCTTCCATAGAAAAAAAAGCCCGGGCTTACACATAAAACAAGAGGCCCAAGGGGCCTTAACGGTCATCTGAGGAATATGTGTAAATAATCTGGGAATTTTAAAATGTTGCAAAAAATGTAATAACACTTGTGCAGAACCATGTGTAAAACATCTGTACCAAGTTTGAACATGACCCACCCAATGGTTCTTGAGAGGAAGTCCATAATGTCTTAGCCAAACAGAGGCCAGGGTGGCCATCTTGGATTTTGAATCGCCCCAAAAAAGTTAAAACACTTGCCAGGACCTTGTGTAGAACATTTGTATCAAGTTTCCACTTTTTCCCCCTCCTGGGGCCCCTATTTGGGCCACGCCCTTTTTCCTCGCAAACTTGAAGCGGCTTCCCATGGGGATGCTTTGTGCCAAGTTTGGTCACAATCCATCCTCTGGTTCTTGAGAAGAAGTCATTTAATGAAGGTTTTTACATATGGCCCCTTTTACACCCCTTACGGGCCCCAAAGAGGACATTATCACTTTTTTCAACATAATTTCATATGTCCTTCACTAAGGGATGCTGTCTACCAAATTTGGTAGAAATCGGTCAAAGTTGAATTTTCGACCCTTTTGAGCGCCCCCTAGTGGGGCCGTATTTGACCCGATTTTTTTTCATTCGCAAACTTTGTCGACCTTGCCATAAGGACCCTAAATATCAAATATGAATTTAATCTGACGGTTGGTTCATGAAAAGAAAATTTTTAAAGATTTACCGAATTTTACCCCCTTTTTCCCACTCCTGCGGCCCCTATTGGGGCCACGCCCTTTTTCTTCGCAAAAATTCATTCAGTGGTTCTTGAGAAGAAGTCGAATATGTGAAAAAGTTAACGACGCACGACGACAGACAAATCATGATGGCAATAGGTCACCATGAGCCTTCGGCTCAGGCGACCTAAAAAGGCAGTGCATAGAGAATGTCGGACAAAACTAAAGTTGAAAATAAATATCAGGAGTTGAAGTTTGTTGTTAAATTAATTTTTAAAAAAAACTGTCTCAGAAAACGATTCAAAACATCTTTGAAATCATCAAATTAAGACCCCTCGCTTGGGCTTACACATTTCTGCCGGGCTAGCTACGCCCCTGGCTTGTACATTCTCAATCATATTCATACGATGTTTACTACTTTATTTCAAATGACCTCGAGTACATGTTCGCAGAGTACACAAAAATCATTTAATCCATTAAATCATGAACGTACTTCAAATAACACTACCTCTATAACACCGTCTTTCAAAACGTCTCAGGATGTTTTAAATCCGGTACGTATTATACGTCCCTGGTGTCAGTAGAATTTTCGGAACCAACATGATTATATCATTCCTGCTTTCAGACTCTCCCTAAGTAACTCTTTTCTGCCATCAAGTTTACGTCTGTGGAATTCGCTAGACAGTTCAATAAGAACATTACCATCTTTGAATGCTTTTAAATCTTCTTTATCTAATGACGCTAATTCTTGTCCTCCATCTTATTATAATTTTGGCGAACGTAAGCTAAATATATTACATACGAGACTCAGACATCAGTGCAGCTCTTTGAAAAGTGATTTGTTCCGTGTTAAGATTGTTGATAACCCATCGTGTGCTTGTGGACATTACTGTGAGGATGTTGGGCACTTTTTCCTAGAATGTAAGCTTTATGATAGGGTAAGAATATCTTTTTTTCAAAGTATAAACATGTTGAACTTAGATCAAGTGAATTTACATCTATTTTTATTTGGAAATGAAAATCTGTCCCTAACCACCAATACAGAAGTATTCAGACACGTGCAAATTTTTATCAAATCCAGCAACAGATTTTAAGTAAAATGTACTAAATGTTAAATATATTATGTATGCCTTGTTAATGTTATCATGTAAATATTGATCATGTATTGTATTAGAGGAAAAGGCGGTCATAAGTTGAAATAACTTGTGCCTAATCCTCTGCTCAATTTTGGGGCAATAAATATGTTTAAATCAAAATCAGTCCCTGGTGTCTGTTTGTTTCCATAGTTATGACATTTCTCAGCCCTGCTCACTGCTACCGTATTAATGATAAAGTTATTGTCGTATTAACTAACAGACATCGACCTAAATTGAAAAGATCAATGCCAACAAGTTTTGAAACCGTTGACTTATCCTATGTGACATTCAGATGAGTGAGACATTTCAGTCAGAATTAATCGGTCTCTATTGTAAAACTTTTCACTCCTCACTAAATGTCTTCTAATGAGCTCTGAAATGACGCCCGCATGTGCTTGGGGAAAAAACAACTTGTTGACAAGTTCCACTTAGTTCAAGATTTTGTAGGTTTCTAGCCTAACTGTCCGGAGACGTCTTACTATTTTCGAGAAAGCGAGAATTCAAACTTTCCGGGTAGGAAATGTTCGCAAGTTTTACCAGTTTCTTGGGTTCTTTCCCTGGAGGATACAAGTATTCAAGATAACCAGAGGGATTCTATTGCTAACGTGGATATTGAAGTTGATGGTCAAATATCTGTGCACAAAGTCCAGTATTTGAACACAGTAAAGTACTGCGTTATCTTCATGCGTTCGTAATCTGTAATTGTCATGGTTGTTTATACGAGGAAACTTCAAAGCAATGATAAATACTTGGTAACAATGACCAGATATCAGTGCTAATCCTATTGAAATTTCAAATGATTAACTCTGTTGTCCTCAGTGCTGTCTGTCCTAACCCAATACTTGTAATCTTTAATGGCACCTTACACCTAGCCAAAATCCGGAATTTTGAGAGGATTATAGCTAGGTTGATCTCTGACATTGGAAGTGGATCATCAGTGTCGACAATATCTATTTAACAAGCTTAAGCTCCGCTATTACGACATTTCAACTGTCGAGAAGGGATGTGAAAGTTACAGTAACAACACAAAAAACACCATTAATGAATATAAAAAACAAAGACAGTTTCAATATATATTCAATATTTTATGAGAATTGTGAATTATTACAAATGCTTACTCAGGATTGAGTACAAATAAATCTAATACAGGTGTGTATCAATAAAATTCACAATTTTAAATTACATTAACAGCAGGTTCCTGATGAAACCATTCATACACATTTCTAGCTGCAATACCATTGAAAGGTGGTAAAATACACTTGGTAATCCCCTTTCTTAAAGTTCTAAGATAAAGTCTACTGTTTATGTAAAATTGACAGCATGTTTGTTACATTGTAGATGTTCAGTACCAATTAGCTTCTGGTTAGCTACAAGTGAGATTATCACAATGAACTGAACTATTCTGGAAATGAAAACTACCAGGGACATGAATATTAGAAATTAACCCAATTGATTTCTATAAATATATTTACAGTTTTACTGGTTGTTCTGATTGTATCAATGATCAAAATTTATTTTTTGCTTTTCCTGGGGTGGCACTTTGTGCCAATTTATGCTATTAATATATACCACTCCCCTCCTTTTTCTGACCTGTGTAAATATTCAGAATGTTGATATTTAATATAAAAAATAAACTCCTATATTACTTATAAATTGTATGGCAATCTATTAGCATTGAATCAATTCCATTAAAAAAAGTGTCGTTATTTTAAATTGTAAAATAAGGAATTTTTGACATCTAAGTAAACCAAATATATCTTAAATGAGGAAAAAAAATCTCTACCATTTGCAAAGACACAATCACAGCATGTGCTCACATGTGAATGTGTTCTAACATTACTAAAACAAACTATAATTCATATCACAATAATTGTGTTTTTGTGGATCAATCACTTTCAAATATATTTTTGTCAATCTTTATACAAAATTTAATTTCTTCCACTCTTTGTAATAAGAAACACCTGGCTGAGGGGGAAAATCTTTTATAAAAACATGTACTGCCAAATATGCCCTGAGTATAACACATTTTAATGATAACATGCATTACCATATACTATAAAATAGAACCTTCCTCTCATCACACTCTCTAGGCCCAAACCAGCGGGCCGATCTCTCATCAAAGATAGTATCACCTTCCATAACAATCCGCTCATACCCAGGTAATAACAGATCATTAATGAATCACTCCAACATGGCGTAGCAGCATCATCCTAAATATTGCTGGACATTTTGTATCTTGCAACACATAATCAATTGTAGTTCATAGATTTCTGAGCCATCAACTTGAAGACAATAGTAAATAGATCAAAATCACTGAAGTGCAATATGACATGAAAAGAACAATACTTTTGATATTATACAAATTACACCTACTGTCATGCGGTTGTGAAGTTACATGCAAAACCAAATACTACTGACAGATAGAACTTGTGAAAACTGTTGAAATAACAGGAAGTAAAAGTTGTTACTCCGATTAATACGGATTGGAAAAGTACAGTAGAAGGTACCCAGAGAACTACAACACTACATACTACTTCAAGGTTTAATTTCCAAAAGCTCAGCCTTTTCTCGTCAAAGTAATCGCATCAAAAGTTTATGAAATGTTTCTAGAAACAAAATCAATGAAATTGTAAAATCCACACTACATAGTTATCAATAAAACACTTTGTGAACAGGTTGCTATAGTCCCAAAATATGACAGAATGTACATTTATTGCAATGAGATAGGGAAAATACAACCTATGGATTAACACTGATGATTTAAAAACAATAAACACCTGTGATAAAATACACCATATACCCCAAAAACATCAATCTGCTGTGAAAAAGCTAGTTCAGAGGGAAAATGAAGTGATCGTAGACTCTCCTGCCTATAAATCTACTTCATCAGTATTAAATGCTTAAAATAACCAAACAAGACCAGTGTATCTGTAATTATATACATCACCACCTATTTAACAAATAAGGATCTGGATGGCACACGTTGATGATTATATACAGCAGGTAATCATCTTAAACAGACTGCATGAAGTTTTTGTCTTGCACAAAGTACAAAAATCTTTCAAAAATTTGTGAGAATTATTTCCTTGTAAGGGATTGATGTAGACTAACATATTTATTCTCTATTTTGAATCAATTTACATTATTAATGAGTTGGTGTTTTATGGTAAAATATGTCAACCTCGATTATCCTGATCTTATGCTACAGACTAATATGCAGGAAAACTACTAGGAAAAATTGGCTTTCAGAAACCAACTCACCACACAATTTATTATGATCAATACTTAAGTAATCTAAGAAGACCTTTTTGACAGATTTAAAAGGCAGAAGTTTTTGTGGAGATTGTGATGTGGAACATGAACCACCATTTAGGAATAAGATAATATCAGTTATATTGTAACGTTTGGTGTGAATTTATTGTTGCTTGAAAACGTTAAATAAATTTATTTCAATTTTCAATTTCAATTTCAAAACTTAATTGCTTGCCAAAAAAGGCTTTAAAGATTCTTCAGGTGTTTAACAAACTGATACTAAAGTCTTGGGGGTGGGGATGGGGGCGGGGGTGGTGGTGATGTTTTACATCATAAAATGTTGCGATACTCCTGGAAGTCACAGACTATCTTTTTTTCTCTCCAACCACTGATAAACTTGCATAGATTAACCAACAGTTGGATTGAAGAATGGACCATCATAAATATCTTTAATTCATCTTACTTAAAGCAAATGTGGAGTTGGCGAAATGAAACACCTATCTGAGTATAATCCTTAATAATTGATGGCACAATTAATAATTTCATATGATTATGGAATCTGCTTTATGGAGCCGTCATTAAACAGGTTTAGAAGGCATTTCATTCATTTTGAATTAAAGTACAAACAAAGCAACAATAGGAACATCAGAAAATAAATAAACACTCAAATTGGAATTAAGTGACATGGCCATATACAGTAGAAATGTTTTAACTCATATTTCCATGGTAACCAAGTCTATATGGAATTTGTTTTTACATTAATTAGAATGAACAACAATTTACAGAGAATTCGAAAATGTCTTCTGTTGTATTAATTTTCTCATCTGATAATTTTGTAATTTGTACAAAATTATATGTAGCAGCATCAGAAGTTCAACAACTTGCTCTGGGGATAATACAGAGAAACTTTGGTCACAAATGCATGGTTAACTGTTAAAATGTACAGTTCAAAGACTTTGTTACACATTCTTTAAACAATGTTTTACATCATGATAAAGGCTCGAAATGTCATTCACCTGAGAAAAAGATTTTCAGGATCACACAGCTTTTTCTTCAAATCTAACCAAATAAATTACAAACCAAACACAAACTATAGAACATAAATCGGGCCTTACTTTGCTATTTCAGGAAGCTAGTCTACAGACCATCAAGATGAAAACAAGAGTCTGTCTAAGGCCGAGATATTGAAATTTTTTTTTTCAAATAACATGATAAATGAAAATAAATATTTCACTACACACAATGGGACTAAATTTGATTTCACTATAATTTACTGATAACCATACAACTCATGCAGAAATGAAATATTTTGAAAAAATGTAATCAACAGATTTTCCTCTCGTGATAATAAAATGTATCCAGCATGTCATTAGAAATATGTCAATGACTGTCGAACAAGTCGCATCTTATGCTATATCATCAGATATTTGAAATGAGAATAAATTTAATATGAATTGGTGATAAGCAATAATTTCCTTCATTTCATTTTCATTGACTAAAAAAAAATGGGCAAAAAAAAAGAAAAAAAAACTATAAATAACCAGAAAGCAATGACAGAATCGGGATGAAGTTTTAAGTAAGCACACATGAATTTTTGCCAAGCAAACATGCCTTCTCCCTTTTTGATTATGATTTGTTTAAATGCCAAGTCTAACCAAACACCTCGAGCAACACATGTTATCTGCCTCAAACCTTTGAACAAACTGATTTCTATGGTCATTTATCCTAGTAGTCTGTTTCTTGAATGACCAAATCAGAACTTTTACTTTATACTTTCTTCAGGAAATGCTGTAATAATGTACACCCTCCATATATTTTACACAACAGAACCAACCACCAAAGGAGAAAAACATTCAATTCATGTTTTTTTTTTTTTAAAAAAACAAGCACAGATTCATCTTTTCTGAAATCTATGAAAAAACATTCTTAAACAAATCAAAACAACAGAATAACCAGGATTGGTTTATCAGTATTCCAAAATCATTCTGATCTTCAAACTTTTGACCTTGACACTATAGCAAGAATCAGTTAATGGCTACATGATAAATGTATAACTTATTGTCAAAACTTGTGTTAGTGTCCGTTTCTTTTCAGTAAACAAACCATAGGCTGATACCCTGAGTTATGTTTAGGCTAACAATGCTCTGTAAAGGCTAATTTTCCGAAAACTCTAGATCCTGACATATGTGTTACTTGTGACCTTTAAGTTACAAGCCTTTTCTCATTTTCACTTCAATAAATGACTTTGACCTTAAGTATGGATTCATAAATATTTAATGAAAACTATGTGAAATTTGTTAAAACCAAGCTTACAGAAAATGTTCCATCAGTTTGAAATTATGGACAAGGACATGTTAACAGTTGAGTCTGCTGGCAATGTCATACAATATAACAACCAGAAGAGTTGAAAATGCAGGAAATATCTCCAAATTTAACACTATGAGAAGAAAAATTTCATCTAAAATGGTGTCCATATCAGCATGCTATTGAACTTTGTGCAAAGTGTTTACTGTTTTTCCCTGGTCACAAAGTTATTTCACTCCCAGTAGGAATTTCAACTTTTAAAACAATATGGAAAAGACAAACAGTCTAGATGAAAATGTGATATAACATTTCAATACCATTAAATAGGATGAGGAAAAAATAACTAGGATGAGTACTGAGGCCTGTTGATAATATATTTGTCCACTTCTTATGGGATACAAATTCATATTCCATTTAAGGGATATATGATTCCTTCCTAGCAAGCAGACTTTACCATTTTTAAAATATTCTGTTATTCATCCAGATTGATTGATCTAGTAATACATGAAAACTTCACTACTAAAAATAAATTGAAGCTACATACATATTCATATTAACATCATTTCTATTTTATAATCAAGATATAAATATATACTAATTATAATATTGCAGATGAAACAAATAGTTTATCAAACCAGTGATAATACATTTTGAGTGTATCAGATATTGAAAACCTACTGAGAAAGCATTTCAAGTGTAGTTGTTGCAAGAAATCCTACATGCATCAACTTAACAATTGTAAAATGAAATAAAAATATTTAGTTTTCTGACAGAGGAATTGCTTACTGGGAACCTTAGCACTAAGCACACAGGACTATGTGTACAAGCTGGGTAAGTACTTCATTATCAAAAATAATATCAAAAGTACTCAACACTACTATCACATCTTCCATCAGAAACATAACAAACATGTTCCCAGTGTACAATTTTTCACCCCAGAAATAAATTCAGAACATAATTCCAACAAAATGAGAAAATAAAATTGATAACAATCAGTGATGAAAATGAAATGATTAGCACTTTTCAAGTCAATTTTCATTTTTAAATTTGAAAATCCTAAACGAGTCCTTTATTACAACCTGTTGTATCCTGTGTTTGGTCGTGGTACTTGTGCATGGCATACAGGACATTCCATAATCTTCAAAACGCATGATTCACAAAACACCTGATGTCCACATTGTAACCTGCTTGAAGAAGCCCTTTCCTTCTCTTGGCATATCAAACACTTCACATTATGGTGGTGAAACATTATTAACTGAAATGGAAAAGAAGTTTAGAGTCTTGAGTATTATCAACCATATGAACAGAAGTACACACAATGAAAAATGAAAACCAATTATGTTGGGGAATAACAGATTTTTTTTTTTTATATATTTCTTACCTAGATTATTATTGATTCACAAGTCACACATTATTTTCTTTCTATAGTTTAGTTTTTAATAGATGGTTATGTTTGTTAATGAGGAAAACATTATCAATTGCTTGGTCACTTTTTCCAGCACCAATACTTAATTATTTCAACACCACTAGAATACACCAGTGATATGCATTCTGCTTTCTTACCTGAAAGATTAACCATAGTTAAATAAAAGTTTGTCTTGAGTAGCTTGCACTCTTCCCTTCCTGAATTCCCAGATCTTCATTTCCATCACATTTACATACAGAATATTCTACTGTAGCTATACTTACCCCATCTAGTGTTTTCAAATCTCGTGTCAGCTGTTGGTGAAGCTGTTGTAATTGAGGAATTCCTAAGGTTGCCAACTCATTCACTCTCTGTAGGTATCTAATTTGAGGCCCATTCTGTTTTGAATCTGCTTCCTGCTGTAGCTTTTTGGCATGAATAATAGCCTGGAACATAAAGACGTAATCACTAAGTGAAGTAAATCTGATAATATTTTCCAAATCAGTAATTTAGAATTGAAATGGAGAAAAATAGGAAATGTTTTCATTTCATTTTTTTCCTTAAAAGGGTACAACAGAATTAAACAATCCAGATATTTTTGATATGTTGACACAGAGTTTCCCCTGACCCTCAAAAATCTTCAGTTTCACTCCTTAAATTGACTACGACCCCTAAAATTAATAAAGTTTTACTTTATTTCATACATTATGCAAGTCCCCAGACTCTTACAATACATCAATTTGACTATCCCAGGGAAAACTCTTTAAACAATACATATACAACTGAATAAATATTTGATGCTACAACATATAATGTTAGCTTTTCATGCAGCAAAATGGTAAACTATTGAAGTTAACAGCAGTCATCTCTAATCTATTTAGTAATAGATTGGATTATTATGGTAATTCAACTTTCAATTCTTGCCAATTCAGTTATCATAATATTTTTAGTTAGAAACTAGAATATCATAAAAAGCAGGTTTCACTGTATAATTGATAATGATAATAATATTCTAATAGACATACTGTAAAGCACCTACCTCATCACGCTGTTTAACAGCATGTAATCTCTCATCATCACAATACTTTGCTTTCCTCAAGGATTCTTCAGCTTCTTTTTTCCATGCTTCACAAGCCTTAACAAGCAAAAATGAAAAACCGATTTAACTTTTTATGAAGCTTGCATGTTACATAACTTTTCTTAAAATGAATTCAGGAATTTCTGGTGTGTTTACACCTGTGGTTTCATGCTTATGGAACCATGAAAGGAAAAAAAAAATTTATAACAAATTTCATATCAATTTAATTACTTCACTTGACCTTTGTTTATCATTTGAGAGATATATATTCATCAAAGAACATTTGTAACTAATAAAGAATATACCCATGCTTTCTAATATATCAACAATTTTAAAATGCAAACTACAAGTCAAAAGTTACCAAATTCAATTATTAAAATACATAAGAAGGAGTGAGAACATCAATGTAAAATTCATGATTTATGACATACAATTGTACCAAAATGAAACTACCAATGAGAAAGTTAATCGTAAAATATGAATAAATTACTGCTCACAACAATAGGTCTGTTATAAGTGCAACCCTAGATGAATAACTGATGTACCACTCAGGATTATTAATGTACATATAGATACGTACAGAACGATGCTTCTGATAGACTGCAGAGTTGACAGACAGAAACATTGTACTTCTGTGTCCCTTGTGTACTGAGTGGGACATAACTAATGCTTCTATTCATCACAAAAAGTTCTTTTGAAGCTAAAAAATTGAAGAATGACATTAAACTTCTAGAAGCCTAAAAGAAATCTTGATTGTTTTGAAATCAACAGAGCAACTTACACACTTGGCCTGAGTATAGGCCTGTTCCCAGTGTTCTAGACGAGTTTTATTGTGCGAGAATTCCTCCTTTAGCTTCTGTAGTTCTGTTGCATGGGCACTGTTTGATAAATTTGATGAGGAGGATGAGTATAGAGGGGAATGAGGACCACCCAGGCCATTCCGCGGCGACATAGAATTGAAGTCTGTGTATGGAAATTTATTGTTTAAATAAGATGAACTCTGAAATTGAAAAAAAAAAAAAATCATTAGCTGTAAATAAACAAATTATTTACCAAAATGGGAAAAAGATGAAAATGTGTAAATCAACACAAAAAGTATGAATCTTTCCAACGACTCATCTGCATAAATAGGTATCTCAGACTTGGGTTTAAAACAGATTAAAGATCAATAATTGTTTATCACCATTTCTCCAACAATTCCTCAATGATCATTTATCAATCTATGCTCAAACCCAAATAAAATATCAAATAATTACAATGCTGCCATGGTGTCTTTCTATATAATGACTTTCAAACCTCTTCTACATGATTTCTATGCCAATATTACTCTAGAAATACTTTTTTTCCCATTTTTGCACTGACTGGTCCCCACAATCACAGATCAGCATGCACTGCTATGGGGGCAAATATAGACCAATATTTTGGTTTATACTGTATTTTGTAAAATATGTCAAATACACTCTGAATGCAATACTTTTGTTAGAGAGCGTTCCTTATTTGAGTTACAAAAAGTATACAGTTACCTACATCAGGAGTGGACAAATCGCCATTATAAAATAAGTGTTTGAGCACTCTTTCAGATTGACCACTTGTCACGTTACTCCCAATAAACAAATCCACAAACTTGGGTTTTTTAACTTGAATTTCAAAATAAAGTACTTACAAAGAAGTATAATCAGACTAGATAAGCATAGTTGCAACTACCCCCCCCCCCCCCCCACCAACAACCATAATAACAAAACTGATCTTAATGTCCAAGTTACTTTTGATGGTCTTGTGACCACCATCTTCCCATAAAGCAGTCAAGAGAATGTTTGATATTGGTCTGTATATAAACAAGAGATCCCAGAGGGATCTTGGCGCCCACCATTTGAGGATCTGTTTTCAGTTCTTGAAGATTTGTTTATTTTTTTTTTCTTACAGGTTTTGTAAATGTTCATGAACTGGTCTTCATTGAATGTACTCAATGATGGCACAAGATATTTTCATTAGGCACCTATTAGCAAATATCATTTGAAAAAAGATCCCAAAGTATTATTAGATAGCAGTCAGTTACAGGTGGATAATGGACATGGTCTTAAATCAATATGATAGAATATCAAAGAAAATATGCTTGTGCTGTATTACTGTCGACATCCAAGATGGCTGCCTGTGGGCCAACTTGATTTCAAATCAGTCCCAAAAAAAAAAAGTACAATGCACAACTAGGGACCAAGGGAAACAAATAGCTATAAAATATCAGAAGTATCCATCCAGTACTTCCTCAGAAATTGCACTAACAAGATTTTACTCTCAAAATCCAAGATGGCTGCCTGTCAGCCATCTTAAATTCGAATCGGTCCAAAAAAGGTACAATGCACAACTAGAGACCAATGGGAACCTGCATATGAAATTTGAGAAAGATCCATCCAGTACTTTCCCAGAAATAGCGGTAATAAACTTTTACTTCCAAAATCCAAGATGGCTGCCTGTCGGCCATCTTGAATTCAAATCAGTCCAAAAAAGGTACAATGCACAACTAGGGACCAAGGGGAAACTGCATATGAAATTTGAGAAAGATCCATCCAGTACTTTCCCAGAAATAGTGGTAACAAGAATTGTTTACGGACAGACGGACAGCGAGACGGACGGACCACGGACCACAGACGCAGGGCGATTTGAATACCCCATAATCTGATGATGGTGGGCTAATAAATATAAAACACCAATGTGAATTTGACTCAAGTGTGCATCAAGTTTGACCAAGACCGATACCATTGATTTAGTGCAAGAAATCAGGTATGAAATGGCATTTGACAGACAGGACTTTGTTTAAACTATTCAATTACACATGTAACAGGTGAGCTACATATGAATGGTGAAACAATGACTTGTTATAAAACATAGGAAATAATTCAGTACTTACAGGTTCTGTGTCTGGTTTGGTAGGCGGCGGCATTGACAGGATAGGGAGATTAAAACTACCATACGGTGATGGTGGAGACTGAGATAGGCTACTGATGCTTCCTCTTGGTAGCCCACCTGGTGGTATACCAATAGGAACAGACGATGGTCCAAATCCTACACAAATGTAACATACAAAATTATCATTAACAGGTACATACAACATCAAATAAAATGAATGTATGTTACGAGACTTGTTCACTGCACTTTTTCTTATATACCATGCGAGGTTTTGTATACCATGTAAGGTTTTGTAAACATTCTCTTTAAAACCAGATTTGCAATATTCTCCCCCAACTCATTCTCTTGAATTACTTTTCAATAGGACAAACATGTTATGAACATGATGATAACAAATAAATGAGTTGATTGTATTACATGTTCCTGACAGCACATCAAGTTAATTGACTTTTACTGAATAAATATATTCATTCATTTCATTCCCCCCTCCCCATACAGCAGTTGAAAACAGATTATTACCCGTAATTATATGTTGTTTTGACCGTTAAATTTTGGTAAAGCCTATTGCTTACCTGATGAAGGGATACCTGCACTCAGTGAACTGCTCAAGGAATTTGTGTCATTGTCTTTATCTACATCTTTGTCTATGCTGTTAACATCTATATCATCCAGATTAAGATCTCCAAGGGCATGACCTTCACAAACATGAAAACCATGAAACATACAGACATGTGGAAGGCACTTTCAGCACAAACAAAAATGTTATGCACCTTTACCTTCATAACTAATTAAATATATCAGAACAGTGACCATAATGGTAGTATATGACTTGAAATCTGCTTTATAACATTGACCTGGACAATAACTTCTCCTTTTAAATTTCAGCTAATAATTTAAGTCACAAATAATCATCATAGACATTCCTATATTCTTGACTGTACAACAGGATACGTCTTTTTACAAACAGTAACATAAGATCAAGACTGCAGACTTGATATAAAATATCAATGTGTCAATAACACTTCTTTTTTATAGCTTTTGTTTAGTTTTGTTATTACAATATAACAACTAAATTGAGAGATTTTTTTACCTATGACAGACTCCACAGTATCCATTGCTGGATAGAAGGAGGGGGTGGAGGTGGACATGGTAGTCGCCATGGTCACATTGTCACTTGTTGGGTAAAATGCTGGAGCGAGAGGAGACATGTTAGAGGATGGAGAAAGGGTCTGTTGCACTCCTATATTTCCAAGGGAACTGGACAATGTTGGCATACTGTTGTTTCCATTGTGATTCAGTGAATGTACTAACACTAAGTTTTGTTTCCTCTTCAGTTTTTCTGTTTGTTCTAAACTTGTATCATTGTCTATAGTTGAAAGCTGCTGCCACAATTTTGCCTGCAAATATGAAATATTTTGTTTACCTTCAAAACATCTAGTTTATGCAGACTTTACAAGATGTCAAGACAGGTAAAAAAAACCTGATGAAAACTTATCATAGACACATTTATTTTACATACAAAATTTGACATCAACATGCTCTTATTGATTTTAAATTTTATGTAAATGAACCAAACAAGTATACAATGTAAGAGTAATACCTGGACATCATCTCGTTCTGTACCAGCTCGTTCTGACCCCGGTGCTTTATGATTAAACCACGCACTACCTATTTCTGAATTAATACTGCTTGATGTGCTTCCAGATCGACCCTTCCCAATTGGCTCTGGCATAGGACTACTTGTATTGCTGTTAGCACTTCCTTGTGTATTATTATGCTGGAAAAGTGAATCAATTATAATAGAACCAAATCAAAGTCAAAACAGAGTGAGCAGGGATATATACCCCCACCTCAGCAACTGGAAGTAGGTTGTCTTTGTGATTATTTGTAGTTACTCTAAAACCTGTGCTGGGGCTCATATATGTTGGTATGTAAGATATTCACAGTTATAGCTTCATAGTCATACAAGGACCTTTGACCTTTAAACTTGACCAATGACTGCTAAATATACTCAGGTGTTAACCTTGGTACTGTGATGCAATGGTATGAATCAGAGTTTGTCAAGGGGTTTTTGAGATAACTTATACACCAATCCTTTTGTTTATGTGGTCAATCGTGACATTTGACCTTAAAACTTTATCAATGACCACGAAAAAAATATCTAATCAGGTGTAAACCTTGGCAGTCTGATGCTATGGTATGGATATGATCTAAGTCTGTTCAGTGTTTTATGAAATAATACAAGTTATCATGAACACAGTGACACACAATATGATTACTATATGCCCTCTTACTGAAGTTGGAGGGGTAAAAACAGGACAGGAAAAATGACCAATTTCATATTGCATATAAAGGGTTTGATGTCTAGCTAGATAGTACAGCTGTTTATAGGTAAGACATATGAATAGTTATAAACACTTGTAGTTAAGTGTTTTGTTGCATCAAACGTCATTATATATATATATATACACCTTTATACTATACATTATATTTTGCTGTGCATTACATTTTTATGTATTAACATTTCCTGTATGTGTTCTCAATATAACCTTACCAACAAATTTATCAACTGGATTTTTAAAAAGCATCTTTATGGGCTGTCAAAGTTAAAATGTCTTGTTACAAGTGAGCTGATTACTGTACTTACATTTGGAATACTGTTGCCTCTTTCTTTACCAATAGGATCAGGAAATTTTGACGACCCATTTAAATTTTGAAGCTGGAACAAAATAATAACAGTACTTCTCCATATTCTATAAGCAAGGCATTACCTAACACTGATACAAGGATATTTGTTTTATCAGTTGAAATAAAATGCTTATTTCAATAACACAACTGATGTTTGTGGAACAATGCTTATTTCATAAAGATCAAGGCAAATGAAACTTTACATTGCAGTACTTAGTTGTCACTGAGACAAACAATAGCAAATATTTCATACATAAAACAATATAGAGTTAAAAAGTCCACAGAATAGAGTACAGACACTGAAGACCTTCTGAGGGCATGCCCATGACTTAATGTTTAGTTTTATTTCACTTGTCCAATAGTGTATTGTTTCTCTTTTAAAGGCTCATCAAAACACTGATTTTAAACATTATGTAAATGGCACTCTATTTTATATACAGATTTATAAAATTAAGATGATTTTCAGCAACATATTCCAATCTGTTGTCTTAAACGATAATTAAATGAAGTCAAATCAGTATATTATCCTGTCATATTTGCATGTTATTGACCTCAAACTGAGGCCAAAAAGGTGAAAAAGCAGTACACAATATAGAACTAATAGAATATAGTATCCTGAAGCACTGTTTCATATACAAATAACCAGTTTTCCAAGTTACTTACTGGTTTCATATTTTGATTTTCTTTTCCTAAATTTTGTACTAGTGCAGGTATGGAATCTGTGTTTATTTGCATCAGGCCACTTTCCACTGTCATAGATGGCAATACTGTTGACACAAATGCAGCCAAAGAGTTTTCACTTGTTGATAACAAGTTCCTATCTGTAGTTATCTCCTCTGAAAAAGAAAACCAAGGCAGATAAGTTATCACCCTTGCTATATTTTCTTCACGATAACTAAAATAAGATATATAACACATATATATGCAAAGTAAACTGAAGCATGCGTTCAAAGTAATCGAAAATTGGTCTGTCATTATTTGCACTGGGACAGTATTAATAGCTATCACTGGCTATGCCTTGGAACAGCTGAAAATCTTTCAGACTGATTTTTGCATAATCATACATATTTATAAGAAAGAATTTAAATTAACAATCAAGCCACTGTTTGTCACACTAATTGCCTATATTCCTAATTTTACTGAAATATGCAAAACATGGTGTGCTCGCACAACAGATCTCCAACCATCACAAGATCTTCAACTCTATTTGACATCAGTTTTGAATCATATACCAGTATATACACAAATTTAACCATGAAGCAGTGACCTACATAAAATCTAAAGAGTATGTGACAAGAAAATTCACAGTATTTCTATAAACATTAATGACAGCATTAGTCAAAGCAGACTAAAGCATAGTAAGATGCACCTGCAACCAAATGTCAATTTGCCAGTCAGAAATGAAGTAACTAGTTGATCATGCATTAACATCAAAACACTCCAGACTGGAAGGTGTCATTTCCAGCCAGCTAGAATGTGTGATGGAAGTAAGTGGTACATACAGAAAGACCTATACATCAGTTTTGAAGAGACAATTTCAAAATTAAAAACAGATTTTAACTGCCATGTTTACATCAGTTCAAGCTCATGAGTTGACATGCATTATGTCTCATCCACACAGAGTAAGTCTGTAAAGTTTCAAGATCTCTGGATGATTCTCAAGAATAATTATTCATGATTTTTTTTACCATTCCCAACAATATTCATTGACAAACAAATATTTGATCAAGCTAAGGATAAGGTATGCATATTTCTAAACTCTACAAATAGTAAACAAGTCCCTTAGTTTAATGATTGCTTAAGTAGTTATTGACAAAAAATGTATCAAAACACGACTGAAATAGATTAAAACCACAAAATGATGATGGTGGATATGTAATTTTCCTAACATTTGGGGATAATTGCAAATTGGATAAGGTCTTTGCAGAGTCTTTTTGTTGTTATATAAAGCAAAGCAGTCACTTAATATGAATAAAAGGAACAATGTCCTGTAAATTACTTCCTACAACATTTTCATTGATTTTCAGGAATAACTTTTTCAAATAGTAGTGCAGAACTTGCAAGGTCTTGGTTTAAATCAACACATGGCAGTTCTTACAGAAAAACAAAGCTTATCAGTACATACGTTCAACATGGGCGAAGGCACAAAATGGTCCCCTAGGGCAGTATCCAGTCTGCACCATATCATTGCATTTGGTGGATTTGTATATCTGAAAACATAATGAATGAAATATCAACCTGTTAAAAGAGGGCACTCTGTAATGTAGGGTTTCAGTGGCCTACGGAAGGAACGTACAAGAAAATGTCATTATGGTAGATTCTTTGTTCAGTAGTACTACTAACAACCAGTTATGACATTCGTGTTTACACATTATTCTTGCATCACTTAGTAATATCTTGGTGATCTTACTACTATGAAAAAGAAGTTTCCTGAGAGGATGCTTGCATTTGACTTTTGGTTGGAAGTAGCAGGAGTACCAGGACAGAAAAATTAATAGATTCTGTGGACTGAGATACAGCTGATGCCCATTATTGAAATGTTTGATGTTGGTCGGGAGCGAAAGCTCCATTATATACTCTGTAACATTGGTAGGGAGCGAAAGCTCCATTATATACTCTGTAACATTGGTAGGGAGCGAAAGCTCCATTATATACTCTAACGTTTGTAGGGAGCGAAAGCTCCATTATATACTCTGTAACATTGGTAGGGAGAAAAAGCTCCATTATATACTCTGTAACATTGGAAGGGAGAAAAAGCTCCATTATATACTCTGTAACATTGGTAGGGAGCGAAAGCTCCATTATATACTCTGTAACATTGGTAGGGAGCGAAAGCTCCATTATATACTCTGTAACATTGGTAGGGAGAAAAAGCTCCATTATATACTCTGTAACATTGGTAGGGTAATGAGGCTCTATTTTATACAGTAATGAATGACAACGTTACCTCTGGGTGAAACTGTTGCTCTGTCCTTGTGTGACAATATGCACAATTGTCACCATTCTCACACTGCATGGGATCTCCCCAGTCATCTCCATGTTTGACATTTGGACAAGGGGTAGATCTATAAAACAAACCACCATATTGAAAATGACAATCCAATAAGCTTTCTTGAACAAAAGAATGTATATTATGTTGTGTCTTACATTATAAGAAACCAAAAAAATAGTAAATTACTTACCTGTATTTATGTTTCTTTGGGCTTCTTCTCCTGTCCCTTGAATTGTGATTTGATGGACATGCATATCCTTGTCTACACAACCGTGGCGGTCTTTTACACTGCTCTGTTTTATAGTTGGCCAACACATAATTTGTATCTGGAAAAACAAGATTTATTTGACAAACTTATAATATATATGAAGATTTTTTACAGAAAAATTAAGTTAATCATTAATATAAGCAAAAAAAAGTATTCATTCTATTGTATAAATGACCATTTTTATCATTAATGCTTTCATCAAGTATTCAATGTATCAAAAGTTGTAAATCTAATGATCATTTACAAAGTTTAGGTCTTGGAGACACTGTCCACTGTCAGTCATGTGTATGCTGAATAAATGAAAACATTAATACTGGAAAAATCATATGCAGTTGTTTTTAACCAGTCTAAAATCTAGCACACTGACATTGAAAAGAACTGTTATAATAAGAGCACTTTAAAATTTGGCAAAGCTCCAACTTAACTTATTCAAGCATTTTTTAATCTTAAGTTTACTTCATTTTAGAATGACCATACAAAAGCTTGTGCTTTCTGATGTGTATATTTCACAAATGAAACAAACTACTCTGAAATCATTTCATTTGATTATTTTGAACTTATTAACAATAAAAAATCATCGTTAACTTAGTATAAAGGTCTTCTTTACGAGTCTTGAAAATGTAGATGTTTCCCTATAGATTATAGTAGTAAACTCAGTAGTTTAATGGTTAACTTCATTAGCATACACTTCAAGGAATACAAATCACAATTCTATTTGGTTTTTAAATATGTACACAAACTTTAAAAGGGAGAAAAGTTGAAACCGTTGGAGTATGAACAGGGTCTGCATCCCTTCTTAAGTGTTTTGGATAAGCCATTTTTGCATTATAGAAGTGAACTGCAAAATTTGGGTAAGTTTTTTTACATTTAAAAAATAATTTTAATTGGGAATAAGTTTGGTTGTTTATCGTCCCCAAAAAGCCTTGATGAACAAAGCAATCACAGAGTAAAGCTACATCTCTCAAAATGCAGGATGACATGATAAAACAGAATTGATTTGATAAAATATTGTAGTCAAAATTACTTCTTAGACATTATTTCATTATCTTTGGTCATTTATAGTCTTTGGCACATATTGGCATCCATGCTTTAATTATTGACATTCTTGATGTTAATATATGAACCTGGGTGTAAATATTAACCGAGGAATAAGGCCAATATTCTTCCTATCAGATAAATACAACAATTAAAGTTCCTGAATTTTCATAAAATATTATTGCTAATATTTCATGGCATGAATATATCATGAAATAGACTCCTCTCTAAATTGAACACTACCCCTACACTATAAATGGGTTTAAATTCTTAACAAGGCGCATTTAAAAAAAAAGAACTTTATAAATTAAAAAATCAAAAAGAGTCCATATGTTGCATATCAAATTCCATATGAGTAATGCAATAAATTGAATGTAAATCAAAGGCAAAATTTTCAGTCAATTGTTTAGATCGAAATAATCAACTAATTAATATACTTTAATCTTTTATGATCGATTGTCAGTAAAATAAAAAGTGGCATTCTATCTTCAGTTGTAAAAAGTTGCAAATCTAAAATTGTCAATGAACATCATGAAATGATCAATCATCTGGTTGAACAAGACAAGTTAACATGGCTGCTTAAGCACTTAATAAATATTAATTCCAAACACGTCTGGGACAAATGTAATCATTCTGTATGGCTTTCATCAATTCAAAAATTTATTATAAAAAAAATGAAGATGTATGTTCTTCCCATCTGGATATGGTAAACCTTCAATCAGTTCAAACAAAATGAATCAGATGTTGCTAAACCAGTTCAAATTATATAAAATTATGCTTGTGAAAATAAATTTTAGCAATCAGAGTCACCATTGCTCAAACTTGTGACAAAGTATCTGAATGTGTCCTAGCAGGGCAGGACACTACCATATGGATATGGCATTCATTTTGATCTTCATAACTTTGCAAACTATGACAATGAGTCTAGCCAATAAAAAAGCACAATTCTGTTTGTGTATTGTGGGGAGTTAGCATCGACATTATGGTGTGCAGAAAGTGGATTGAGACTTAATATGACTAGATTAATTTTATTAAATTTTTCATGAATCTTACAATTACTGGGACAGTCTAGATGTGATTATCTTATCAAAATGTGAAGTGTAACAATGTTGTTCTTTGACAAAGCATGTGTGGACATCCCATGGTCCGAAATACTGAACACTTAGCTCATAATACAGAATTGGGGCATTGAGTTGTGTCAACTGGTGCGTGCACGTTACGGTATGATGTGAAATAAATCAAACTACACATCAATACGAATTAAGTGACATGTATGTGAATAATCTGATGCTCTCAACTGCTGATCACTTACTACCTGCTTCCCACAGTATTTAAAGTTGATGTGAATAACGACCACACAGAGTTATTATTGCGACGCCAATGCCTTTATCAACAGTAAGATGTGCAGACTCGTGACATGTTCAAACCATTAGAAAATTAAGTGAAACAAACTAGAAAGGGTTCAAACTACCACCAGACAGAAAATTATTGTCTTGATCACGTGTTTGAACTACCCGCCTATTCCAAATGACTGGAAGCTTAACATAGTTAATCACTGATCAGTTCAGATGAACAGATAATTGATAACGAAAAAGCAACAGATTCCCAAACTACCATATAGTTATAAATACAAGAACAAAATGTCATTATGTCTCTTTTTGTCTTGAAAACACTAAAATTTTATCTCCTTCCAAATAATAAATTTCCAAATTAATTTTGTTTAACTTTAGATATGTTGTTGTTTACACAAATTCTCAGAATCCTCTCAATTATGACTTCTTTACCTAAAAAATACCATTTTTCCCCCATGGAGGAAAAGGAAAACCTGTCCGATATTTTAAGTAATTTGTTGAATATGACTATAAACTAAATATATAAAGACTTTGTAGTCATTTCTCCAAATCTATCTTTATTAATTATACCAAGTCATCATGTATTGTGGATTCTCACAATAAAACAATTTCAGGTTTTATTGGAGGTGCACTAACACTTCATGAGAAACAGCTTAATAAAGAGTAATTGAAACTCTTAACTTTTCAGCATCCTGAAATTCCATTGCTGCTAGACCCTCTTATCCAAAAGATAATGGTAAATGATGCATGTGTTGACGTGTCCAACATATGTGATCTAGCTATATACGAAGTTTGGTTGAAATCTGTTTTACACCTTTGAAGCTACTAATCTAAATGTAAATCTTCAATGTGAAATGTAGGTGACGACTCAATCATTGTTAGAAAAGTAAGACCACAGTCTAGCTTCTATGACTGTCTGTCATAGGCAAGACAAAAATCAATACGAGCTTCATCTGCAACTTACTTTTAACATTTAAGACATTTGATTGAAAGAGAAAGGGGTATTGTAAGTTAGACAGGCAAGCAAAATAGACATCATTCATTGCCTTATTGTTATAACATGGCCATCTTAAATGACACTATTCAATCATCAGTATCAAATCATAGTAAATAAGTTAATACAATGCCATAACAATATGTTTCTAAGACTATTAAGTAGTAACTTACCATTCCATCTTGGATCTTCAGCCAAAATTTTCTCTTTTTCTAAACTGCTAGGTGTTCCTGATTGTGATAATGAGGAGCTGCCACTTGCAGAAGAACTCTTGTCTACATCTATTGTCTGTAATTCTCTAACATCATATGCTGGCGGTCTTAAGTCATTAGCTCCATGGGCAAATGCACAGTGGGGACCATTTTTCACACAATTCCCTTTAGAGTCTGTTTCATATACACAGGTGCCTGTTTTATAATAGCGTAAATGATATCTTCTTTCTGTATCTCCTGCAGTTCTGTGTAAATATGGGCATCTGCAAATAAAATGTAAAATATCTTTAATAATTCAGAACTTATGTTTTATTAAGTAATCTTAATGCCAATCAACAGAATAATCAACCATTATACTTTCCTCACTCTGAAATGTAAATATGGATATTTCTACAAGCACTTATGATTTGTGGAAGCAGATGACTGGCATGATTCTATCAAATCAATTATCTGAAAATTTTCAATGCAAAACAATATGGAAACATAACCATTATATATTTCTTGTATATTCTATTTTTTCATCACATAATTGTTTTACAAAAACATTCAATGATTAAATTTCCTATTGGACAACGTATTGAACAAATTCTGTTTTGTTTGATATCGAAATGTGTATTGCTTAATAGGTGAGAAATTCTTGTTTCTATTTTTACAAAACGCGCAACTTCCCATGTTGTTCTTTAAGGTCAAGGCTAGTCCATGACCCATAAAGCACGCATGACAGAAATTACAGCTGATTCAGGCTAAAATTCATGTGTAAAATTGTTATTGTTTCCATCTGATAAACACTTTAAAACCATACCGATATGTATGTTTACCACATAAACCTACAGATTACATAAATGACACAAATGAAATATAATTTCTTTTGCGACGTTATGTCACAAGTCTCCCATTTCGATAACAATGGCCTTGCGGCATGAACGTAAACACATTCAATTCTAAAAATACTATGAACAAGCGCGGAGAAAAATCACAAGCAAATATAAACCATATTGTTCTTCATAACTTTCTTATCATAACTGGCATAACTGATCGCTGTGACAAAGTATCTATGCCTTGAAATTACCGACATAATTTCGGTCTTTACACAAAATGGAGATGTAAATACAAGATGGCGGCGGCTTTTTGTTTACATCATGTCAAAATAAAAAGTCTTCGCTAGCAGGTATTAGACGAAATTTCTTGTCAGTGAGCTGTTATTTGAAACAACAGCATGCATATGTATACTTCTAATCGTATGTCAAAGCTGAAATATTTGTAAAAACCATAAAAAATCAACTTTTTTTCGGAGAAATGCCCGTATGGAACTTTCCCACCAAAATTTTTGAATGGCAGAGAATATTTTGACAGATCGCCTACTTACTCGTCTCCGTCTGGACACACTCCTGTTGTCTCGTCGTACTTGGTGCAATACACATCCGGACTGTAGTTGAAGGTTCCATCGCGACGTCTAACAGGTCTTCGTCTTCTTTGATTCATAAAATGCCAGCGATAACAAGTGTAAGGTCTGTGTTGGGTACATTTGTGTTGTAAGAAGAGGGGGCATTGAGTTGTTCGAAACTCTTTTAAATACCTGCAAACAAGATAATCGGTATGAAGGCCAAATTCTGTCATGTATACGAAATCAAGCATAAGATGAAGTGACATCACAATTAAATTAACGAGTTACTCACATATAATGCTGGGGTTTCTCCGTCTGTGCAGGAACCATTGGACTTTCTGACGGCATTTTGTTGTCAATAATGTTTTTCTACGCATACCTGGCCGCGCATCCTAAAAGTAAAGTCCTATAATCATTGGTGTAAAGAAGTCACGTGGTGTAGGTCATGGCCTACGACGTAATGTTGCCAATTTTCCGCGCACCTTGCGCACGTAATGCCTGTTCCATCCAAGACCAAATAAACAAAACAAACAAAAAACAAAGACATATAGTCCTAGGTTTTTTCAATAGACTAACACAGACAAAATTCATTCAAGGATTATTTTATTTAAATACCCTTATGAACAGGATGCGACAGCAATGCATGTAGAAGTAAGACGACGGCGGAGCTTCAGATGACTCATGCTTCAGATGATAATGTTAGATACTACAGACATCATTTAATAACTGAACTAGTCTAGTCGACATAATATCCTCACTTATAAGTTCTAGGCATATTTTTAACACAGAGCGAGAATGGCACTTCGTGAATTAATTGTGCATGTTTGAGTGGCATTATCAAAGGCATGTTGCCACTGATTTTTCAGTATGATATGATAATTCAAACATATTTTATTGGTATCTGTTATATGCAATGGGGTTTGGCTGAAATGTTCAAACTTGTATCAAGCTCTTTCCCATACGTATAAATGTCGTGCTAGTTTTCAGTAAAGGGAAGGGGTAGTATTCTGATCCCTTCTGTAATGGTCTATCAAATCGTTCAAGAGGAGTTCAGTAAATCTGCCAATACATTTTGTTGGCATGTTTTCTCATCTTTTCGATACGCAATCTATATACTAAGACAACACCAAGCATCCTCACATTCACGCATCCATATGAAAATCATTACACAAAAGCTGTAACAATGAGCGTCTTCGTCACTTTCAATCTAACAAGTAAAACTTCTCATGCCTTGGCTATTATAAACATCACCATCATCATCATCATCACCATCACCACCATCTTCATCATCATCAAAATCACCACCACCACCACCACCACCACCACCATCTTCATCATCATCAAAATCACCACCACCACCACCACCACCATCTTCATCATCATCATCATCATCATCACCACCACCACCACCACCACCCATCATCATCGTGAAAACCGTAACACAACGGCCCTTACAATCCTCACCGTTGTCGTCGTATTGTGATATGTTCAAAGAAAGAAATGATTCTTTGTTATAAGGAAATATAATTTTAAAAGAATCAGTTAGTTTCACATCTCTGATGGATTGTCTGAACTTCTTAACATTCGTAAAGGCAATCGGAATGATTGTTTCATGTTATAAATAACAGAACGTGCATAAAGGGCTTAGAACTATTAGTGAAGGATATTTGTCATCAGAGTGTGATGTTGCTGTGGTGTATAATTCTAACATGGAACTGTCGTAACTTAGGACTTTTTGTGACGAAGAATGGCAGCTTCCACTTCATATTAACGAAATCAAATCCCTGTTTCCATTTTCTGGTTCCAGTTGGTAATGGTGCCATCGGGGTGATACAGTTGTAACATCTTTCGAACATTTCATATCAAAAGACGATTTTAAAAGAAGAGGCTGAAATAGGCTTTCTAAAACATCAGGATTTCTTTTAAAAAAATATTTGACACCACGTATTAGACCACAGTATCGTAGAAAGTTTGTATTTATCTGAAAAATGTCATATCATTTCAGTTTTCATTGAATCATAATACTATACCAAGGACCAATAGCCCGTGATTGTACCAACACCAACCAGCCAATTTGAACAGAAAATGTACTTGCCATTAACCTTGATACCCTTGTACCAAAGAGGTGATTTTAAAACCGATACTCGTAATAAGCTTTCTTAAAATTACAATTAGCATAAATATTTCATGTTCTCAAGACATCTTGCCAGAAGAAGTTACAGCAGTTTAACGCCCAGGGTTCCACAATTATATGATTTCAGGAGATCAACTATTGATTTTAAAACAAATTTCTATACCCATTTTAGGTAAAATTTTCTTCTTAGTCAGCCTAGCTTGAGATAATTATCAGCCTCCCATCGATATGGTTTCGTAACATCTTCTTTATCAACTTTATGACACGATTCCAAATAAAGTCAAATAATAGGGAGTTCAGTTGAGTAATATATTTTTCCGGTGGCTTAGGCAGAGTGATATAAATGTAATTCTGTCAGTGTGATATTAACAAAGATTTGACAAACGCTGTAAATACCTGATTATGTCGACATGGTGTTATAATCCAGACAGATTCTCCTCATAGTCATGCTACTGTTGATAAGTTGTATTTGCTATTTTTTTTTATTACAAGCCCTGATATCGTTTGGTTTTGAACTGAAAGAACTAGGGATCCACTCAAGCCAAAGTTTATCAAAAACCGCCCTTGAAAAGAAGATAACCTAGGGACGAGCGTTCCCTGGAGGGCTGATGATATTCTGTAAGAAAATCTATCAGATCAGACTTCACAACTGAGATTATCATAAGACACGACAACAACAATTACCGACATATCTAGTTGATGTCACTCGCCTGTTGATTGTACCTTTTCACCAATGCTATATTACATTCGAAATGCGGTTCAAATGCTAATGACAAACTTTACCATCGGATCTCCAGCTGTATAGTTCAAAATAATTCATTCATTTGTCGTTACCGTAGTGTTTTTGTTTATACTTCCAATCCATAGGTACATGCTTACGTGTATTTTCTTCTAGCTTATCTCCAATTCGTTTGAAAATTCGGGAACAGACATATCGAAGACAGTTTTTTCAGTCTCCTTGACAGATACTAGAAACAGGTGTTAGTCTAGGAGTCCTGTACCTTGGTTAATCCTCTATACGTAATTCCATGATGGTCCGACCATTTTAGATTTTGTCATTAAAATGTGTAAACCTTCTATTTCTCTATTTCTAGAGGTTTTTTATGGGATTTTCCTATGTATATCATCTTGAGTTATCGAATATTCAAGATGGCCCACAAGTTGGCTCTTTGAATTTTGTAAATAGACCTAAAAATCTTGTTACAAATGTTCAAGATGGCCGCCATGTAGTCAAAAATTTGTCTTTTCTCACATTTCGACGATTCTAATTATAAGGTCTCACAGCATTTTCGTTACGAAATGACTAATTCAAAAACAGCCACAGTGAAGTGATACCACATGTCTGTGTGGAAAGTACAGCTCTCTGGAATATCATGCTGATTTCTTCAAAGGAGTTCATTGTATATTGTTCACGTATATTGATGAGTTGTTGATCACTGTTTTTAGATATAGGAAAATGAAATAGCAGATAATTCCTAATTTTGAAAAATCGATCTTGTTATATGGCCTGCGATTTCATGTTCATTTTCTGATATGAAGGTATAAAGTTTTGATATAAAAAAAATCGAATTCCTCGCACCAGAAAAACGCACCATTTTTATATCAAAATAAATGTTTTGTTTGTTTACTTGTTTTTTTATATAAAAAATCAGAAAATGGAGAGCAGTTATTTTTTTAATTTATATCTTGAGTTAGAATTTTTATATAAAGATGTTTTTTATATACTTTATCAAAACTTCGAACAACATCTTTCCAAATTTGGATTTATGGCGACGTTTTCGATATGAAACATTGGATATTTAATTTTTTAATTTAATATCAGAAATATCAGCAAAAGATGAAATGTGTCGTACTAGTTTGAGAATTTTTATTGTGACATGGTGTACCTTTAAAAGATTTTTTTATCTATTCATTTTTGTCATTTCATAATTTCCCTGGGATTTCGAATCAAGCCATAAACGAAAAGGTTGTGGTGAACGGGGAGACAACTCTAATTTTTCTGTCGATATCAGCGACAGAAAATTTACATTGACAGAAGCGACGCCTATCATGGGTTGAAATGTCTCGTCAGGGAAAGCAAGAGGAGAATCTTAAAGACAAATTGAAAAGTTTGTTTCGAATCAAAGACAAATCTGCTCCTGTTACTTTCCAGAGACCAACTGTTAGAGAGTTTATATTTACTCCTGATGTTCTGAAGGTCTGTATTAAACTACAATACGATAGGCATAACCTGAAAAAGTCGTAGCAAAATCGTCCGAATTTCCCTGAATTTTATTTATTATTTATTTATTAGTTATTATTTTGACATTATTGTTGCTCTTCTCTCTTTTTTACCTCTATTCCTCATTAAGCAGGATAAATTTGTCAAAACATGTTTGATTCCCTGTTTTCTTAATCAGAGACCGGAGACTGTTACCCTTCAGAATTTATCTTCTTGTAAATGTAGATCTACAATACAGGGCTTCGAGCTATCTAGTTCTAGCCTTATGTATTATTTTCGCCAAAAGTACACAACTAGTCTTCAAATAAAGAAAAGAAATATGAATAGAAAGCATCATAATTTTCAAACTGATTATGCTACCTTTTTGACAAATTATTTCAGTAAACTTTTGATATTTTTATAACAAATCGCATGTTTAAGTTATTTATAGCTGAAATACCATCCTAGCTCGTGGACCAATTTCAGTCTAGAATATGAAGAAAATCTTTTGTAAACAAATGGTATAAAAGCTGAGTAGTTTGACTCGTGTGATATTTTTATGATACATCATTTTAACACATCATTTTTGTTACAAAGAGAAGAATCACTTCTTACTGGTAGACAAAATGGCTCTGGTCAAGCCAGCCAGAACCAAGTCCATACTAACAAGATCATAGACTTGAACAGGGCACAGGTTAATAAAAATTGTGAGGAGAGAGGAGTCAGTGATGTCACTGGGCCCGGTGTACTGCCAGTGCATAACTAGCATGTATTGTGAAATATGTTGACCTAAATTTGGAATATGTTCTTTATTCATTTAATTTTTCATTTCCAACTTGAGATAATAACACTTTTGAGCCATTAAAACAACATATTTAATATACTGATACACCATTCACCCAACAAAAGCACTTTTAGAATGGAGGACTTTTTGCAAAATAATGCTATACATAGGATTATTTGTATATCCGTTCAGTTAAAATCTGATATATCCTTTATCATTAGGGAACAAAACACCCAACAAGAATAAAGATGCTATCATATTTTGCTGCTTGATATGGTTTTGTGTAATGGAAATTTATAGTTTGAAATTCTATTTCATGTTTAAGGAAAACTCTGTGTGATGAAATGTGCTTCTTTATTATAGGACATTGGTCCTGAGAGTCCAGCCAACAACCGACTGCGGACTATCAGGGAATTATGTAACACTGTTCAAACCAAGAAATTGGAGGAGGTAATAATAAAGTAATGGACAGAATTGATGATGAAACCTTCATAAAAGCAAGCACAATTAAAGCAGTAAGACACACATTTATAAATCATGTCTTTGCTCAATCAGATTATAAGTCATTTTAAAGGAAATTCCATAAACATAAATTCATATTTTATTATACACATGCAATATGATAATCAAGTGGTGTTCTCCATTGTGTGAAGGTTTCATGCTAAATCAGGACTCTTCAACACCTTCCATGTAAGAGGTGATAAATTTTCTCATTTTTTTGGAAAGTGACAAAGGTTTCTTAGTCCTAAACAGAAAATCAGGTTTGCTTTTATTTTGACTAGTTCTCAAATGTTTACATATAAAAATTTATTTTGATTATTAAAATATAGATATTTTTGTTTTCCCTTTTGTATCCATTTTACTGACTCTTCTACATGTTGCCACAAAACTCATGTTGTGACAATATGATAACGATATACCTCCACAAATTTCAAAAAACACAGTAGAGCTATTCCCAAAGTGATCATTTCACCCAAGGGGCCTCTGGAATCAAGGGATTCGAAATTGGCTTCTTTATTCCAAGATATTTTTTCCGAGATATCTTAAATTCTTTAACTCAATTTTCCAAATCACATCCTTCTCCATTCCCACATCCAGGGGAGGGCTTAAGTTCACTCTAGATCAACTTAATTTCATGTGATCTTAAAGGGATATTCTGCACAAGTTAATATTTCTTAAGACGCTCTTAAAGATAGTTGTACAAAATTATCTGCTTATGTTTGTGTGGGAATCGTACACCTCAATTTACTGTTTGAATAAACATGTGATATTTTATTTGTGGAAATTCTTTATAGATCTAGATAGATTGATTTACAAATGTTCATGCCGCCCTGATTGCTTCATAACAGGTTTGCATTGATATTAGCTGAACAGAATGAGACATTTGTGTAAATTATAGAATCAACAGAAAATAAGTCTAATGAAGTAAAAGAAATGCAACGTCTGCAGAAATTTTAGTGAACAGTCATGATCAAGTGATCCTTCAGTTCCAGATTTCCTGTTATGCTACATTTAGACGGTAAATTTTATATTGGATGAGACTATTCCCACCAGTTTTGCCTGTCCAAACTGACCACAGGAGAGATATTTTGACATGAACAATAGTTATAATAGTAATTAGTATGAGTTCTTTAAAGGTACAGAACAGCTCAAAATTTTGCTATTTGGGCCTTTGAATAAATTTTTTCCCGAGATTGGCAAAGTGTAACTAAGCTTTTGAAATGGAATTATTGCTAATATTCTTGCAATCTAAATGTTTCACTTATTGACAAACACTTACAATCTGTTCTGCAGAATGCAATTGAAGCATTATGGCACAGTATCAAGGATTTGGTGCTGCCTGGAACAGCAGCCGAGAGTCGACAGATAGCACTGCATTTCCTCCACTCACTCATAGAAGGACAGGTAGAGTTGTAACGTAATATCTCTTGGAGTGCTGTGACCATTGATCTACTAGAGATGACATACTCTACGAAGTTACAAAATAACCTACTGGATATTTGATGTTAATATACTGTTGTATACATTGCTCTTTCCTCTTTAACTTTAATTGTCATTTGGCTGATAATAGCATGGAAACAAAGCAATTCTTCTATATGTATAATTTTTATGCTGAAAGGATTACAAATCTCATTCTAAAATCCCTAAAGCCACCATGTTTAATTTTGTGTCAATCTCACCAAAATCTTGTGGTGTCAATCTCACTAAAATCTTCTGGTGTCATTCTTATGGTGTCAAGCTCACAAAAATCTTATGATGTCAATCTCACTAAAATTTTCTGGTGTCAACCTCGCTATAATCATACGATGTCATTTTTATGATGTCAATCTCAATAAAATCTGATGATATCATTCTCACTAAAATCAATGTTGTCAATATCACAGGAAATGAAACATGAAGGCCCTGCATATAACTTGCCTAAATCTAACATAATTTTTCTGTGAACATTAGTCTTAGATTACACTGTAGGGATTGATTCATCTATATATAGCATTAATTGATTGACAGATTGAATGAAACCATAGTTTAAGTTTCTTTTAAGACCCCTTTACAGTTTATATGTAGCAAGCATTGTATATGTTAGTAACATATAATATTTTGATGCTGTTTCTTCCTGATGTGTGACTGTTACAGTAATTACCTGGTAGGTATGTGTACAATATGCTGATGCAGTTTCTTCCTTGTTTGACAGTTGCAGTACCTTGGTATACTGAGGGCTCATTTCTTCAGTGTGATAGAGGACCTTTCTAACCATGAAGATCTCTCACAAAGGTAAGGTTAATCAGCTGTTATCATTAACTTCATTTACATTAACTGTAAGTACAGAGTTTAACACAGTTGTAAAAGCCTTAGAGATAAAGTCTGTGTCTGTAGCGAACTTTAGGGGTCACGATAATCTTCGTAATCATCTTGAAGGGATCCCAATGATAATCTAACTGTATGTATGTAATTATATTTAGGGGATTCCACAGATCATCTTTTGGGTAAAAAATACATGTTAAGTGAAAATTAAATCAAAGTTCCAATGAAAAAATGATGGAGAAATATTGACACAGCTTCAAATAGGTCATAGTCATTATAGATTTAAGAAGAAGTCAAATACAATAAAGTACAATATTTCTGTAGGGTTAGCATTTTTCAACAATCATTGAACTGCCACTAGGGCACAGCTGGTGATACAGAATAAAAATTGCAAATATCCTATAAATAAATGGTTATTGTTGCAGGTTGGAGCTGTTCAAGGCATTGAGTGAGAATGGACGTAATTTACAAGAGTTTGAAGACTTAGCAGGTTGGTATGGTTTTATGTTGATGTATTACAAAAGATTACATTTCATGTTTTTAGCTTGTCTCTTGGAGAAAGGGTGAGCTAATGTTGTCACCCCAGCATTGGTGTCAGCATTGGTTTTTTCAATGTGAAATATTTGATTGCAGTGTTGAAAGGCATCAATTAATTTCTTTATAAGTGTACTAGGGTACTGATATTTGGTTTTTGGATTACTGTTGGGGATAACTAGTACTTCCCGGAGTCAGAATGAATAATTTTCAGAAAAAATGTCTGGTTTTTCAAATCTAATATTAAATTTCTAGTGCAATAGGTGAAAGGCAACAGTAAACTCCTTTATGAGCGTACTAGGGTATTTATATGTGGTTTGAGGGTTTTATATGGGTGTAAGTTTTATTTCTTTGTGACTTTATAAATGATTTGTGAGAAAAAAGTCTGCTTTTCAGGCTCTTGGTGTTTTGTGTCAAATCTGATCTAATCTAATCTGATGTCAGGTGTTTGGTGCAAGTGTTGAAAGGCTCTATTTCCTGTTTAAATATCGGTATATTTTGATATAATTCCAGTCAGTGAAACCACCCCCTTATGCTAGCTGAGGTTTAGCGATAAACAATGTGAGGAAGCTTTTGTGTCATTAGCAGTACTCTTGTTAAAATAAAGTTGAATCTCATTTTGAAATCACTTGAGCCAAAATTCTGTTCGAATCCAAATAATTTCCTAGTCCCAATTATTTTCCTTCTGAATCTTTGTAATTTTAATTCAGATGACTCAAATGTCATTGAATCAAAATTTTGTTGGAGTTGAAGCACTTTTTCAGTCCCTTCAATTGTAAAACAAGTGAAAAGTATTTGTTGTTTCGACACATGTTCTAAAGAGTTTGATCAATGTATGTACAGAATTGGAAGTCACCTGTGCATAGCACAGGTCTAAATATACAGCATATTGGTTCATAGTATCCACAACAGTTGAACCTGACAAATAATTGTCAATTTAATTATCCTATTAAAAGATGTCTTCTTAATTAGTGTTTATGTACTTTGTGGCAATAACTTACCTGTGTTTTGAACAAGTGCCGTGTTTACACTAGACATGAAAACTGATCATGTTTTAAAATCAGCATGATAAACTGGAAACCTGTGTATTAGGCAGGGTTGTGTGCATGTTCAAGGTGTGATAAAAATTAAAGGGTAATAGTAGAGTAACAGGTTGACGCTGATACAGATTTACAGAGCTTAACTTCAGACATCATATCAAATGGAAGCATTTGGCTCCTTTTTTTTCATTTTGACATTCTGTAAAATATAGGACCTCTATAAGGGGATTGTGGTTGTGTGCGAGACGGAAAGTGAATAAAGGATTGCTATTGTTATTACATGTTTTGTTATTTTCAGAAATAAACAGTTTAATGAGAAAGTAGAAATCAGTTAGTTTACAGCTCTTTTATACATCAGGTTAATTTACATTGTTTGAAGTAGTGAGTACCATGCTATCATAGGCAGTGTTTTGTTCAACAGTGATCAAAGGCAGGAAACTGGTAATGTCAACCTTACTTGGACACTTTGTTTCCATGGTCCCATGAATTTCGAGATAAAATGTTTCAACTGTATAAGGTCTTCTGGTTCTGATAATTGAGCTTATGTGACAGCATAGCATCAACATAATTTAAAATACTACCATAAGGGTTAAGGAATCATTATTCAAAATTTAATATCTTTTAATGAAGGTGACTAACTGATGTTAAAACAACTGGTGTGAATTTTCCGAACAGTCAGGTTAGATAGTGTAAGTATGTAGATATAAGATGTTATATTTTATCACTGACTCTGGTGACTGTGCTGTACTTGTTAAATGTTTCCACTCTCAGGGCCATTGCTGCTGCGGATGATGCCAGATGTGCTGGCATCAGGGAACATGTCCACCTTTCTACAGCTGCTTGTCCAGATAGTCAAATATAATGCGGCTTACCTTGATGAAGACGTCATCTGTGGACTTGTGAAGTAAGTTTTCTTATATCCAAGACAATTCTAAAAATCTTAAGTTGTGATTATGATAAGGAAAAGGAAGCTTCAAACTTCAATGAGAGATGAATTTTGATTGATTTTTGAAAAGAAATCCTATCATTTACTGAAATCTCATTTGTGAAAAGAGTAAAACCTTACCTGGTATTTCTCATTGTTTCAGACAAACCTGCATGATACCTAACAGATCACGATCGGAGGAGGATATAAAGGTAAGCACATATAAGATTAGGAGTGTATTTAAAATTTGACCATCTTATAAAGTTTCTTTCAGATTTACCAAGGGAAAAAACAGCATAGACTTGAATAGTGAAACTTCTCCAGCTTTTCTAGCTAGCAAAATATATAACAAACCTTTCATATACAGAGATCATGTCAAAATAATTTCTAGTCTCCCAACTGCTCGAGAATGGGATGCACTTATACAACTATGTTGTTGATTGATTTTTTGGCTACATGGTTAGTTATACCTGGTTACCAAACCCAGAATACTTTGTTTTAACAAATCACAATGTGTTGGTGTTGACAGATGTGCCTGGACATCCTGGATGCAGTGGTGTGCTACAGTTATCTCCCCTGCGAGTGTCTCCAGCATGTGATTGCAGCCCTTTGTCGCATGATCAACATGCCAAAGTATTGTCTGAACAGTTGGGAGGTATTGTTGTAAATATTTATACCCGTATTATTTGGTAACTCATAGACTGATCTCTTTAACAGCTCAGAGTTATTGTTCTAAATCTTAGTTACTGATTTTCAAATAACTCATATATATTGTCGTATGTCCTTAGCAGGTATTCTAGATTGTAGGTGTAATCTAACATCAAATGCTTTTAATGCCTAGACATTTTAGGATGAAGAGCATATTGAGTAGCCAGTGGGAGTCACATCACATCCAAAATCTTCCATTTCTTAAAGAATTTTGATAATTTTCTCGCATTTTGAATTCCATTGATAGGATTTCTGTCTTGCACGATACAAACAGTTGTGGCAGTAGTGAAGGTAGACTGAGATTTATTAACATTTCACTTTAAAGTTTACAGCCTAGCAACTATGAAAATTAGAGCAGCTAAGAAGCTGATATTACAATGTATTGTGTGAATCTCAGTTTCATATTTAGTACAAGTGCTATTCCATTCTAACCTGGTTAGTTACAATGTAGTATAGACGTCTTAAATAGTTAGATAATTTTTTATTTTCTTGTGTATTTTTTGGAAAAAACTTCAGATTTTAAGAAATAATTGTGACGTTTTTATGACATGTTCTATTCATTTCATATCTAGCTAATATTCATACTGAAACAACTACTTAAATTATCAGACAATTTGTCCTCTCCATTCTCGGGATGAGTGGTATTTTTAGGGTGAAATGCCATATTTGTGTAGATTTTGAAAACAGAATTTACAAAATTTTGTTTCATGTTTTTCAATGTACTGATATTTAAGCATGACAACAACATATCTATGGTGTTAACATGGCATTGATTGATATTAACTTGGAAAATTGATATTACTTTTTTGAGGGGTGGAGAGGAGACAAAGATTTCAGTGTATTTTGCATCTTGCTTAAAATCATCATATTTAGTAAAAACAAAGCATATAAGACTACAAATGTCTTTTTTAATTATCTAAATCAATCAATCTTCCAAATTGTGTAATCCAGGAGTTGTCCTGAATTTAACATTTACTCTCAGTAATGTTGATGAATTGTCTATTGCAGTAAAATAATGGATATCATTTATGTTCAAAATCATGTGAAGGGCCAAATAAAGTGATTAAAAAGACAATATGGATATAGATTCCTACAGTCGATGATATGTAAGGTAGATGTTTATTCTCTAAATAAATGATAAAATGTGTTCCACACAGTTGATGAAGAAGCTGTTGGGAACCCATCTTGGACACAGCAGTATCTACACCATGTGTTGTATGCTCCAGGACAGGTAATATACTATGTACTTACTAGTATATTTTATTTTACATATTAAATTATGATTGACTTTTAACAGTATAAGCAGTATACAAGCAGAAAAAACTCGAACAAAACACAAAAGATGCAAACATTATACAGACTACATATCCCCTGCAGCATTGAAAGTTACTGATGTCACAAAATTAGCATTTTAAATGTTAATCTCAAATATTACATTATCAAAATAGTTTTTTAAAGTTTTGTTTCATGACTTTTCCAGAAGACAACCTACAGACCATAACTTGTTGCGTGGGTCTGTTTTCTTTGTGGGAATGGCTCTCTGGGGCTCGAAGAAAGTGCCCACACTTAAACATACATTCTCCTCTGTACTACCCTCCTTTCTCCAGGTAACATTAGCTGGAAGTTATCATTACTTATGTTTATGAATACTTAGACGGAATTTTCTTTTAATCAAGTACAAGTATTGAAATAAAAATTTTCCCTTAAAAATGATTCTTCATAATACTCGTTTTTGATTGTTGTTTAACAAGTCACATGAGCAGGATGTCAAGATTGTAAAATATTCATGAATTCTAGGCTATTTTGATTGTATTCCACTCTTAAGATTTTAAACTCCAGTCAGTACACTTTTCCACACCCAGGTGCTGTCCACTAACAGTCACATTGTTGCATATGAGGTGGTGCTCTCTATACATAGACTAGTGAAAAAGTACGGGAAGGACCTACAACATGTTACCTGGAATATTGTCATGGATATCCTGGAGGGGCTGCTCAAACTCATGGAGGTAAATAACTGTAAATTAGACTGATATGTCAAATCACACCATATTGATCATCACCGAGCTATGCCATTAACATATACTGACAAGGGGATACAGAGTGGATGAAATATTGAATGTCACCTGAATAATGTCACATCATTGATAAAGTGCAAAGCTGATGAAATTTCAAAGCTGTATCAACTGTCCTGACTAATGCCAACATCAGCACAGTTGCTGTTGTTTCCTACTTGTATAACAATACACTATTGATTATTGCTTACTGCCACTGGTATGTAAAGCATAGCACCACCAAAATATATCTTACTTTCCTGTATGCTAGTGTGCCTGATTAGAATTTCTTTTTAAATTACACATTGGACTGATAAACGACACTTCTGTGATGATAAGGAGGATTTGTGTTCCTGTGAAGACAACAACAAAAGTTCCTCAAACGTTACAATCTTTAAGTAAAGACAAGTATACTCACCTGTTTTATAGCTATTAAATAAAATTTCAAATATTACGGTAAGATTTGATCAACATTAAAGAAAGTACCAGTAAAACAATTAGGATAATGATGAGTCAGCTTTCTGTAAAACTCATTCTTGACAGGTCAGTGTGCCAAACCAACCTCCCTTGGATCCCCGAATGCCAGTGGATTTCCATGACATTCTTTCCATTATAGAAGACCTCCACATGCACGGCCATTTCGCAGGATGTGTGTCTCGGTTTTTTAAAATCATTGAGATGTGTGCTTCAAAAAGGCCAGTAAGTTCAAATATGTTGTGATTTAAATGAGGTTCTGGTGCATACTGAATATTAACATAGCAAAATAGACTTGCTATATTGTCTTCAAAGGAATATGAATATCATTTATGTTTTGTGATATATTTTAACTGGCATGAATTGCTTAATGACATGTGGATACTGGGAGACTAGCATTGCAGGGGAAATTCATCTTTCACTACTTAACCCTGTTGCAGTCTGTATAATACATTGAGTGCAATATTAAATTTTTGTTTTTATATTGAAATGCTGGGAAATGAAATATTTGGTAATGTAATTAATGATTTGACTAATTTTCTGTCCATGTTTTTCAACTAGTAGAAAGTTCCCGTACAATTTATTTATTTGGTCAAAGCCATATACATATAATTGAAAGTTTGATCTGGTTTTCTGCTAAATTAGCCAATTTCAGTATGATACATTGCAACTGCATTGCATAAATAAAGTATACAAGAACATTTATCAATATTTAAATTGTGTTGCAAAAGGATGACTCTGTAGTACAGTTAATCACATTTTTGTCACTCAGGGTCTCGCAGGCGCATAAACATACAGTAGTATTGAGGCCAGGATGTTGGCAGAGGGTAGTGCAGCAAAATATCAGACACCACAATGTCACGATTATAAATCTAGTAAATTGTCACCAACGCTAGTGTGCACATATGAAATGACAGACACACAAACCTGACAACAGAACCAAGTGAGATATATATATAGCGTACAGGGTACAAACATTTTGATGGTTTCTTTGACAGGAGAGTTCCGTATCCATGCTGATTACCCATCATGCTCAAATGATACTACCTGTGAAGGAGAATTGGATCCAGAATCTTTACTCACTATTAGAGAAATACTTCAGGTAAGATTTACAGCATAGATTAGGTTAAAATAAACCAATTGTTTCATATACTGAACAAGGAAAAGAAAGATATCAAAATATGTCAAACCTATTCTTAGGTTAACCTATGACAGGTGTTTTTTAAACAACACAGTTAAAGGCTCTGTATCAGTGTATCCTACAGGTAAATTTAACCTACATGTAAAGGCTCTGTATCAGTGTGTTAGACAGGTATATTTAACCTACAAGTAAAGGCTCTGTATCAGTGTATCCTACATGTATATTTAACCGACAAGTAAAGGCTCTGTATCAGTGTGTTAGACAGGTATATTCAACCGACAAGTAAAGGCTCTGTATCAGTGTGTTAGACAGGTATATTCAACCTACAAGTAAAGGCTCTGTATCAGTGTATCCTACATGTATATTTAACCGACAAGTAAAGGCTCTGTATCAGTGTATCCTACATGTATATTTAACCGACAAGTAAAGGCTCTGTATCAGTGTGTTAGACAGGTATATTCAACCTACAAGTAAATGCTCTGTATCAGTGTATCCTACAAGTATATTCAACCTACAAGTAAAGGCTCTGTATCAGTGTATCCTACATGTATATTTAACCTACATGTAAAGGCTCTGCATCAGTGTATCCTACATGTATATTTAACCTACAAGTAAAGGCTCTGTATCAGTGTATCCTACATGTATATTTAACCTACATGTAAAGGCTCTGTATCAGTGTAACCTACAGGTATATTTAACCTACATGTAAAGGCTCTGTTTCAGTGTATCATACAGGTATATTTAACCTATAAGTAAAGGCTCTGTATCAGTGTATCCTACATGTATATTTAACCGACAAGGAAAGGCTCTGTATCAGTGTATCCTACAGGTATATTTAACCTACAAGTAAAGGCTCTGTATCAGTGTAACCTACAGGTATATTTAACCTACATGTAAAGGCTCTGTATCAGTGTAACCTACAGGTATATTTAACCTACATGTAAAGGCTCTGTATCAATGTAACCTACAGGTATATTTAACCTACATGTAAAGGCCCTGTATCAGTGTAACCTACAGGTATATTCAACCTACAAGTAAAGGCTCTGTATCAGTGTAACCTACAGGTATATTCAACCTACAAGTAAAGGCTCTGTATCAGTGTAACCTACAGGTATATTTAACCTACAAGTAAAGGCTCTGTATCAGTGTAACCTACAGGTATATTTAACCTACAAGTAAAGGCTCTGTATCAGTGTAACCTACAGGTATATTTAACATACACAGTGTGTGTATTCTACAGGTATATTTAACCTACATGTAAAGGCTCTGTATCAGTGTATCCTACAGGTATATTTAACATACACAGTGTGTGTATTCTACAGGTATGTTTAACCTACATGTAAAGGCTCTGTATAAGTTCAGTTCAATTTGGAATTCTAATGTAATTTTGTGAAATTAGAATTAATCTGTTTGAAATCACATTTTTACATTTAATACTCCAATGGACTTGGAGAACAATTTATTTAAAATTTGCCAATATATGCTAATTATGAAAATAAGCCATATTGATTCCCCTTAATAAAAGAACAAAAAACGAGAGATTTTAGAGTACTTAAGTAAACTTATGGTTGTTTTCTTGTGTAAGTCAAGCTATGACTAAAGGGAATACAGTGGGGTCCTTATTTACAGAGCTAACTATAGAACAGGGCCTTGCAAAAAGGAATTTATATATATTTGAAATATTGGCAGATGGTAATGTACATTAATACAGTCGTGACACCTACAACTGAATTGAACTTTTTTCCAGAAGTAGTGGGCATTAATGGAAGTGGATTAATGGATGACTTTCTGATGGAATAAATGCTCTATTAAATATGCACATATGTATATTGATAATTATGTTTGACTTTGCAGACAAGAGAGTCGTACAATGATCAGAACAAAGGCTCTGGCTGTCCTTTCTTTTGTTCTTAGTGTCAATAAACATGTACACGAGGTAAGTGCAATTTTGGTTCGACAGAGAAATCATTAAAGATAAAACATAGATCTAAACCTCCTTGAAATTTAACGTTAATATACTATGGTCACAACATCTATTTGATCAATATGTATCTAGGTTGTTTACCAAGGTAGGTTTGACCTTCAACCATTTTGAAGGATACAAGTGAAATTTTTGTGCAAACAGCATTGAACTACATGTGAATGATGCAGCTCCTTCTCCTTCAAAGTAGTTTATCTACTTTGTGTTTTTAAAGATATTGGTATGTGATGTAATTAAGAACAGTTGAATTGACCTACAATTTACAGGATGAGCTGATCAACAATGTTGTGCTGCCTCACCTAGGACACATAGACCAGGACAGTGACCCGGAGGTGAGGAAGGTCGCTGCTGAGATGTTGCTGTGTCTGGCGCAGAGCTGTAGCCACCAGTGTTTCCTGCATATCATAGTCCTCTTAGAAAAGGTGTGTATATTAGTAATATACCATATTTTCTGGATTATAAGCTGTACCTTTTTATCCTCATGAATTGGGCATGCCGCTCATATAACGATGTGGCTGATATGCTGAAAAAAAATCAGTAGTGAAAAAAAAATGGGAAGGGTACCAGTACACCAGTATGAGATGGTATACTTCTATCACATAAGAGGCTACTGGTCGGCCGTTTCATCATCCGTCATTATTGTGCCGACTGCAACTACGCAGCTCCTGTCATAAGTTTCTCACTGTGTAAAACCTTTAGCATTGTTGGAGCAGCAACAGTACTGAGTTTTTTTATGAGTACCTGCTACCATGTGTTTGTGACGAAAAAATTTGTCTAGAAACGTCATTTGCAATCATATTCAGGATGATTTGAAGATTGAAATAAAAATAACATTCTTGTGGATGTAATTCATCACACCTTTTAATATGAATCACAATAATATCTTCCGGCCTTTTGCAGTTACTTTAATGCCAGAGCAAAAGTTTACAATAGCTTTTTGCATCCAGGAATGGATAGGTCATTGGTATATAGGTCGAATTCTAGGACAACTGCCATTCTTTTGTACGAAATGATGGCTTCGTGTAACTTAAAAGAAGATATAATATGGAACTAGAAGAATTTCGTCGGTATGCAAGGGCCTTCATTCATATATTTGACAGTACAAACACTGATGAAGAGATTGTTCAGTAAACCGTACATAACGCTGGGCCCTATATCTGTGCGTAGACAACCTGTGAAGGCATCCAAGTCAAATACTACATCAATAAAATAAGGATTATCTGTGAATGATTCATTTGCAAACTTTATTAAATGTTTCACTGATGATCTTGATAAATTACCTGCAGTTGTCTTGTTATATCAACAAACTTTGGTCAACATAACCGTTACCATTGCATAAGAACTGTCTCCTGTTATCTGTTACTGGTAAATCAAACATCAACAATAGTGGTCACCATATCATAAGAAAGGGTGCAGATTTTATGTGAATCAAATCGAAAATTGGTAAAAATTGACTCTTTGGCTTATAACTCAGAAAATACTGTTTATATGGGGAAAAAAACAAAACAAAACAAAAATGCTGTATTGTGGCCATTGAAAAGGAATTAAGAAACCATTAACTCAAATTGTTGATTTTTAAAATTTTGTCAGTGTAACAGTTTGATGTTACTTTCTGTGTTCAGTTGATCGACAAGCCAGTGGTAGCCATCGTAACTACTCCGTACCCGTCAACGGAAGGAGGAGAGACCCTGCAACAGCATGACGAGAGTCATCTAGTGGATATTAAGACTGGCATTTTAGGGCTGGTGGATCTCCTCCGGGTAAGCTTTATCATACTAGTAGGTCATTGATCTGGTGGAAAGCTATTTTACAGATCAATTGATACATCTATCAACAAAGTTTTCACAACACTGATTTTATCAAGAGTATAGATATTTAACAAATCAAACTACACCCACTTACAAATTGTAATAACATTGATCAGGTGTAGAGCGGATGTTATCAGGTACAGAACTATTTTAAACATCAAATTACTTCTACCCATTAATTTTGATAACACTGATTTGATTAGTTGTAGAACTGTTTTACAGATCAAACTTTACACCTACCCATCGAGTGAGTGTCTGAAGATCTACCAGATGGTCGTGGGCCACATTAGGACACAGTACAACAACAGTCAGGACTACAGTAGTCACACAGCAGCAGTCATCAGGAAGGCTGTGAGTATAAGACTTATTCTGCTTACTTGTACTAAAAGAGATTTATGTTTTTATAGATATTTATAGAGTGTTGATTTTGGGACGTGCCAAAATGAGCTAGGATTGAAATTGAGCCACCTTTCCAAGCAAAATGTATAAATCAAAAAATAAAACATCCAACATATTTCATGAGTTTGAAATCTGACTTCTAATTTGCAGTAATGTAAAGTTATTTTTGTCGTGTAATGATTAGCAATTGATTCTGTTTTTTTTTCATATTCTGCAATAAGGTGCTACTTATAGTGTTAAAATGGCTTCAACTTTGCATTGACTGGCACTAGCAATACACTATCTTTTTATTACAGATCATGACTGCACTGCTCGAAATGAGGTCTGATAGTTTGAGCAGGATGGGTTTTATCAACAAGGAGCAGGATAATCTACTCAAGTTTAGCCCATACATTGTGTGTGAATTAAGGTGAGAACTTGTCCTATAGCTCAAAGATTACCTGTAATTTGCCAGGTTTTTTGGATGATTAGTCAGTTACAATATAATGTTATCTATCTCTTGCAGAATTTGTTCTCCATGATTTTCAATGACAAATCTAGAAGACAAAAATGTGAAATGTTGTTATTGTGTAGAGAGACTATTTTCCATGAATGCATTATAGAACTGATGACAATGTTACTATTAAATTCATGATGATTCCGCTGGGATCTCTTTTGATACATCCTTTTATATTAAGGTCTGGGATGCTCTACCCATGAGTCACAAAAATAGCCAGGACTGTGTGGAGGGTTTCACAATATTCTTGTAACCTGAGAATAAAATATTCCTATCTTACACATATATACGTTAAAGACTATTTATCTCTCATTTTCAAACATGCCATTGTATTTCTCATCTTTCTACAGATGTGATGATGATACTTTGAGTGTCCCCTCCAGCCCCAACCCTGTCCCTAAGGATTCATCAAAGTTTCTGTGGACAAGTGCTTCACTACTGAACTACACTGAAGCCTTCAGCCTCTTCATCACCTGTCTGAAACATGTAAGTGTCTCTGTAAGGTCCAGACCATTCCATGTTACAGGCAATTGGTAAAAGTAATCATGGTTTTGCATAACATTGGAAGATAAAATCACCTTGCACCAGAGAATTTCTTGATGTGTATACATATCAATGACAATTCTTTTGTTTAAGTGGGGAAGGGGGCTTATTTGCAGGATATTGACCGTTAATGGTGATTATAATGGTAAAAGTGTGTTTATGTTATGAAATTATATACACAATTATTATTTCTTACATTGAATTAGCTCTGTTAAAGGTGTTCAATTGATTTTAAGTGTTCCATTAATCTTTTGATGTGTTTATGATTTTGTTTGTATTTAAGTTTTAACTTTCTACTTTGAGTAAATTAATTGACTGGGGAACATCATCCCTTATATTTACAGAATTTTTCCATTAAATTACAATTTCGATTTTATCCATTCCAAATTTTACAGACACAGAAGTAATGAAAACATTCAGCTTGCCAACTGAAAGCTACAACAGCCTATTGTTCATTAATACAAAATTTTAACATTTTTCTATTGAGATTCTGTGAAAAGTTTTAGTCAGATTGGTATAAGGACTTGTGTGTGATACAATGATGATATGTGGGAGCCCATCGTTCATAAGACCACAAAGGTTATAGAGTAAGTTATGGTGGTAGCTGTTAATATTTATGTGAAACTTGTAGAGATGTATAGTGTTGTAAAGATGTGTTAATCTTATCATGATTAATGTGTAAATTGTTTGCAAATCTATGTTTTCTATATTTCGTTATTCTTATATATTCTTGTATAGGACCTCGACTGGCAAGTGATCGAGTGTGTGCTGGTTAATCTGCCACTGTTACTACAGAACAAGACACTCATCCTCTCCACTCAGGGTGACCTTATTGACACTCTGTGTCATGTACTCTGTGCCATGGTAATTATTCACACACACTGGCAAACTCTCCCAGAGTGCATTGCAGTATCTGGCATAACACCTATGTAAACTGATCATGGCTTTTCACGATTTATAAAGTCCTTGGGACACATTAAAAAGTGTTCCTTTGACATTTTTCATCTTTGAATATTTAATATAGCTACTGTTTCATTTTACCTTTGTTGCCATGGATAAGGTTATTTTCATCTAATTACCAGTATTATGTTGTGCAATTTTGATTGAAATGTGTGCCAGTCAGCAGTTAAATATACAACAGTTGTGGCTTTAGTCTTGGTGGGTATATGCAGTCTTAGTTCATATTGTCATAATGTTAGTTATACATGTGACTAACGTTTAATTTTTATGTACATGTAAAATTAATGATTTGCTGTGGAAGTTCTGGTGATTTCAGTACTTAGAAAGCAATTTTATTACCTATTGACAGTTTGTGGCTCAGTCACTTATCCACATTAGTACAACCATCTGCCTATTCATATAAGTATATATACCTCAAGGTCAGATTTGATGGTCTGTGAGCTAGGAATGAGAGCTCTGGCAGAGACACTTATTTGATATTTGTTCATTTCGCATTAGCTTGTAGAAAGGTTTGGAGTGCTGTATGATGATATGTAGAGTAATTCCTTCTAAAGTTGATATTGAATTATGGAGTGCTGTCAGATGATGTGTAAAATAATTTCTTCTAAACTTGATATTGAACTTTGGGATACTGTCAGATGATATGTAAAATGATTTCGTTCAAACTTGATATTGAATTGTAGGGTGCTGTCAGATGATGTGTAAAATAATTTCTTCTAAACTTGATATTGAACTTTGGGATACTGTCAGATGATATGTAAAATGATTTCGTTCAAACTTGATATTGAATTGTAGGGTGCTGTCAGATGATATGTAAAATGATTTCCTCTGAACTTGATATTGAATTGTAGGGTGCTGTCAGATGATGTGTAAAATAATTTCTTCTAAACTTGATATTGAACTTTGGGATACTGTCAGATGATATGTAAAATGATTTCGTTCAAACTTGATATTGAATTGTAGGGTGCTGTCAGATGATGTGTAAAATAATTTCTTCTAAACTTGATATTGAACTTTGGGATACTGTCAGATGATATGTAAAATGATTTCGTTCAAACTTGATATTGAATTGTAGGGTGCTCAGATGATGTGTAAAATAATTTCTTCTAAACTTGATATTGAACTTTGGGATACTGTCAGATGATATGTAAAATGATTTCGTTCAAACTTGATATTGAATTGTAGGGTGCTGTCAGATGATATGTAAAATGATTTCCTCTGAACTTGATATTGAATTGTAGGGTGCTGTCAGATGGTGTGTAAAATAATTTCTTCTAAACTTGATATTGAACTTTGGGATACTGTCAGATGATATGTAAAATGATTTCGTTCAAACTTGATATTGAATTGTAGGGTGCTGTCAGATGATATGTAAAATGATTTCCTCTGAACTTGATATTGAATTGTAGGGTGCTGTCAGATGATGTGTAAAATAATTTCTTCTAAACTTGATATTGAATTTTGGGATGCTGTCAGATGATATGTAAAATGATTTCCTCTGAACTTGATATTGAATTGTAGGGTGCTGTCAGATGATATGTAAAATGATTTCCTCTGAACTTGATATTGAATTGTAGGGTGCTGTCAGATGATGTGTAAAATAATTTCTTCTAAACTTGATATTGAATTTTGGGATGCTGTCAGATGATATGTTAAAATAATTTTCTCTGAACTTGATATTGAATTGTGGGTTGTTGTCTGATATGTAAAATGATTTCTTCTAAACTTGAGTTTTTAACTGATATTCAGGTAAATGACCGCCAACTTGGCTTTCCTGAAAAACTAACCAGTGTTCCATTTGGAAAGTTTACCAGATCAGATTTCCATGCTTATATATTTCCTGTACTAGCATCCATGGTGTCTTATCACAAGTACCTGGACAGAAACAGACAGGTAAGCTCAGTTTAAAAGAATACATATAATGATATCATTGATCTATGAAAACATTTAAAACCCTTATTCTGTTTTGCTGAATGCAAAAAGAATTAAAACACATTTCTTGAACAAATTTCAAGTTTTGAAAGTTACAGTTAAAGAGTTAGGATTTTTGGTAACCCAAAGAGATTATTATAATTTATGTTTTACCGAAAGAGCTGATAAAATGCTAAGAGTTTTTGTCTGGTGTTTTGAGTTGCAGAAAGAGCTGATCAAATGTCTAGAGTTTGGTCTGGTGTCAAAGTGTGCCAAACTATGCACCAATGCGTTACGTTTGTGTACACTGGAAATGCAGGAGGTAATGATGAGACAATTACCATCTGTCCTTCTGCAGCTCTCCAAAATATCAGCTACAGTATCCATGGCGATACCTGTACTGGCATTTCTCTCTAGTAAGTTAACATTAATCTATTAAACATCTATTGGATGATGCTTTTTACCTGTCATTTACTAGTAACAAAATGTATGGCAACTCTGGTCTATGTCATGTTCCTGTTTGCAAATCAGTCTTCTGAAATACTCTGTGAATAGAGCCTTCTGACTAAGTAAAAAGATTCCTTTTAACTTTCAAATGCTGTGTAACCTTTATGCTGTTAAAATCTTTATGTACAGAAAAAATTGAAATTAGCAAATGATTGACCAAGTTCATTGATTTTGAAACAATTTGCTAAGTTGGGATAATTTTTTTCTTGTTTAAGGTATCGTCCGTCTACCAAAGATGTATGCTAACTTTGTGGAGGATGAATATATGAGTGTGTTTGCTATAGCACTACCATATACCAACCCCTTCAAGTAAGTCAATCTTTCGTATCAAAAGTTGAAAAGTTATTTTTGTGAACTCCGTATTGAAAGGGAGGATGTCAGAAAATAAGGTTTGGAAAGCTCTTATTTTTGATATAGTTTGTTAATTGTATTGTTTTTGTGAATTTCATCACAGATATACTGTAAATCACTTAGATTTTGTGAATACTTTTTTTCATGAACTCTCCTTTGGAGACATATTTGCAAATACATTATTTCAGGAACATTGATCTAAAAATGATGAGCTATAAGAGACATACACTCTGGAAAACTCCCATAACGGAAGCTGATAGCTCCATATTGGCTATCATTTTGCTTATGAGAGTCATGTGATTGTACTTAAAGAGTGATTTAGTCATATGATACATGTTGTGTCCATATTGAATTTTTATTTATCAAGTACATGCCAGTACAAAGACAAAAGAAATACTGCACATGCTTTATGTTTGAAAAGTTTTCAGGGTAAGATGACAGCACATTAATAGGTCATCCGTACTGTACTGTGCAGTGTTTAATGTTACACTTCATGTTTATACTAATCATACAATAGTTGTCCAAGCAGTAACAACTTTGACACTTTTCCTACTGGGTATTTTGTAATTTGCATTTTAATCTCTGGTAAATATTTTAGCACCTTTCCAACACAAAAACAGCATTGGGGATTTATAATTATACCCATTGTGGCACACAAACTCGACCTCTGTTCTGCAACTGTACATTTGAATGATGCCTTTTGTGAAGCTCTACAGTCAGCGATATTGGGATGTAGTTTAAAAGTACAGAGTTCCGAAAATGTCTGAATTTGAAAGGAATATATGTCTAGCAGATTTGTTTTTGTTAATATGATAAGGTATATACCAATTCAACAGAAGTGTAAACAGAAGTAAAAGTAACGGCAGAATAACAAGAATATTATCAAGAGATTTGTACAAATAATCTCAAGATATTTTAATTCGCAATTGGCTCTCCTTACATATTAATACGAAAATAAATACCACACAAAATATAAGTGATTTACAGTATTGTTTAAATTGTACAGTGTTCTTTTACATACTACTTTTGTTATGTATGTATCTTGATAAAAAATGATAACTTTAAGGATATCCATTCCTTAAGAATCATGTAAATACCTCTTATATTATGTTGAAATTCTCCTACAGATAAACATAATTTTGACATTGATTTTTAATTAATTGACATTGTTAAACTGACGCTAAGTTTTAATATATTGATATTGTTTCACTGATTTCTTTTCATATTTATAGGTTCAGCCATTATACAGTGTCTTTGGCTCACCATGTTATTGCGATCTGGTTCATACGCTGTCGACTTCCCTTTAGGAAAGGCTTCGTCAAGTTTATACAGAAGGTATGCAATATAATTATGAATGTCATTCTGTAAAATACCTTGTGTATGAAATATCCAGAAATCATTTATTTATTTATCACCTGATGATCCTCTAACTTTCTGTAGAGGGTATGGTCAGTAGGATTCATTGATTAGGAGTGGTCACCTGATGATCCTCTAACTTTCTGTAGAGGGTATGGTCAGTAGGATTCATTGATTAGGAGTGGTCACCTGATGATCCTCTAACTTTCTGTAGAGGGTATGGTCAGTAGGATTCATTGATTAGGAGTGGTCACCTGATGATCCTGTAACTTTCTGTAGAGGGTATGGTCAGTAGGATTCATTGATTAGGAGTGGTCACCTGATGATCCTGTAACTTTCTGTAGAGGGTGTGGTCAGTAGGATTCATTGATTAGGAGTGGTCACCTGATGATCCTCTAACTTTCTGTAGAGGGTGTGGTCAGTAGGATTCACTGATTAGGATGGTCACCTGATGATCCTGTAACTTTCTGTAGAGGGTGTGGTCAGTAGGTCACTGATTAGGAGTGGTCCTGATGATCCTCTAACTTTCTGTAGAGGGTGTGGTCAGTAGGATTCACTGATTAGGAGTGGTCACCTGATGATCCTGTAACTTTCTGTAGAGGGTATGGTCAGTAGGATTCACTGATTAGGAGTGGTCACCTGATGATCCTCTAACTTTCTGTAGAGGGTATGGTCAGTAGGATTCATTGATTAGGAGTGGTCACCTGATGATCCTCTAACTTTCTGTAGAGGGTATGGTCAGTAGGATTCATTGATTAGGAGTGGTCACCTGATGATCCTGTAACTTTCTGTAGAGGGTATGGTCAGTAGGATTCATTGATTAGGAGTGGTCACCTGATGATCCTCTAACTTTCTGTAGAGGGTGTGGTCAGTAGGATTCATTGATTAGGAGTGGTCACCTGATGATCCTCTAACTTTCTGTAGAGGGTATGGTCAGTAGGATTCATTGATTAGGAGTGGTCACCTGATGATCCTCTAACTTTCTGTAGAGGGTATGGTCAGTAGGAATCATTGATTAGGAGTGGTCACCTGATGATCCTGTAACTTTCTGTAGAGGGTATGGTCAGTAGGATTCATTGATTAGGAGTGGTCACCTGATGATCCTGTAACTTTCTGTAGAGGGTGTGGTCAGTAGGATTCATTGATTAGGAGTGGTCACCTGATGATCCTCTAACTTTCTGTAGAGGGTGTGGTCAGTAGGATTCACTGATTAGGAGTGGTCACCTGATGATCCTCTAACTTTCTGTAGAGGGTGTGGTCAGTAGGATTCACTGATTAGGAGTGGTCATCTGATGATCCTGTAACTTTCTGTAGAGGATATGGTCAGTAGGATTCACTGATTAGGAGTGGTCACCTGATGATCCTGTAACTTTCTGTAGAGGGTATGGTCAGTAGGATTCATTGATTAGGAGTGGTCACCTGATGATCCTGTAACTTTCTGTAGAGGGTATGGTCAGTAGGATTCATTGATTAGGAGTGGTCATCACCTGATGATCCTGTAACTTTCTGTAGAGGGTGTGGTCAGTAGGATTCATTGATTAGGAGTGGTCACCTGATGATCCTGTAACTTTCTGTAGAGGGTGTGGTCAGTAGGATTCATTGATTAGGAGTGGTCACCTGATGATCCTGTAACTTTCTGTAGAGGGTATGGTCAGTAGGATTCATTGATTAGGAGTGGTCACCTGATGATCCTCTAACTTTCTGTAGAGGGTGTGGTCAGTAGGATTCATTGATTAGGAGTGGTCACCTGATGATCCTCTAACTTTCTGTAGAGGGTGTGGTCAGTAGGATTCATTGATTAGGAGTGGTCACCTGATGATCCTGTAACTTTCTGTAGAGGGTATGGTCAGTAGGATTCATTGATTAGGAGTGGTCACCTGATGATCTTTTAACTTTCTGTAGAGGGTATGGTCAGTAGGATTCATTGATTAGGAGTGGTCACCTGATGATCCTCTAACTTTCTGTAGAGGGTATGGTCAGTAGGATTCATTGATTAGGAGTGGTCACCTGATGATCTTTTAACTTTCTGTGATCTTTTAACTTTCTGTAGAGGGTGTGGTCAGTAGGATTCATTGATTAGGAGTGGTCACCTGATGATCCTCTAACTTTCTGTAGAGGGTATGGTCAGTAGGATTCATTGATTAGGAGTGGTCACCTGATGATCCTGTAACTTTCTGTAGAGGGTGTGGTCAGTAGGATTCATTGATTAGGAGTGGTCACCTGATGATCCTGTAACTTTCTGTAGAGGGTATGGTCAGTAGGATTCATTGATTAGGAGTGGTCACCTGATGATCCTCTATCTTTCTGTAGAGGGTGTGGTCAGTAGGATTCATTGATTAGGAGTGGTCACCTGATGATCCTCTAACTTTCTGTAGAGGGTGTGGTCAGTAGGATTCATTGATTAGGAGTGGTCACCTGATGATCCTGTAACTTTCTGTAGAGGGTATGGTCAGTAGGATTCATTGATTAGGAGTGGTCACCTGATGATCTTTTAACTTTCTGTAGAGGGTATGGTCAGTAGGATTCATTGATTAGGATTAGGAGTGGTCACCTGATGATCACCTGATGATCCTTTAACTTTCTGTAGATGGTATGGTCAGTAGGATTCATTGATTAGGAGTGGTCACCTGGTGATCCTCTAACTTTCTGTAGAGGGTATGGTAGTGGTCAGTAGGATTCACCTGATGATTAGGAGTCACCTATGGTCTGTAGAGGGTGTGGTCAGTAGGATTCATTGATTAGGAGTGGTCACCTGATGATCCTTTAACTTTCTGTAGAGCGTATGGTCAGTAGGATTCATTGATTAGGAGTGGTCACCTGATGATCCTGTAACTTTCTGTAGAGGGTGTGGTCAGTAGGATTCATTGATTAGAGAGTAACATGTAGCACCAATGCCTATTGCTTCAAAGTATTTTCGATATTGAAGCTGGTTTTATATTAAAAAATTATTGACTTTTTTTGAGATGAATATGATAATTTATCTACCCGATAAGGCACGAGATAAAGATTGAAAGTCATATGATAAAATTGTTATGCATTATTTAACCTCAATAATTATTGGTTATGTTCTCTCCGCCAGGTAAAAAAATAAAAGACAATGACACTGTATCATAGGGAGGTTATACTATTATTTGAAACTGTTTTAGCAACATTGACTGCAATTAGAAGTGGGGGAAGTATCTGTAGTGATAAATGCTTTTTGTCATTTTTTTTTTAAAGTTTTAGATAGAGATCACATCACATCTTGTCTTTTATGTTTGTATAATAGATTTAAAACATGTGATAAAGAATCAATGCTTGTTTTTTGATGACATGCTTACCTTTGCTTCCTATATGAATAATGACTCCGCAGTGGTCAGTATTTATACATAGTCAAGTTTGAGCATGTGATGATGCTCTACTTAAAATATCAGGAGTAGTATCTGATATGGTTAGTTTGGGGTCATTCTTGGATTTTCCTCTTCGAAGAGAAACAGTTGTTTGCTTCCTTTCCCAACCCTTTACTGAACAGCATCTTAGTAATTTTTCACAGAAATGACCAAGTGTCAACAATATTTATAAGCTCCGCAACAGACATGTGTAAATATGCACTTTATAGAGAAGTCTCATTGGTGATGTATTTTGATGATGTCATCATTACAGGGACTACGAGCCAATGTGTTGCAGTTGTTTGAGGAAAACTCAATGTTGCAGCTCCAGAATGAGGATTCATCTGATAGGAATAGGGCTGCCACTTACAACGAGGCAGCTCTCAGCAGGTACTCAGGATTGTAGTCAATGTTAAGTAACATGGTAGGAAATACACAGCAATTCAAAAGTAACTGATCTCTGTAAACAAGGAGAGGAAGGAGAGAAAAGTTTAAATCACTTTATTGAAGAAAATACTGAATAACCAGGAAAAAAAAGAAAAAAATATTTTTAAACATTGAGATGAAGCATTTCTGAAATGTTTGTGATTGTCTGTAGAGTATTATTGATATTGCAGCCGACGAAGAATGTTGTCTGGGTCGTCCATATCCAGACAAAGATACCATCCTCCAGTAGACGACAAGATGTCACAGTTCCACAAGGAGCTGACAGAGACTTGTACAGATTTCATGGCTAGATACGCTTTTGCCAACTACAATGCTGTTCCTCACAGGTTTGTATTTATAACTTTTCATATCAACATAGAGGTGATGAAGTCTATGGCTCCAGTCCATCTTCAACACTTTACCAATGTCATCACAAAGAAAAGGTGTAAATTCTTGAAGTAAAATTTTATAAGATATTTTAAATAAATTTCAATAGTACTGTTGAAAAATATTCAAATCCTAATTGGTGAAAGAAAAGGTAGTCCACTGTTCTTCTCTTTTGTTTAACTTGATGTAACCCACTTTCAAACCAGGTCACAGGAGGCAGAATTTCTGCTGAAAGGAGGACAGACCCAAACGTGGCTGCTTGGAAATAAGGTGGTTACTATAACAACAAGTGGAGGGGGCAACAATAAGTTTGGTAATACATGGCTGTGTGACCAGTGTATGGCCCAGATCCAGGGTGGAGAACCTCCAGAGAAGAGGCCTCCTCAGCCAGACACCCCAGGACGCAGACGTCATAAATCTGCTGTAGTTAGTCGCAGTTCTGTACAAGAAGCTTCCAAGTCCAGCAATGATGATATTGGTATACAGGCACGCACATCTTATGATGATATGAGTGTTATAGGAGAAGAACAGCAGAATGTTGGAGTACAGACAGGTCGTTCACTGACAGACCAGTCACCTGCCAAACCAGGCTTTGACACAGAGGCCATAGAATCCCTCCTATGGGGTAGGATACTTTTACAAACAATTCACTAAACCTTACTTTGACCTCTAAACTTGACACTGACAAGAGTTAATAGAGAAATTCTTCTCTAGTGTTAGGTTTCTTTAATTGTTTGTTTTCTCATAGAAATATGCTTTCTCCATTAAGGATCAAAATGTGAGAACTGATTGATAAGTTGTGAGCCTAATATTGAAGATGTTAAGCAGGCATGTCCTTTTTACAGCTCTACTATTCCCTTGCTTTTGAAAGCTGTGTACTTGAAGTCTGGTGTCATTTGGTCAGTTTATGTCAAACAGGTAGCACTCTAAAGGCAGTAACTTTTACAAACATTGGCTGAAAGAGCAGTAATTCAGTAACTGCATAAGAAAGGTCTAGCACCTAAGGATATCCATACTGATATGGTAACACCACTAGGGAATGACAAATAATCAATGGCACATATTATGCATCAATTCTTAGTCAGTTTAGAGAAAATATTAAACTGAAGTGCCATGGAAACCTCAGTAAAGGTATGTTATAACACGAGGACAATGCCCTTGTTCACAAGTCGGTCATTGTCTTGGCTGCTGTTAATGATTTTGGCTTTGAATTGATTGATCATCCACCTTTTTAAGTTATTGGCCTGATCTTGTTTCATCAGACTTTCATCTTTTTCCAAAATTGAAAAGGCCACTTCTGTTTCCCACTTTTGGTCAGATGATGACATCATACATGCAGTGGAGGACTTTCTGAATGGTCAAAAGTGTATAGATACTGAAGTGGATTAAGTTGAAAACTAATGCAATATATCCACCAAAAGTTAAATCCTTAAATATTAGGCTCACAACTTAACAATCAGCCCTGGTGGCATTGTATTGTAATAGGTTGTATTTACAAAAGAAACTTTTTATTTTGTAGTAGGCTCTGCTTGTTGTTTATCCAATTTACCTTGTCAATTAAATTTGTTGAAATGAAAATATGAAGAACACCTACTGGTTATCAACATTATTTTAAGGAAGTGAAAAAGTACTTTATAAATAACTAGAAAAATGTGAATGTTATTTTTAATTGGTTAAAAACCAGTCATTTGGGAAATATTGAATTTTACCTTGGTATTTTGAAGGGGTGAAGAACCCGTCATCAGATGGACGGGTGCTGAACAACCTCATGTGTAATTGTTGGTGCACTGGCTGGGCAGAGATCATGATACGTGCTCCAAGTGGAAACCTTTCATGGATGATGCGAATTGAGAATGAGACAAGTCTTACATCTCTCCAGGAGTCACCTATGACAGACATTACCATGCTGTTTGCAGCCATGCGTAACAAGCCACCAGACATGGACAGTTTGCGGAGCTCAAGTAGGATAGACAGCGGGAGTATTGGGGAGGAGGAGTATGAGTCCTTGTATGACCTTCACTTCCCCTCCGATTCCAACAGTGACCACAAAAGTGAGTGTCTCTCCTTCTTATGACAGTGATCACAAAAGTGAGTGTCTTTCGTTCACTTCCCCTCAAACACTAACAATGACCGTAAAAGTGAGTGTCTGTCCTACCTCCATTTCCCCTCAAACATTGACAATGACCACAAAAGTGAGTGTCTGTCTTTCGTCCACTTCCCCTCAAACACTGACAATGACCACAAAAGTGAGTGTCTGTCTTTCGTCCACTTTCCCTCAAACACTGACAGTGACAACAAAAGTGAGTGTTGTTCCTACCTCCACTTCCCCCTTAAACTTTTGATGTACATACTGTACTTGTAGTTTTGAGTTTTTTATTTTGTGTATGGTGAGTCTCCTGCCTTAGACCTCATATGTTTCAAGGGAATTATTAGTGAGATCTGTTTATTGTCCAAGCATATATCTATTTCCAAGACATTCACATTACCAACATTATTTCAGTCTCCCCAAATCAGAATGAGAAGAAGTGGGATTTCACAAAATATATAATTAAAATACTGAAAATCATGGTTTTCAAAATAGATGTTTGAAGGGAAATGTAGCACAAATGATGTCAGTGTCTGAAGTGTAGTTAATGTTGTTATATTGATCATAAAAGTTGTTTTGAGAGAGTAGTATTGATGATGTGTGACCTTGGGATGACCTCTATTCCATTAGGTTGTGACAGTGTACAAATCCGAGTAGATGCTGACACAGGTTTGTAATGGTGTTTTATCTTAGGGTGTCAGTGTAAACTCATCAGTCTGACAGAAGGTTCTGTGTTAACAGCATAGCTTTATCAGAGAATGACTTTACATGCATGAAGCTAGGAAAAATCTCATGCTGTACTTACTCCACGCTATAATTCCATATCCGATCTATTTAGTAAATGTACATGATATATTATGCCAAGTGATGTCTTTCTGATTCTTTCCTTCACATTTAAACAAAAAGGGAGGCAATGGAGGTGAATCACATAATCTTGAAATGAAAACAGTTTAGAGAAACTCATGTCATTTTTGACAAAACTGTATTGAAAAAAAAATCTAATACCCATGTATGTGCAGTATTAATTTAACACAGTCTTCAGACTTACATTCTGTCAGCTTTACCTCAAATGAGGTTTTGTTACAGAAAGTCAGTCCTTGACTGAGAAAAAAAAATCTGGATTACATACGGGTGACAAATTTTATCAATCACAGGCAACCTCGCTTAAAAAAGGCCTAATTTGTAATTATGGAAGGTGATTATCATTCTATAATTCTGATTTAGAATAAAGTGATGGTAATCGCATTAGTAACATCACAGGAAACTCTGTTGTCTAAAGATCAGGTCGACTTTGAGACTGGTATGGTTTACACTGTAACCAACGATTCATAGTTTCATTCTATGTAATTAAGTTCTTCTTTATTTCTGCAGCATATTTATACTAATTCATATTTTTTCTTATGTTTCAAGCATAAACTGCTGTCTGTTATGTTTTACAAAATTTTTAAGAGCAATTAATTAAACTTTCCTCTATTTGTGTTATAGCTGATTCTGTTCTCATTTGAATATATGTTGATACAGCTTTGCTTGAATGAATGTTCTTAATAAAGACTTGTAATTTCTGATTAACTGTTGCTGTTGTACTACTTCATTGCATGTACAGCTGATGTAAAGTTGTTAAAGTGAACAGTTGTCAAACACTGTCATGTTAGTTTATAAATAAGCTATATATCTGAAGAACAAACATCAGATAGATTGTCTTAACACTGAAATATTCATGGACTAATCCAGTAAAACATATCTTTGACCCAGGACTCCAAAATAAACCACTTGTGGGATAGATGATTTCAATCTTATGGAAGTTTAATTCTATAATAAATACTATGAAGGTCATTGCTCTCATGACTTTCTTGTTACTCTATATTACATCCTCTGTATGTGTTCGTTGTACCTTGTTCTGAGGATAGACTATACTTGTAGATATAGGGTTGTCAGTAACCACACAGCTGTGTTAAATAGATACAAGTTTGGGCACTAATTACTCAAGTTTTCAATACAATTACATGTAATACTTTATTATATTACAGAAATTACCCAAAGCCAGTCTGAATCAAACTCCCAGGTAAGAAACCAATCCCAATAATTGTCTTTGTTAATCACAAGCAGAAAGTATGTAATATCAAGAATGCACCAAATTTTGGGTATCTGTTTATAATGATATATTACATTTAAAGGCAATGTCAAACAAATTTTTTCTTATTCATATCGTACTACATATATGAAAGCAATACTCTCTTTACTTTAACTTTTTTTCAGCTAATTGTTATAACATAGCTAATCATTTGTTTATTCTTCAAAATCTTGATTACACATATCTGTTGTATGCCATTGTCTGTCAATTTATAAGTGATCTTTATGACATACATTTGTGCTTTCCTAAGTTGCATTGATGTGATGATTTTATTTTGGGAGAATTTTGATAATAGTATCTCTATGTCCAGTTATCAACTCTTAACTCTTACTGCGCTTAATATCATGCATTATAATGAATGTGTCATTGCTTTGCTATACGAGCATTGTTGATTTTTAAACAAAACATTCTTGCTACAGGAGGACGAAGGGCAAGCTAGGACAGTTGAGACAAGTAACAGTGACCAAGCTTCCCATACTCACCTCCTGAAGAGGAGTAATTCCTCTCCTTCCTTGCTCAGTGGCAGTGCTGACAATGTCGACATGAAGGAAAGCATCAGTGACATGGCCCTGGTTGATGTGAACAGAGCTGAACGAGAGGTGGCAACAAAAGTCCCAAACCAACCAGCTCATCTTAACAGTGCTCAGCTTAGCTTATCTCTGTCAGACAATCATAGACAAAGACCACCACCACTTACCAACCTTAGCCAACCCTCCTCACCATTGAAGAGTGTCCATCATCACCTAGATTTAGCACCATCACCAGACAGTTCAGAAACATCCTCACTCCAGGATGAGGTGACAGACCTTCCTGCTTTCAGAAAGTTACGGGGTCATACTATCTCTATAGTAACAGACACCAAAGGTGAGGAGAAGTTTGTGCAGGGGAGGTCAAAGGCCATCACCCCGAAAGAGAGTGGTCGTGGTGGCATCAATCCTAGCTTCGTGTTCCTACAGCTGTACCAGGGTGGAGTTTTACACCAGGGCAACGACATGCCAATCCTACTGCCAGATAATCAGGTGATTCCAGTGTACCTTTATTAATGTTTCTGATGACAGTTCAATGTATGGGATCTAAGGTGATTTTTGTTTCAGAGAAGATATCTGAAACAAAACTGAAATTTTTTCACTTGTTATTTATTCTTGTACACTAGCCCTTTCGTCTGGAAACTTTATGCAATATTCGTAGCAATCTTATGGTCTTTCTGATATAAAAAGGGAGGTAAACCAGTTTAATATTAAATGCAAAAAAGTATTGATTTATTCTTATAAGATGGTCAAGTTATTTTTTATGGACATTTGAGCTGGTACTGTAATGTATGGCCTAATTACATTTTATTTTCCCTATTACTTACCTATACTTACAATCTATGTTATGGTCTCCCATTAACTCAGTGTTAACATGGAGTGTATTCAAAGGAATGTAGACACATCCTTGACAATTCAAGGCAATGATATGATGTCATTTTGACGCCATGTTGACCTATTTTATGTTAACACTTTGCATGTCGAATCCGTTAATAGCTTCACGTCAATCATTCAGATGATAAAGATTTCGAGGAAGTTGTTCAAGAAAATAATCATACAATGGAAAAATCTTTTATGATTTAGAATAAGTATCATGTTGGTATTTTCAGGTATAATCTTAAATGTAAAAATAACTATTGAATGCTCGTCTGATTTGAATTTATTTTCAACGTAATCTTGGTGACAGATAAATAATCATTAGTCTTAAAGGAACATCATTCTTTTGTTCTGTCACCCATTATCATTTAAAGGGCATCTTACTTCATTATGTAATTTGTTAGTTCCCCAAGAATTCTGTTTTTCAAGCTTGCTCCCTTCAGTACAGTGGACTCGACCAGCAGCTCTCTCTGCTCTGCTATTTGTCATTCAGTTCACCGGGCCTAACTGAAGTCAGTCAAGTGCCACAGCTGTTATAGCCCCTCAGCCCAAATTGTATTATGTGTAAATAAATGTTTTTCAGGTGAACTCATTCTTCTTTGTGTCTTATGTATAAATAGATAATAAGTATAACCTTATAACTGTTTGGTGGTTAATTATGTGTAAAGTATATTCATCCTTAATTTTTGTACAGGCAATCACAAGAGGTCTGAAGATGCTGGACCACATACACCCATATGAGACTCACAAAGTTGGTGTGATTTATGTCGGGCCTGGCCAGGTATGACAGAATTATCGATAGGGGATATATCCTGGTTTCCCATTACATTAAATTGCAGTAGAATGCTTTTAGACATTACTGAGGGATTAAGCTCCCAGTAAGCAGTGAAATTAAAGACATTACTCAGCACACTAGCAGTGCACAATGTCGGTTAATAATAAACATCAAAACACTACTCCGAAGCTGTTGTGATTGATACTCTGTGCCTGATTATTAAATAAAGTGACCATGTCACAAAACAACTGAAATACTATTGAATATCAAAATATCATTGAATTTTGGATTTGTTTATTCATTGGTTTTTCGCATTCTATTTTTGTCATTGGTTTTGCATTTCTCTTTTAGGGAAATGAAATTTCAATTAACATTTTGTTTTTTAAAAATACTTTTCAAAATACTATTATTTGAGTCTGATGATCTTTAAGAGATTTTACAGACAAATGTCATTTATTTGTGGATTCTCGACAAGTTTAAGAAATATTAGTGTCCATATTGTTGAAAAAGTTAACCTCTCAGTTTTATGAGGGAATTGACATATGAAGTATTGAATATGTTTATGTTATAAAGAGTTTGATTGTGGTAAAAATATAGGAATGAAGGTTAAGATAAATACAATTTTGTTCACCTTAGACCAGGGACGAGAAGGCAATACTAAGAAATCCTTATGGATCGGAGAAGTATGCCCAGTTTCTGCAAGGCCTAGGACACTTGATGCATCTGCCTGATTGTGACCCCAACAGGGTCTATATTGGGGGGCTAGATGTTCATGGTAGTGATGGACAGTTTGCCTACAGCTGGCAGGATGAAACAATGCATGGTAAGTCCTTTGGGTGTACTATTTGTCTATAAGCTTTTGCCTATATACAGCTTGTTTGGTGATGTGATACATAGTAAGTCCTATAGGTGTTCTCTGTACCTATAAACTTTGCCAATATACAGCTCGTGTTGTGATATGATACATTATGAGTAATGTAGGTCAATTTGTTTTGCCTGTGTTGTAAGTAACAGTGTGTGCCAAATATCCACAACTTTCAGGATTATTGCTCAAACTGTAAGGTAGGGACTGTTATGAATCTACTTGGTTTGTGTTATATTTTGTATTAGTTGGGAAAAAATACATTCTATGATTTTTTTTGTATAAATACATAAGCCAATGTTTGATGAAATATTGCTATACCTGCAATAAATTGTTCTTTTTACCAAGGGGTGGGTGCTGGGGGGGGGGGTCAAACATCTTGTAGATGGGAAAGTTCGTTCACTGTATTGATGGGATAACCCAAACTTACAAAATCTTGCCCCACAGAGGATGGTAAAGAGGTTCTATAAATCTGTTTAACAAAGTTACACAAATCTTGCCCATAAGAGGATGGTAAGGAGGTTCTATCAATCTGTTTAACAAAGTTACACAAATCTTGCCCCACAGAGGATGGTAAGGAGGTTCTATAAATCTGTTTAACAAAGTTACAAAATCTTGCCCCACAGAGGATGGTAAGGAGGTTCTATAAATCTGTTTAACAAAGTTACAAAATCTTGCCCCACAGAGGATGGTAAAGAGGTTCTATAAATCTGTTTAACAAAGTTACACAAATCTTGCCCATAAGAGGATGGTAAGGAGGTTCTATAAATCTGTTTAACAAACTTACAAAATCTTGCCCCACAGAGGATGGTAAGGAGGTTCTATAAATCTGTTTAACAAAGTTACACAAATCTTGCCCCACAGAGGATGGTAAGGAGGTTCTATAAATCTGTTTAACAAAGTTACACAAATCTTGCCCCACAGAGGATGGTAAGGAGGTTCTATAAATCTGTTTAACAAAGTTACACAAATCTTGCCCCACAGAGGATGGTAAGGAGGTTCTATAAATCTGTTTAACAAAGTTACACAAATCTTGCCCCACAGAGGATGGTAAGGAGGTTCTATAAATCTGTTTAACAAACTTACAAAATCTTGCCCCACAGAGGATGGTAAGGAGGTTCTATAAATCTGTTTAACAAAGTTACAGAATCTTGCCCCACAGAGGATGGTAAGGAGGTTCGAGACCTCTGTTGAACAAACGTTACACAAATCTTGCCCCACAGAGGATGGTAAGGAGGTTCTATAAATCTGTTTAACAAAGTTACACAAATCTTGCCCCACAGAGGATGGTAAGGAGGTTCTATAAATCTGTTTAACAAAGTTACACAAATCTTGCCCCACAGAGGATGGTAAGGAGGTTCTATAAATCTGAACAAAGTTACAAAATCTTGCCCCACAGAGGATGGTAAGGAGGTTCTATAAATCTGTTTAACAAAGTTACACAAATCTTGCCCCACAGAGGATGGTAAGGAGGTTCAATAAATCTGTTAAAATTTCCTGCTAAGTTTCTCACCTGCTTTATTGTAAATAACATGACTGCTTTCATTCCTGTTAAAGCAGCTGCCCTACTCATATAACTAACAACCTCAACAAAAACACTATTTTTTCCTTCCTTTCTGACAGTGATATACCATGTGGCGACCTTGATGCCAAACAGAGACTCTGACCCCAACTGTAATGCCAAGAAGCTCCATATAGGGAATGACTATGTGACTATTGTATACAACGACAGCGGGGAGGACTACAAGATTGGGGCTATCAAGGTCTGTCATAAGAAATAACAAGCAATTCAAACACAGAGAGGTTTTATAAAATCACATTATTTTGATTGAAACATTAACAACTGCGGGGAAAGATATTTTTAACGATGTTTATTTTGAAGATTCTACCACAATTTCCAACATGTAACATATTTCATTGATTGATCGATAGAATTATCTTGGAAATGAATTGTTTTCCAATCTATGATCGTTTTCCTTGACTTCAGGGCCAGTTTAACTATGTCAATATAATGATTAAACCATTGGACCATGAGAGTAATGCTGTCACTTTACAAGCCAAGGAAGGTAAGTTATCTCCCCTTACTCCTAAATATCACATCTTAGATGATGAGAAGTGGGTGCATGGATAGACTTTCCTTTTTTGATTAAAAGCAAACAAGAAATGCATGCTTGTTTAAGGTTTTGATGATGAAACCCTTTCTGCGTCTTTGGATGGTTTGACTGGTTCATTGCTGAGAACGAATTATGTCACTTTTAAATCTAATAAACACTTTATACTTTTGTTTACCAATGCATGCATGGAAAAGGCATTCTCAAAATATGTCTAGTTTTGCATGAAATTTGTTTTAGATGTCTTCACACTCTTGTATGTAAACTATGCATATAACTTGGTGTCAGTCTTAATGATACATGATGGATAATACACTATGGTTCTCATTCTTACAAAAACATGTTTATATGAGGATTTAATCTTGTGTTCATACAGATGTTGAAATCTTTTATTTTAAGATTTATTGTTATGAACTGAAATAAGTATCACCAAATTCTCACAGAATAATTTGATGTTCTCTAGAATACAGTTTAATACCTGGTGTAAATATCATTTATTGATAAACATATGTTATGTGCATACTTATTTTCAAACTGAAGCGAGTTCATCATTTTACTTTTTGTTATATATTAGAATTTTATGAAAGCTAGAGATCTATTACACTTGACTTTTTCTTGTGTTCTAGTGCCGTTTCAGGACAGGATAACTACAGGTACTGATGTGTGTCTGTAATGTCTGGCAGCCTGTATCTTAAGTATAGCCAAACTGGGGGGTCTCTCTCCTGACAATGGAGAACTAACAAGACTTAGGAGATAATAGTGACGGGATACTAACACACAAGTCATAGGAGATAATAGTGACAGAATACTAACACACAAGTCTTAGGAGATAATAGTGACAGAATACTACAACACACAAGTCTTAGGAGATAATAGTGACAGAATGCTAACACATAAGTCTTAGGAGATAATAGTGACAGGATACTAACACACAAGTCTTAGGAGATAATAGTGACAGAATACTACAACACACAAGTCTTAGGAGATAATAGTGACAGAATGCTAACACATAAGTCTTAGGAGATAATAGTGACAGGATACTAACACACAAGTCTTAGGAGATAATAGTGACAGAATAAGAACACACCAGGCTTAGGAGATAATAGTGACAGAATACTAACACACAAGTCTTAGGAGATGATAGTGACAGAATAAGAACACACCAGGCTTAGGAGATAATAGTGACAGAATACTAACACACAAGTCTTAGGAGATAATAATGACAGAATACTAACACATAAGTCTTAGGAGATAACAGTGACAGGATACTAACACATAAGTCTTGGGAGATAATAGTGACAGAATCTTGTCTAGTATTTCAGCATACGTTATAAACTAGTCCTTATTTTAGTACCCTTGCATAAAAGGTTTTATTGTTGGTGTTTGTTTTTATGCATTTAATACACATATATATTTAGTATATTTTCATCCTTTGTGCTTTTTAACACTTATATATAAAATTGATTTGGGATTCATTCACTCTTTTTCTTCCTTTGTGTGAAATCATATCAACAGATTAATGGTCAAGTCAAGATTAGAATAAATTAAATTAAATTTGAGCTGAATAGTATAACTTTAGAAGTCTAATCCCAAGGGTTGACATTTGATTTACCTCACACAGGGATGATTAATTATTGATGCTCTCACCATTTTTTTTTTAATTTTTTACTTTTATTGAGGGTGGGAGGAGGGGGTACATATTATGTTACATTTGTCCATCCATATCTGTAGAACATCTCAACAGTTTGTACATATTTACTCTATAATATTTTAACATCAAGTTCTACACCTGATATAAGTTAATTATAGGTCAAGGTTAAAGGGTCACATTTGACAACTTCTGTCATCAGACTGTTAGGCTTCTATACAAGGGAGTGAGGCTTTTCGTCTTACCATTTTTATATAAAAAATGGATAGTTTTATCCCATTGTGATAATTGTGACATTTAAAAAATGTTTAGTGTTAAAATTTGTAGCAAAAAGCATGTGAAGTGTCATTGTGTAGACACGGTAAAGCTTTCACTTAGTTTGAAGCCATGTCATCAACACAAAGTTAAGACACCAATTGTCAGAAGGAGTCTGAAGCCATTTAGTCATATTTGAGGTATTTTTCCAGGTTTCTAAATATTATAATGCATGGCATCATGTGCAAAGAAAAGTGTGCATGTTTATGTTTAGTTTTATTTGTAAAGCAGGTATACATGTATATTACAATCACTGGCTTGTTGTTTTGTTACTAGCAGGAATACTCCAGTAGTTAAATCTGCTGGCCTCAGAGTGTGAGTCGTCACTCGATCAGGGATAAAAAAAAGATTCACTGAGTCTCAAAAGTGAATAGTGAAAGGTTTTGATAAATTTGTTATGGTTGTGCTAGGCTTGGAATCAAATCAGAATGCTATCAATCACTATCAAGAATTTGGTTTTCTGTATTCATATCCAAAATCAGAGCGAATCTAAACGATAGCTAAACTACTAAACAGTGAGACATAATTCACGATTTGCACTATATATTGAGATATGGAAAAGAAAACGTCTGAGGTAGTTTTATCTAGCTCATAACTTCAACGCATTTATTTACTCTTCAGTTTTGCAAAGTTCATCACAGATAAAGTTCTACATGTATATTTTCATAAATACATGTAAATTGGAAGTGAATGCGATGGCCAGTCTGGGATGAAATTAGCTTTCGTTTCTTATGTTTGGAATATGAATGAAATTCTGGTGTAAAATAGACATTAGAGCCAAAATTGATAGAAAACAAATGCAAAAAAGCTGAATTTATTTTGACTGGGAGCTCTTTCTTCAGATAAAATTACTTACAATTTTATTTCCTGAGGCCAAAAATGACATAGGATTTAGTCTAAGCATTAACGACAATCTCTAGGTTTCAATAGAAGTTTTGTTTTTGTTGTTTCACATTAATGTCACTATAACATATAAAGTAGTTAGATTGTTATATCCTAATGTAAGCAAATGTCTGTGTGTTACTGGGACTACATTAGATAAGATCAAGGTCAAATTCTAAGTAAATGGAGAACATTGTGATGGCACTCTCTGGAAACTCCTGTAGTCTACACTAACTGCTAGTGAACTTACTCCAGTCACCTGCTTTAGCATGTAAATTGCAACTCTATAAGCACGTAATATTCATTTGAACAAAATTATTTCTCTTTTTATGGAATGGCTAGTTTTTAAACATGGAATTTGATTGATGATGCCATTTTAAGTCCTCATTTAGGTGTTTAAATCTATTATCTGCCTGCATTAGCATCCTGATGGAACTTACAATACTACGAAATGACCTGAACCTGTAGAGTAATTTTAGATGAACTGAACCACCTGTAATATAGCACCTTACCTGGACACTCCAATCATTAACATCAAGTATCCTTAAGCACCTGTGATATTATCACATCATCTGAACCCTCCATACAGTAATATCAAGTGACCTGGATCAGGTATAATACCACCTGAACCTTCTGTTCTGAACAGTTCTAATGTTATGTAACCTGAACTAAGCCCTGATATCATGTGACCTGAACTCCCATGATAATGTCACGTGACTTGAACATCAATAAATACATTTCCTCCCACAAGGAGAAAATTATTCAGTGGCTAAGTAAATACCATGTCATGAATCTCCTTTAGTGATATCACCTTAACCACTTATAGTATGACTTTATTTGAAGTCTCTCTTATGATAACATGAACATTTTCATATCTGTGAATGAATTGATGTCAAATCATTGTTCTCTATTGATATAAGTAATATTTACAAATATGAATGATCATCCACAATTGATAAATTATTACTATTAGATACCAAATCTTTTCAGACATTGCTGAAATTCTTGGACACAAAGACACCAAGATCATATCAGATGCCAACCTCCCCGATTTGGTCAGACAGATAGCTGTGAACTGTGATGTAAGTTTTGTAGTTTTGAGATGTGCAGTATGCGATGTTGGTAAACATTATACCTAATACATGTCCTCTCTGTTAGTCTGTCTGTAATTTGATTCTTTGGTTTCTGTGACCTGTCAGTAATTGTCATTAGTTGTCAGTTTATTTGTCATTTGTCATGTGGTACTATGGTTCCTATATTCTATCACTAGTTGTCCGTTTATCTGTCATGTGATAGTATGGTTCCTATATTCTATCACTAGTTGTCAGTTTATCTGTCATGTGATACTACGGTTCCTATATTCTATCACTAGTTGTCAGTTTATCTGTCATGTGATACTACGGTTCCTATATTCTATCACTAGTTGTCAGTTTATCTGTCATGTGATACTACGGTTCCTATATTCTATCACTAGTTGTCAGTTTATCTGTCATGTGATACTACGGTTCCTATATTCTATCACTAGTTGTCAGTTTAGCTGTCATATGATACATCGGTTGCTATATTCTATCACTGGTTGTCAGTTTATCTGTCATGTGATACTTTGGTTGCTGTGTTTTATCTTTAGTTGTCATTGGATCTGTCATGTGATACATCAGTTGATGTGTTCTATCTTTAGTTGTCATTGGATCTGTCATGTGATACATCAGTTGATGTGTTCTATCTTTAGTTGTCATTGGATCTGTCATGTGATACATCAGTTGATGTGTTCTATCTTTAGTTGTCATTGGATCTGTCATGTGATACATCGGTTGCTGTGTTTTATCTTTAGTTGTCATTGGATGTCATTGGATCTGTCATGTGATACATCAGATACTGTTCTATGTCTATCACTAGTTGTCAGTTTGCTGTGTTTGTATCTGTTCCTATATTCTATCACTAGTTGTGTTCTATCTTTAGTTGTCATTGGATCTGTCATGTGATACATCAGTTGATGTGTTCTATCTTTAGTTGTCATTGGATCTGTCATGTGATACTTTGGTTGCTTGTTCTTCCTTGAGTTGTCTCATTAATTGTCAGTCTGTCACAGTGATGTTGTTATTTTAGAGTAATTTATTGTGCAATAAACAGTTAAAGATGGTCAAAATATTTTTATTTTCAAATAAATCAAAGTTTTACATGGCTTTGGTACCATCAGGAAACATGGTTATATAAATAAGAGGGTACAATTATCAGTTTGTCAATGGGATATACATTATTATATATATATGTTGGAGGGATGCTTTGATAACAAAGAATTAAAAATGAAACACTGAACTTGTTATATGTGCATGTTGGAATAGTGGTATGTATTAGATGATGGATAGCTGTTCAGTACTAGTTTCTTACCAGAATGATAACAGTATGATTTTCCAGTGAGTATATATAGCCAGACATATCAGTCTATGGTTAGTATATACAGCCAGACATATCAGTCTATGGTTAGTATATATAGCCAGACATATCAGTCTATGGTTAGTATATATAGCCAGACATATCAGTCTATGGTTAGTATATATAGCCAGACATATCAGTCTATGGTTAGTATACACAGCCAGACATATCAGTCTATGGTTAGTATACACAGCCAGACATATCAGTCTATGGTTAGTATATACAGCCAGACATATCAGTCTATGGTTACTTTATACAGCCAGACATATCAGTCTATGGTTAGTATATACAGCCAGACATATCAGTCTATGGTTAGTATATACAGCCAGACATATCAGTCTATGGTAAGTATATACAGCCAGACATATCAGTCTAAGGTTAGTATATATAGCCAGACATATCAGTCTATGGTTAGTATACACAGCCAGACATATCAGTCTATGGTTAGTATATACAGCCAGACATATCAGTCTATGGTTAGTATATACAGCCAGACATATCAGTCTATGGTTAGTATATACAGCCAGACATATCAGTCTATGGTTAGTATATACAACCAGACATATCAGTCTATGGTTAGTATACACAGCCAGACATATCAGTCTATGGTTACAACAACTATATTTGTCCTTATATTTCTGTCTGTGGTTGCCTGGAAACCTCTGTTTAATTTCCCCAGCTGGCCTCTCTAGTGCTGCAGAGACAACAGAGCCAGCCACAGGATCCTTTCGCATCGAACTGGCTGGAAAGACTTCGTCAGATCAAACGAATCAGGATGAAGACATTGACAGAAGAAGGGAACCAAGTGGAACAACCAGCAAAACAGCAAGAGCTTGGAGACTTTACAGAGTTTGTGTGAGAGGACTGTGTATTGATTGTGGTGTGAAGAGGTGGTACTCTGGCAAGTTGCTGTGATGGAACTTTGATTGAAGAATGAATGGTTCAAGACTTGATTTAGTATGTGTAGTGTGTGAAAAAGTTGGAGACTTGATGAATGTGTTATCTGATGATTAGCTGTGTTAACAAAGGATGATGCTGGATGTAGCCTGAGCATGGCTCTGAAATCTGCTTGGCAAGGCGAGATGTATCTTCAGATTGTTCTAGTCACATGTTCTCTGCGTAAAATCATATTGGTGTTAATGTTTTTTCAAAGGATAGAACGTTTCTAGGTAAATTATTTTTATGAAATTGTTGAAAAAATGACAAAATGATGTATTTTTTCTTAAACTATTTCTCTTAATTATATTCCTGTTTTTATTATGTCTGTATACTAAACCCTAGTGCAACTGTTACCTAAATAATTGATTTTCTGCCCTTTTATACAATTGCTGTTCACCCTGCATGTTGTAAGTCTACAGATGTATAGAAGGTATATATCCCTGTCACCAGCCAAAATGTGAGACCATTGCAGTGTTGCCTGTTACTTTCGTGTTTACAGACTCCATTGTATTCCGACATTGGTACCCAATACAATCTTGAAAGTAAAATGTGTGTCAATTTTTCATTTTATCAGATAACTTGTGAAGATTGTTCATGGAAATAACGGTTTTGTTAAAAAGTAGAAATACGAGTTTGCTGCTGATACAGTTTATTATAGAAAAAAGATCTCTTAGTATATGAGATGTCCTCTGGTGTTCGGATGTATTTCTTTGACAAAATACATGTCATCTTACAATTTAAAACATTTACAAAACATCCATTGGAAAATACCCTATGTAAAATGTTTATAAGTAACATCACCTTACCACTGTAAAAGGCAATAGTAACATGAGGAACTGTTAGAGTATGGAATAAGTAATAATACATTGATTTAGAAAATTATACCCACCAATGTGGGTAACATGTACTTTGGTTTACTATCACAATATAGGATATCGCAGTACAGAATGTTCTGATTTGGCTATCATTTGTCACTTTTAAGTTTGGAATGTTTTTAATTGAGAGGATATGACACCAGAAGCATGATCAATGTTCGTTTTGTTAAAGTACTTCAATCAGGCAGTGGTAATTCTTCTACAGGGATATCCTCTAGTGTGGGTTCTACAAGATAATCCGTGTTGGTCTCCTTGTCCTGACCATCTGTAGCATACTCCTCTGATCTTGTCCAAACAGGTTGGATGTTCGCTGCTTTGGGGTTTTCGTGGTACTGACGGGCCCAGATATAGTTTAGAACAGCATCCAAAAGACCATGGAGGTCAAACACTAACACTGATAGTATCACCCCACAGCTTACAGCAGCAGCGTAACCCTAAAGGTAACCAGAAAAATGCTAGTATGATCTGACAACCAGTGTTCGAACATTACAAGGTGATGGCCACACTTCTTTGGTATATGTAAAGTTTCAACAATGTCATTTTAAGGGGAAAAAATCACTGCAATACGTATATACGCTGGTTTTGGTTTGAGAGAGAGAGAGAAAAAGTTACATCACTAAAAAGATTTGATATTTCAATGTTTACCTACCTCCCATGTCCTGTTACCAGCCAGCCTCACAAACATAGTTACTGCCCATGTGATAGCTATTGGCGCCATGAATAAAAGCAGACGACTAAGTACTTCCCACTGGATTTCCAACTCTCGACGCACGCCCGCAATCTACAATACAAGGACGAACTCCGTTAGCTTCATATTCTTATTTGTCGAGATGACGGTATTGAACTGTCTGTTTTGGGACCGTAATAACTATCCATGCATGTCATTAATCAGAGTCTTATCTGACAGTACTGAGAGCGAGCTCGCTTCCAAGGAAGAGTCAGCAACTGACATCTGGCTGTATGATAAAGGTGGTGTTTTCAATTTCCCTAATATGAATTTTCTGAATAGCAACCAACCTGCATCCCAAAGCGATGACGATTATCCAGTGTAACGATTTACGCGCAAGATGTCGGCAACTGACAGAGTATCGAAAGATGCATTGACATTATCAAAGTGTATTCTATTTCCATGTGCGATATGAAGTTGGATGTCTTCGATGCTCGTTTGTGTGCCTGGTGGTTCCATTGCTGTGTACCTTGTTCCCATTTTCGAACATTGCACTACTCACTTGGGTTGACTAAGGTTTACATGTCTGGTGTCGTCGATGAAGCAGAAGACGATTACCTTTCCAGAACACCTGGTCGTACTCTCCTTTCCCTTTTCAGGAGTCTCGGTGTAAATCTTCGATCATTTTTGTCACAGGTTAATTGAACTTCATTTTGAATCATTGTTCTGTTGTCATATCGGTAATTGTGTTGTTCTAACAATGACAACAGGAAATGCAAATCCAATCGCAGAAAGAAAAAAGTGCAATGATAAAAAGTGAAAAAATATTTAGCGGAAAACAGTCGCATATATCTGTAAGAATTGTTCCAACAAAACAAATCCTATTCATGGTCATCCCTGACAACCAACTCCTGTCTCTTGAAACTTCAACAGTCGGTAGCTCCAGAGCCGGTGTACGTTCTTGATTTTCTTACTGTCGTTAGTCGTCCTCTGCGTTTACATTGAATGTGATATTTAAATTCTCAAAGAGGAAAGGGAATCGGCCGTTCTCGATGTGATTACAGCGTGCTTCTTTCTCTGTATATCTACATGGGTACAACTTAGAATCCCTGATGAACTATTATACAACGAATGGCAGAGATGGACGCCTTGAATAACTAGGCTTTTTTCCGATTCAAACACATTTTATTGTACAATTACCATCGGATTCGACACAAACTATCACAATTTAGAATTGCCTTCGCCGTAGTAATACATGATACAATGTACATGACGGCAATAACCGCCATGCTGTCACTTTTACTAATGAATGCTGTTCTTCAGCTTGTTTCATTCAACAGTTGTTCTGACGAAGTATGATCGTTTATATTGGTCCGACTGTTTTTCTTCATTACATTATTATCAAAGAGCCCCTCAGTAAAAATTTGACTATTGAATACAATTCAGGCAATTTCTTAGCGCGACACGAACAAATGTCTGTTCGTATTATTAGTGTTTCGCATAGTACAAATCTCACCACAGTAACCAGTAACACGCCTATTCTAAACGAAGTAGATAGCTTATAACGAAATATATAAATTGTATACTATATAAATCTCTTATATATATATACAACAATTGTTTGCGTGTAATATCGTTTTAGAATCATTAAGGTCTATACTTGAACGTAGTAAGGAATGTAGTGCGATGTAGTTGCTATTCTTATCGTGTACCGAATCCTGCTAAACAGTTCAAAACAAATGCACAGAAAATTTACGCTTCGTTGCAAAATACATATGCTGTTTGTACTTGAATCTCATTTCAATGATCAACGTTTCTGCAACTTTCACAGTGTTTCGTCGCATAAAGTTACAGAAGGTTTGGACACGTATAAAAGGCATTACTATGTAGGCCTAGCGCATACGAATATTTTCGTTCATGTGCAATGAAGTGCCATACCTATTATATTTTTACTATCGGTAAACCGTTTATGCTTAGATTCGATTTTGGGCAGTTTCTTAGCTCATCGTACCTGAGTTGAAAGCTCCTGGCGGATGTTTCGAAGTTGTCTGATGATGACTTCTTCATGGTCGATCAGCATGTATCCTGAAGCAAAGAATATCGATTCTCTGAACAAACAAATAAAATGATAACATACCGTTGATAATTACTACTTGAAGTAATTAAACAAGCAAAATTTCTGTAAACAAACTTCAGTGACGGGACAATCCTACCCGTATCTGTTGCATCTTCCGTTGGCTTGTTCTCTGGCCCAGGTTGACGTTCTGGAACAACGTCTTCCATTTTGAAACGGAAATGACGTCTCCTTCAAAACGTCAATTATGACGTCATATCACATGTATTCACGACTTACCTGAAATTCGTGGCACCGTCATAAATCATTGAAAATGAGAAACGTTTATCATGAGATACATGTGTGCATGTGTATATATATGTATATATAGATACTTATTGCGTAAAAAGTGTTACACGAGTTAAGACAAGTGAATATTTGGAATCAAACAATTGTTTTGAATACATTGTTGTTTAAGAACCAATGATGACAAATCCGGTCAAATTGGTGAACATTTTTATATTATTTGTAAAGTAAGACTAGATTTATTCTCATGTGCAAATAGAACTATTTCATGTAAGATTTTAAAAACTTCATCAAAACTATACTTGCTAGCGAACAATGTTTGACGGTCACTGCAATCGTGCGTCCGTGAAAAAACAGACGTATTGCAAAGAAAGCCTTTTTATTGCAGTCTTTGATCTTAATTTGACGTTCGTAATGACATTTTCTTCTGAAAAAAAACCAATCAATGAATACACAGGCCGACTTTTTATATGTTGTATCAATAACAATACCATGTATTATAGCGAGAAAGTCTGTAGACTTTGTCTAAGCTTCCTGAGAATGGTTACATCTAATTCGATATTGAGAAGTATGATTCAATAGACGTGCTGGCAGAAAAGTGGGGTCATTTAAAGGGAATTTCTTGATCGATAGTTGTAAGTGTTCGACAGTCGAACTCTCCGTCCTACCTGACGAGTGTCGATTCATGACGTTACCCGCCACACGGTTTTTAATACCAGATTAAACCGACTGGAAACAAGTCATAGGTGAAAAGTCCACAACAGAACACAGGCGGAGGTAAACTATACACAACTCGACATGTGACATTTAGCATGTTGTCATCGTGGTGATCTGATCTATAGATCAACGAGTAGTTTCAAAGTTGTTTGTTCTCTGTCCGAAGACTGCTGTGAAAGTCAGATACGAACTTCCAGTTGACCATCACGGTCCGGAATGGCGGTCAGAAATGGAATGAAGACAGATACAGTCGGTAAGTCAAACTGTTATTGACATTCGAGGGGGTATTTGTGTGTTGTGGACTAAATAATGTGTTTCTATGTTTCATGGACGTAAAAGTGAAATGAGTAATCGGATGACACATGTGTTACTTAGTCGTTATCGAGTTCTTGTTGTAAATGATATCGCTTCACTTTAAACTGTCCCCTTTTTCATTTATTCTTGACACCTTGTTGACGTGATATATGATTCGGATTTTAGTCCTCTCCATTTCTCAAACACCTGGGGGTGGGTATTAGCTTAGGTAGAGGCATGTTTTGTCTAAGGAGCCGTTGTGTTGCTCTGATATTTCATGGGGAGTTCAGGGATATCTTCATACAATTGCATAAGAAGATGTGTAGCAACCCTTTACGTGGTATGTCAGTAACAGACGTACATAACATTCCAAGGTCGAAACCGATATCTTTTGCCCAAGTCTGCAAAACCAACAGGACACTGAAGGTTAAAAATCCGCATCTCAATTTCAAGACGGTTAAGACAAGGTTAATGTGTTTTTATAGTATTAGATAATAGATGCGCGTGCGCGCTTCGACTGTTTGGTGTCCGGTTAGTTCAGAGATACGTAAATGGCAGTCAACAGACACAAGATTGATTGTGTGGTCGGAAATCGAGCTCTTCAAACACAAAGTCAAATACATGTACTTCAGTATAATATTTACATAAGTTTATCGGTTATACAAACATCATTAAGATATTGCTGTACCCTGGGGACAGACTTTTGTGGTTATTATTTGAGAATTATATTAATACTTCGAACAGAATTACGATTGATTTAAAAGAACAACATGTAGCTGCGAGGTAAGGCTTCTACAGACCTGTCACCTCTAAAAGTTGGTTGAATATATTCTAAATGTCAGGTACAAGTCATCGCTATGGCTGTTATAGATTATATTCTGATTAATTCAACGCTGTCATTTAAAATCAAATTTCCGTGATACGGTTTGTTGACATTTCTAGTAAAGACATAATCCATTAGCGATTGACTCTTAATGGAGTGTGTTGGTATTGAAGGGAAATACAATTAGAAAACACAGCAGTACCTTGTCATTGACACTGCTGTGATTAAAGGCGAGAAATATATCGATATTAAGAGAAAATCTGTCTAGAAAAAAATGACGCTAAAAATTGTCTGTATAAAGAGAGGACGCTAAAAATTGTCTGTATAGAGAGAGGGCATACCCCTATAAAAACTGACGCTATAAATTGTCTGTATAAAGAGAGGACGCTAAAAATTGTCGGTATAGAGAGAGGGCATACCCCTATAAAAACTGACGCTATAAATTGTCTGTATAGAGAGAGGGCATACCCCTATAAAACTGACGCCATAAATTGTCTGTATAGAGAGAGGACATATCCCTATAAAACTGACGCTATAAATTGTCTGTATAGAGAGAGGACATATCCCTATAAAACTGACGCTATAAATTGTCTGTATAAAGAGAGGACATATCCCTATAAAAACTGACGCTATAAATTGTCTGTGTAGGGAGAGGACATATCCCTATAAAACTGACGCTATAAATTGTCTGTGTAGAGAGAGGACATATCCCTATAAAACTGACGCTATAAATTGTCTGTGTAGAGAGAGGACATATCCCTATAAAACTGACGCTATAAATTGTCTGTGTAGAGAGAGGACATATCCCTATAAAACTGACGCTATAAATTGTCTGTATAGAGAGAGGACATATCCCTATAAAAACTGACGCTTTGAATTGTCTGTACAGAGAGAGGACATATCCCTATAAAAACTGACGCTATAAATTGTCTGTGTAGAGAGAGGACATATCCCTATAAAACTGACGCTATAAATTGTCTGTGTAGAGAGAGGACATATCCCTATAAAACTGACGCTATAAATTGTCTGTGTAGAGAGAGGACATATCCCTATAAAACTGACGCTATAAATTGTCTGTGTAGAGAGAGGACATATCCCTATAAAACTGACGTTATAAATTGTCTGTATAGAGAGAGGACATATCCCTATAAAAACTGACGCTTTGAATTGTCTGTACAGAGAGAGGACATATCCCTATAAAACTGACGCTATAAATTGTCTGTATAGAGAGAGGACATATCCCTATAAAAACTGACGCTATAAAATGTCTGTGTAGGGAGAGGACATATCCCTATAAAACTGACGCTATAAATTGTCTGTATAGAGAGAGGACATATCCCTATAAAAACTGACACTATGTACAGAGATAACGTCTGCCTATAAAAACTGACGATACAAAGAACGCTTGTCTATAGAATTGTCATTACAGCGAGAAAACATGTCTTTAAAGCTGTCGCTGTATACATTAAACATAATGTTGAGCTGGAGAGAAAGAAAAAAAACATTAAAATTGACTTTCACTTTTTGATTATGTCCTTGCACGGAGACGGCGAAATGTCTGTCTTCTTTATGTGGCCCGTGATAAAAAGATAGACCTAAACTAATACAGACCTGGTACATACCGGCCTTGTTGTTGGTTCAACACTCCAGATGTCCCTTTTAAACTCGAAAATCAAATATCGACGAGTGATTGTCAACAAGGTTTGAGTAACTTTGTTGAAGTGTGTAAAATGACGGGTAATTAAGGGTAGTTAAGTACTGTTTACCGAATCTCAAGTGTATAATTGTCTTCCCTAGTAAAACTCATCAAATGAACACCTTCCAAGGTAAATTGATTTTGGAAAGAATGTTATTTCTACTTTTGCTTCACCTATAGATATCAGAGAAGTTTTCCGACACGTGAGTCCTTACATAATCCGACAGTGGAAGGAAGTATGTATTGAGTTAGGAGTACAACAGTATGAGATTAAACAACTTGAGACAACCGACTTTACTCCCTGCCCCTCCCAGCTGGCTTTCAAGGGGCTGTGTCTGTGGTACGACCGAGTGGGAAAGGCGGCTAACAAGGAGTGTCTGGGTGTGGCACTCAACAAATGTGGTCTCCGGAGAGCAGAGGGTAAGAATTTAACATTCTCAGACAACGTTGGGAATAATACTGGCATTGCCTAGATCTATGAAAAGGTCACTTGAGTATCCAGATTATGAGAAAAAGTCATCAGAATAAGACTTATGATTGAGTGTTAGTAGATTATATAATATCTTTCATCATAAGGAACACTAAACGGCTTTTTTTTAATTTTACTTGAAATTCAATTTCATTTAATTCATCTTATTTTTTTAAATATCAAGTAATACTATTGAAATCAATATCCCCACAGAAGAGATCGTAAACGTTGAATCTGGAAAATTGGACAGACCTTCGTCATCACGACCTAAGTCATCGCGACCTACATCCTCTGGTCTACAGACAAATCGGACACAGTACGCACGGCGTCTCAAGTCCGCTAACCTGGTTAGGCGACGTCAACATCAACACACAGGTTAGTAGCAGTTAACCTAGTTAGAGATCCAAACATCAACAGGCAGGTTACTGTCCGCCCAACTCGTTAGTGAACACAACCCACAGGTAGTGAGTGCCAGTTATTGTAAACGGGCGGTAGATTACATCGCGAAGGGACACCAACACAACAAACGAGTTTCAGTTGACTTGGTTAAGTGACGTTATCAATGAGTGTCTTTCAGCTTTTTAAAGTAATTGTCAACATAAACAAACAGTTGAATATCTGTTGATTGTTTGGAGAACATCGGGCCGAAAATAAAACTATCTGTTTTAATTTGCCAATATAGGGATTAAATATATTAATATCAAATTCAATATACACCAGTATAGAGAATATACCAGCATAGGGATAGTATATACCATTATGGGTATATAGTAACCCAGTTTACGGATTAGATATACCATAACGAGGATTACAGGTACATTAATTAGGTGTGACAATACATGATTTATATATAACAGTCCTGTGATTAGATATACCAGCATAGGAGTAAACATACTCATATGGTGGTCGAAAACACTGATTATTGGAATCAAATATAATTTGGGGACTGGTCCGTGTCTCGGACACCACTTTTATTATTGATCTTGTATGATAGTAATGGCATCATATTCTAATATCATGAATGATTTCCAAAATATTATAATAGATATCCGATACCTTAATAACAGACTTATTTACAAATTGTTTGCCCTGGCATGGCACGACACAAACTCTCCTACCCTAAGCAATACTGTCAAAGCATTAAACCTGTTTTTAATCTTGTGGTTTGATGAACTTAGATAAGACCGTTAGGAAATAAATTTTTTTTATCGGATCTAGTTAATCTTGGTTTTAAAATCAAAGTTACATCATGAGTATTGAAGTAGTATTTACACACGAGTTATCGACAAGAACGTGGACTTAGCACGTCTGACGACCGAACTGGTACCAATCACCCCGGGAAGTCTCTGACAGCGGACCGACGGGGTCTCTTTATCTGATGGTGACGTTTTAAATGTTTTACAAGTTTAAGACAATGAGAAGTTTAATTACATAGATATGGAAGTTCTTTACACCCTCTCAGTAGTTCTTTACACCCTCACCTCGTACACCATGCAGTGTTCTGTAGGACGTCGGTCACACAGCCAGATGACCACTCTAAAACTCCCCACCATACACGAGAATGGTAAGTGAGTGTTCAGTTATCAGAGTGACCATAGGGCTATAGATCGGACAGTCATTACTGTTGAACTTTAAAGATTTCTGTCATGTTAAAGGTGTGTGATAAGTGCTTAGTCATAACAGATCGCTGTGTATTGTGTATCTAGAATTCTGGACAAGCGTGTTCGGTGTGTTGCGTAGCAAGATATTCGACCGAATTTATTATGTGTTGTGTGGTAAGATATTCTTTAGAGTGTTCTGTGTGTTGTGTAGTAAGGCGTAGTAAGATATTCTTTAGAATGGTCTGTGTGTTTTATGGTAAGATATTAGATAGAACGTTCTGTGTGTTGTGTAGTAAGGCGTAGTAAGATATTCTTTAGAGTGTTCTGTGTGTTTTATGGTAAGATATTAGATAGAACGTTCTGTGTGTTGTGTAGTTGGGCGTAGTAAGATATTCAACAGAATTTACTGTGTGTTGTGTGGTAAGATATTCAATAGCAGGTTCTGTGTTGTGTGGTAAGAAATATATTCGATATAATTTATTGAGTGTTGTGTGGTAAGATATTCGATAGAACGTTCTGTGTGTTGTGTAGTAAGATAGTCTTTAAAGCGTTCCATGTGTTGTGTAGTAAGATATTCGACAGAGTGTTGTGCGTGTTGTGTAGTAAGGCGTAGTAAGATGTGTGATAAGCTATTCTAAAACGTCTGTGGTGTGTTTCGTTCAGTGAGAAATCCTAGCCGAACACTTGATGATTTTGAAATGTTCTGTGAGTTGTACTGTAGGATGTTCTATACACGTGTTCTATGTGTTAAGTGTATTTAGCTATGATTTATATATGTTGCAATGTTCGGGATTTAGTATAGTGTGGTTGTATGCTAATAGTCGGGACTCAATAACATCGACCAATGTGTTAAGTGGCACCTATTCATCATTACTGGATAGCTCTTGGAAGTTTTGCAACTAAATATTTTAGGACAAACGGAAATGACTGTGCGAGCGTGGTCTGTGTATCCTCGGTCACCGGCATACACAGTGTTCTCATGGTGTTTCATATATATATATATATATATATATATATTACTGTTTTTGTTAATCTATCCCATTAAGGTATGTTGATGGTGATTAAACCAAGTGAACTTGTCTACAACCGTTACACCTGCCCTACAGCTCTCACAGGTACTGAGTATTGGCCTTGGATATTAATGATAACGTGTTTATAATGCCAATACCTCGCTAGATCTAATTTTAGGTCGTCACACCTAGATGAATGCATGCCTTTAACTATCTTAATACGAAATAACTCCCGTATAGTATTTAAGTGTACCGGGGTTTAAACATAGGCCTGTCTTATTGTTCGTCTCTAAATGGGCGATCAGTGCGAAGCGTTAATTTGATCACTACAGTATTTCTAATTGTTACAGTTTTATAAGGTTAGTCACATACCACTATCTACATCGAGAACTGTGTCGTTTATATCCGTCTCGCATCGGTAAGAAAACCTGAATATATTCTACCCACAATTTTCTCAAATACATCTGTATTCTCAAACATGCATAAGCTCGTGTTTTGCTTAATAATTGTAAAATCGTGCCCATTTTTGAATCGTTGTAATATTTTGTCTTTGTTGTTAATAGACCTGTACGGTGTCATTGTGTTAGTTATGCTATGATGTCATTGCTTTAAGTATGCATATAACATGACGTCATTGCGATAGGTAGAGTTATAACATGACGTCATTGCAATATGTTGTGTATGGTAGGAGGTCAGTGTGAAAGGTTTACCTATAAGACGACGCTATTGTGATAGGTTTATGGTGACGTCATTTATGTGCATATGACATGACGTCATTGTGATAGGTATATAATGACATAATAGTAAAAGATATATAATTGTAAAGTTGAATAGCTGATTAAATGCTCAATGTCTAAGTGAAACAGCCTACTGAAGTTTGATTAAATTACAGCTATCAATCATTTTGGTCTTTTCCAAGTTCTTTTTTACCCAAATTCTAATGGCTGCCAATTTCAACGTAGATATCGTGAACAGCCCATATCAATGATTGATAGAGTTTGGCAGGTATCTGACGATATACGTGCAGATCTATAGTTCTCCCGTGCCATCCTCATGATTCGTTAACCAATTTAGCGTAATTAATGGATATGTAACGTTATATCTGGTGGTATCGTTCCCACACCTGTGTACAATACAGGTGTGTTAGATTCAGACTACAATGGTTGTGTAGCTATGGTCAGTGTTAGATTAGAGGCAGAGTAGGTCAGTACTCCGAACTGGAAGATTGACTACCAGTTTCAATGGATTATTTTGCGAAAGGAGATGAGAGGGATGATGAAGAAGACAATGAGGGTACGATAGAAAAAAATTGATATGGACGAATATTGCTGGTTGTATACCAAGTCGAAAGGATTTGTAATTTACGATGTAGTTTGGATAAAAAAGATCAGGCATAAAAACAGCGTTTTATGGCGAGAAAAATATGTCCTATACATTAACGTAAGATTTAAGTAAATATGGACATTTCTGATACGAGTCTGATAAGGTATATTTTGAAATATGTCCTATGATAGGTTGAATTACACAGACGTAACTTGAGATGATATTGGCGTATTAAGATTAACATAACTTACCCATACAACGCTTTATTGCATGTTTAACAGCCAAAAGTAATGGACCCTTCATGCGTTTGGCAGATGCATAGATTCTTGTTATACATTAAAACCTATGTGCACTAACTACTTAGTGTGTATCGTGTGATTACGCATTCATATTGACAAATCTTAACACTCTGACTCTGTCTCTCTCTGCCTCTGTCTGTCTCTGTCTCTTTGGCTGTCTCTCTGTCTGACACTGTCTGTCTCTGTCCCTCTCCGTCTCTCTGTCTATCTCTGTCTCCCTGTCTATCTCTGTCTCTCTGTCTGTATCTGCCTATCTCTGTCTCTCTGTCTGTCTCTGTCTCTCTCTGTCTCTTTGTCTGTCTCTCTGTCTGACACTGTCTGTCTCTGTCCCTCTCTGTCTCTCTGTCTATCTCTGTCTCTTTGTCTGCCTCTGTCTATCTCTGTCTATCTCTCTGTCTCTGTCTCTGTCTATCTCCGTCTCTCTGTCTATCTCTGTCTCCCTGTCTATCTCTGTCTCTCTGTCTGTATCTGCCTATCTCTGTCTCTCTGTCTGTCTCTGTCTATCTCTGTCTCTTTGTCTGTCTCTGTCTCTCTGTCTATCTCTGTCTCTCTGTCTGTATCTGTCTCTCTTTCTATCTCTGTCTCTCTGTCTGTCTCTGTCTCTCTGTCTGTATCTGTCTCTCTGTCTGTCTCTGTCTCTCTGTCTGTCTCTGCCTCTGTCTGTATCTGTCTATCTCTGTCTCTCTGTCTGTCTCTGTCTCTCTGTCTGTCTCTGTCTCTCTGTCTGTCTCTCTGTCTATCTCTTTGTCTGTATCTGCCTGTCTCTGTCTCTCTGTCTGTCTCTGTCTATCTCTCTATCTGTATCTGTCTCTCTGTTTATCTCTGTCTCTCTGTCTGTCTCTGTCTCTCCTCGTCTCTCTGTCTGTCTCTGTCTCTCTGTCTGTATCTGTCTCTCTGTCTCTCTCTGTCTCTCTGTCTGTCTCTGTCTCTCTGTCTGTCTCTGTCTCTCTGTCTGTCTCTGTCTATCTCTCTGTCTGTCTCTGTCTCTCTGTCTATCTCTGTCTCTCTGTCTGTATCTGTCTCTCTGTCTCTCTCTCGTCTCTCTGTCTGTCTCTGTCTCTCTGTCTGTATCTGTCTCTCTGTCTATCTCTGTCTCTCTGTCTGTATCTGTCTCTCTGTTTATCTCTGTCTCTCTGTCTATCTCTGTCTCTGTCTGTATCTGTCTCTCTGTCTATTTCTGTCTCATTGTCTATCTTTGTCTCTCTGTATGTCTCTCTGTCTATCTCTGTCTCTGTCTCTGTCTGTCTCTGTCTGTCTCTGTCTCTCTCTCTCTCTCTCTCTCTCTCTCTCTCTCTCTCTCTCTCTCTCGTTCGATTGGCCTAAATTTACGGATGAAATAGCGGTAAACGATCAATGTTGATGATTGGAATGTTTATTTCAATGTGAATCGTTCTATAAGTTATAAAGTAATATTACTAAATGAGATCGGATTATAATATGAACCAGTTAATTAATTTTACTTGAGAATGTCTTATTGTTCCCACAGGCGGCATAGCCCGACCAAATACTCGGTGTAAGAGTGCACGAAGTGGGATCCATCGTGCTCGGTCGGCTAAGAGACGGGACAGCTACTCTGATGACAAGTCTTGTAAGTAAAAACAAATGGTCTTTAATTTCACGAATCACTTTACAACCACAGGACTGTAACGTCACGCATCACCAGACAACCACAGGTCTGTAACGTCACGCATCATCTAACAACCACAGGTCTGTAACGTCACGCGTCACCTGACAACCACAGGTCTGTAACGTCACGCATCATCTAACAACCACAGGTCTGTAACGTCACGCATCACCTGACAACCACAGGACTGTAACGTCACGCATCACCTGACAACCACAGGTCTGTAACGTCACGCATCACCTTTCAACCACAGGTCTGTAACGTCACGCATCACCTTTCAACCACAGGTCTGTAACGTCACGCATCACCTTACATCCACAGGTCTGTAACGTCACGCATTACCTTACCACAAACCCATACATTTGTAGTAAAACAAATACTTGATAGGTTCCTGATGGACTAGTAATATGGTCTCGCCAAAGAGCAATTCAGTCTTGCATGTCGTAACTATCTTGGTTAACTTAATTTGGATGAAACAATGGATATGAAATGAAAAAAAAATTAAATGGAGACCCCTGAAAGAGTACAAGAGGAAGAAGACCATGTCTTCTGGCAAGGTAAACGTCTTTTGCTTACAAGAAAGTATTTTTGTCAATTTAAGTAATAAGATGTAATTTCTCTAATGAGAACAAGGTAACAACAACACTAAACAGGTTATCGCTGAACGAAATCAACTGTTTCCCGATGATATCATTGTGATATAATTGTGATGGCCGCGAAACTTCCCTATCACTTTAATCTCGCTAAACCCAGTGTTTTATTACGAGTTTATGTGTTGTCGACATCTTGAAATCCTAACAGCAATATGTCCTTGAATATTGAAACAACTGTGACCGTAAATACTATACAAATTGTAGACTGAGAAAATAGGATGAGTAATGAAATACGATAATGATACAATGTCTATCGAACAACAAGGCCTGGCCAATCGTCAATACACATTTCATCGTGAATGAGGTCACTTCCGGAGAGATATCAATATAATTAATACGGCGTAGATTGGATTGTTTGTCGTATAAATATTACATAAGTTGGATATGCTAATCTGAGATTCGGGAGAAGACAGAATCCAATGCCATCAGCGTTTCGTAAAACTACAATGATAATAAATAATCCTTCAGTAAAGGTTACACCAACCTGCTTACAGAAATTGTTTGACCATTGTTCTGTTTGCATTGCAGGCGAGCTCAGTCTGAACATCAAAGTGTCACAAATATCGATAGAAGGCGAGGAAGATTCGAACCATACCAAACGAGATTTAGCCGAACAGTTCTACGACACCATCCTACAAAAGAAGGAACAGTTTTGTTGGACGTTGGAGGCCGCTATTGACCTTCGTGACGTCAGAGTAGAAACGATCACCAGGGGGAGCCTGTGTGTTAAGTGCAGCTGTTTAACACTGGGAGCACTAGAGTCACTTAACCAGATGTTCAAAAGTCGACGTCTGTCAGCTGTGTGTCAGTCTGTTTTCGTCACGGAAAGTGTTAGGGACCTTGTAGGCGCTAAGTCACTTAAACTGGACGTTAGTATAGATACGGAAGAGTTGGACGCATCACGAGAAGTACTCTTGTCCCGCAAGTTCAAAGAGTGCACTTTAGTTCACCCAGCGGACACATTAACCACTCCGACAGATTACCCCAGTCTTGACCACATTCCTGTCACCACTGGTAAGTGCTTATATAATTTCTGTTTATCTAGTTGCAATTTCATCGATACGCTCCCGATGCCCTACACTTTGAGTGTCCATACCAAAGCTCTACTTACTGTTAGTATTTCACTGAACCGTTACTATCTCAACTTTTGGCGAATCGGTATATTATTCACGATACAATGCTATGATTTCATTCTTAAGACTTGAATGGGGTAACTTAAAAAATGTTCTTTAAACCAGGTTTAAATAAACGTTTGCTTACATTTGCCTCAAGTGTTATTAAATACTGCATTTCCGATGTTTGCTTTTCTGTTGTAGATGTGGTGGTGATTGATAAAAACTTTGACGTTGTTGGGTGGCGGATTCGCCTCAGTGCCGATGTCGAAGCTGTTCGACACCGATACACGGGTTTCAACGATTCCATTGACCTTTTCATCAGAACCCTGCAGATTATCATGCCGAAGGGTAAAACCTCTATCGAATCTTTAGCGGATGTTATCGGACTTTATGGACATTTAGTCGGAAGTTCATCGCTTTCTTCTGGTGTTCGGACTGATCTGGTTCGGGAATATCTATCGACAGTGAACAGTATAAGAATACTAGTAGACGACATCAAGGCCAAGTCATCCCAGGCCTCTTCCGGTAACGAAAATGATGACGATTATCAGATCATGACGTGTCTGATCAGTGAACTCCAGGACATGCTTCTACCAAATCACGTGTTCGAGGAAGACATCAGTGTCCTTGACCGGAGAGTAAATCCCGTAGAAAAACCGTTTCTAGGACTGTTATGTTTTGTACCATTACTTCTTGCTAAGCTGTCTACTGTTCTTTATACACTTAGTGCGCCAGCAATATCTAAATAAAACATGTTATACTGCAGTACTGTGTCTGATGTTGTTTACATCACATTTTTTGTTTACATGTGATGCTGAGGTTGTCAGTCAAACAATGGTGGTGTATACAATGTAGGATCCAAGCTCTATGGTATGATTATATCGGATCTCACGCATCCTTTGATTTAACTTATCGTACGTGTTCCAACATGACCAAAATGGATTTGAATAATTCCAATAATAATAATAGCACACGATTTTATTTACTGGTATGTGTTCCAGTTGCTTAGTCTATAACTGTTTTCCTATGCCTTTCACATGCAATATTAAAGTACGTTATTGTAAAATTCCACAGACCGTCATTCCTCTTGGAGTGAGCATTCACATTACAAACATGCGGCATCGCAATGCATGGTTTTATGATGAGTAAAATATGAAAATGGAATAGTCCGGATGAGTAAAATATGAAGATGGAATAGTCCGGATGGCTATCTTATATTCATGTGTTCAGACGAGACATATTCCAGACTGTGCTTATACGTTTAACTTGCTTAGCAAACATCATCCTTTGCCATAATCATATCACCTCATGTGCTGGATTATCTAGGTATTTATTCGTTTACACGAATGAATTCCGGTTTCGATATTTCAAAGGAATCATTCCAGTAGATTAGGGACAGTAATACTGTTTGTGGGCAACACTTTTATAAAAATCTCCAAGCGTTTTGACAAATCTGCTCATTGAGGGCACATGCAGCGTTATTCAAACTCATTTAACCTATAAATTTAATAAATAACTTTAGATATCACCAAACAGTACATAAACCCATGTTCTACTATCTCTCATACACGACACTAAATTCTGATAAATTTCATGACAAGATCACCCATTGTTTACTGTCAGCTGCTACAAGATGTTTGTATGGAGTCGGTCATTATCCTCAGCATATTCAAGCGTTTAATCGACGTAGCTTGCTTTTTAAGATATTGTATTGTAAATTTCGGAAAACGAAATGATCGACATTAAGATAGAATTCATTTTCAAGTTACAACGACCATTGACTGAAGTTAACTTGAAATTTGTACTACTTGACGAGTTATGATATGATGTATACGGCAGTTCCAACAGAATAAGAAGTATAGCTTATAGGAAGTCAAAAAGTACACGGCAAGACTGTGGCAGGAACCGAGACAGGAAGATCCCAACATCAATTGGAAAGGCAACGTCAGGTACAAAACAGACACCAAACAGCAGGAAAGGCAACGTCAGGTACAAAACAGACACCAAACAGCAGGAAAGGCAACGTCAGGTACAAAACAGACACCAAACAGCAGGAAAGGCAACGTCAGGTACAAAACAGAAACCGAACAGTAGGAAAGGCAACGTCAGGTACAAAACAGAAACCGAACAGTAGGAAAGGCAACTTAAGGTACAAAACAGACACCAAACAGCAGGAAAGGCAACGTCAGGTACAAAACAGAAACCGAACTGTAGGAAAGGCAACGTCAGGTACGAAACAGACACAAAACAGTAGGAAAGGCAACGTCAGGTACAAAACAGATACCAAGCAATAGGAAAGGCAACGTCAGGTACAAAACAGACACCAAACAGTAGGAAAGGCAACGTCAGAAATAAAAGAGAAAATAAAATGATTGAAATAAAGGCCATATCAAAACAATTGGGAAGAAAACAACAGAAACAAAAGATACACCACAAAAAGGAAAAGAATACAATAGGAATTAATAACATCGAGAACAATCAAGAAAACCAACAACAGAAAAATCATCATACAGGGAAACGACGAAGACAATGTGAGAAAAACACATAGGGAAATAGTTTATGATTGCGCTATCAAAAGACAACGAGAAACATTAAAAATGTCATTATGATTTAATATTGTGTTAATTATTAATGTGTATTACTTGTACAACAGAGGCACAGAAGCAATATAATAATTAGCTGCTAACAATGGCGGCATCTCCTACTGTCAGAATTACAGAGATCATCATGTAGCCAGAGTTTATTCATATTATCAATATCCAATACCCATGTAAGCATCCCTTAAAAAAACCCTCTTGTATCAAAAATAAGTAGTGTATAACGAGTTAAATTAAAAAATATAAAATACAATATCATATCGTGTACTTGTAAATTGTACACCAATGTATTGTTGAGAACTGTTTTGTAATTAAAAGGCCCATCTATCATTAAAAGTTACAAAGAAATAGAGTAAAACTAGATGTATGTGATTTCTAAGTGAGCAACACAGCCTGTGTACCGCTACGGTATACAACCTACATAACTACGTACTCAGTATATTAAATTATACAATTATATATTAGGTATACACAACTTTACAATTATATACTAAGTATGCAAAACTTCACATTTTTGTACTTGTATACAAAACTTTACAATTACATATACAAAGTATACAGTTGTATGCTGAAGAACACAAAACTATAGAGTTGTATGCTGAAGAACACAAAACTATAGAGTTGTATGCGAAGAACACGAAACTATACAGCTGTATGCTGAAGAACACAAAACTATAGAGTTGTATGCTGAAGAACACAAAACTATACAGTTGTATGGTGAAGAACACAAAACTATACAGTTGTATGCTGAAGAACACAAAACTATACAGTTGTATGCGAATAACACAAAACTATACAGTTGTATGCTGAAGAACACAAAACTATACAGTTATATACTACGCATGAAAAAATACAATTATATACTAAGTATATATAACTACTTTCTAGTATGTAAACCTTCATTACATACAGGTATACAAAGTATACAAAATTACAGTTACATACTAAATATACGAACTACAGTTATTACCAAGTATATAAAACAACTACATACAAAATATACAAATATATACAGTTATATACGAAGTATATACAAAAACATTACATAACGCTACATACAAGTAATAAAACATATAAAACTATAAAGTTACATACGAAGTTTAAACATCTGTATATTTACAAACTTAAATATTGTTCTAAAATTGAGTACATCCATTAAAAAACCTGTACATACAAAAAGAGAAAATCATAATAAAATGCTTAGGTTTTACTGACAACAACGATTATTATGGTCCAGACATGTTTCTAGGAAACAAGCAAGACATTTTTCAGCTCTTTCTAATCTTTATAAAAATGAATATTTACTTAATTTTGATGGTTTGACCCCTTTTTTTACTGGACTGTTGGTTTAGATATGGTTAAATAATTAATCCAATGCAAAGAGGGATCTGAAATAACTGTTAGGTTCGAGAGACAATCAAATGTTCTGAAGTAAGTAAACTGCACGGAAATATTAAGCCGGCGTCATCCATGCACCCCAGTCATACACACACGCTTACACACACGTATATCTTTACCTTAGCGACGCCTCTCAAGCGCATTATAAAGCAAACTGCTATGAACTCAACAGGCAAAATGAACCAAACAACCCACTCTTAATGTTTCAAATGTACCCTTTTACTATAACATAATGCACTGTCAAACAACGGATACAATACTCCAGTAAATGCTATCATCGAAATGTCATAAAATATAGCATTAAAAATTTACCAATTCTTAACATATAATAAACCAGGTATGTAAACGATGGAATAAAAAGCAAATATCAAGGGTTCTTCAAATGAAAGTGTTCACTTAACTTTGTCAAACAACTCATAACAAGGAAGGATCTATGATTGGGAGTCTGTTCCCTAATTCAGATTTTATGAACGACGAAAGGGTTTGTTCTGTGTATATCAGCTCAGATATTTTACTACAATATCCAATATCATCAAATTATTGAATAATTGGGTAAGAATATTCTCCGATTTTATAATGTATGTTTACCGATTAATTTTATGTTTAAGCCGTATTTCCATATCTTTCGTTCCTTGTATCTGAAGAGTTATACAAAAAGCTGTGTAAATTTAATACATTATTCTGGAAACAATGTGTTTTTGTGTAAATTCATACTAAAAGGCACTGTTCTTTGACGTAAGCTTTCCGCAAAATCATAGGACATCAATAAAAACTGAATCACCAAAGATTGAAGAAACCATCCCTACAGTGAATAACCATGGAGTAACATTTTTTTATTTAGTCAAGCTGATATATTCTGACATAGTGAAGCCATAGATAACACAATGACGACAGTACCATTGGAGTATCATCAGGACTGTAAATATTGGCAGTTGTTTTATAACGCTGGTTTCAATGTGATACGCCCTTGTTCTTCTTACTGTCTTTAAGTCGCTCACAGGTTGAATGAAATTTTGCCTGTCGCTTGCAGCGAGGACAAGAGGACATAGATTACCCAGAGACTAACGAAGAAGATGCTGCTGATATATTTTGGAATTTTCGGTCCGCCCAGCTCTGCGTTGCCAAAGAAACCCAAGGAACGGCGCAAGATCAGGAAGAGGATGGCAAGAATGGCGGCTATCGTATAAATGATCACCGTGAAAGCAAGCGATCCGGCGGGTACACGGAAATCGTCTCCCTAAGATAAAGATAGAGAAATATAAGTATTAATCAGCATTGATAAGTTTTAGTTCTTATTTATTCTTCTTCTGTAAAATATTGACCTTAACCATAACCTGTTACAAGTCTTAGCAAAAACTCACATAACCTGAATGTGCAGCCTCTGACGCTTTTACATATAATCTGAAACAGTGAAGCATTGGTTAAAAGCTTGTTGCTACTTACAGTTTTGGCCATCCAGTAGATAGCAGCGATGGTCCAGGGTAATCCTATTCCAAGAAACACGTTTACAGAATTACTACCATTCACATTGCCCACGGAACTGTCAGCGGTCTTTTCATTGACGGCAGCGTGCTTACTAGCGAATGTGTCGGGTACGCTCGTTCCCAGGGCGACGAAGGTGATGGCGGTGATACTGTCCGGTAAATCGATCAAACAGCCGAAGATGCCAGCTAAATCGCCGATGATGGCAGTCATGAACCCAATGGCTGCTAGAGAAAGGACAAAGGCTGGCCATCCATTCCAGTATTTTGGAGGAGGCAAGATAGCAAACAAGACCTGTGAACAACGATTTACACATACAAGATGAATTCATACAGATGTAATACTGTGAATACCTACTTATACAGATGTAATACTATGAATACTGAGTTGAACAGATGTCAGACTGAATACCAAGTTATACAAATGTAATACTGTGAATACCTAGTTATACAAATGTAATACTGTGAATACCTAGTTATACAGATGTAATACTGTGGATACTGAGTTGAACAGATGTCAGACTGAATACCAAGTTATACAGATGTAATACTGTGAATACTGAGCAGATGAACAGATGCCAGACTGAATATCTAGTTATAAACTTACCTTCCAGAAGAAAGTGAGGAAATGAAGAATGTAGTCTACGAATGTTGCTTCTTCAATTTCGCCGCCATTGACGTTCATAGCTTGTCTGAACTGACCGACCCATGTAGATTCCTCCAACTGTAGGTAATCCAGGTTTGCCTTCGTCAAATTGAAAATCCTGCTTACCAGTCCGTTAAACTCTGGAAATGATTATCATTGAATCACGATAGTGTTGACATTAATACATGAAGAAAATACCAACACGACAACATAATATAAACTTAAATTCCACAAAACTAGGCAAAATATGAAAAGAAATATTTACAGGGAAGCTCATGAAAAAATACAAGGAAAATAAGACCATGTGTTCCGGAAGAGTAAGTGTCTTCTGCTTCATTGACACCATGAAAACGTTGGTCAATCCAAGTAAGTAATGTCACGTTCTCAAATGAGAACACGATATATGACAACGAAACAAGCAAACTAACCAACATCAAACACGTCCAACTTCATATCAAAGAGAACCACAATATTTCTCAATGAGCCTCTGTCGACTAAGTACTCACTATTTGACATACCACCTCCCCTCAAGAAAAAAAGACGATATTTTCTCATGACCCTCTACAAGCCCTTCGTCTTGTGGTATGTATTATGTTATTGATGCTATCGATAGCCTACTATAGTGTATAACTGATATGAATGACTTACCTTCATCACTGACTATTGTAACAATACATTTTGAAATCTTCCCTAAAACTGCACCACCATCACAAACTGTTAGCTCCACCTGAAAACTCTCGTCTCGTTCTGGTTTCTAAAAGTATAATATAAATATATATATCAGTAATGGCATGATCTTTTGATGTAATCTGATCATTAAAATAATTGATAACGTTTTAGAGGAATATTTATAAGATAATTTCATAAACCATCATAACTAAGTTCAGTGTGTATCTCCTATTTCGCTTTACCGGCAAAAATTATGTTTACACTTTGGTAAACGTTAAGTCTGGCGCGTAGGAAGCCGGCCCGTTGTACACTTGCAGTAAAAACCCGCTACTGCGTTTATTCTAATATTTTGAAAGTATTAGATTATTTTCTTGTATAAACTGTTTTGATATTCTACAGTTGTCGGGCTGTTCTGTAGGCATATATCAAGGTAAAATAACCGACGATTATAGTTTTGAAGGGGCGTAAATATTTTAAAAATTGCTTTCAAAACGTTAAAGTTATGACTATATTTTTCTTTTTTTCCCTCATTTACATGTGTACAAAAAGTTTCAACATAATCAGCTGACACGCGTCAATTAAAATTTCTGTAATAAACATTTGCCGAAATGTATATGTCATCATTTGTTAATTTCATCTTACATTCAAACACACTTCTGATACATGTACATACCTATTCCCTAGTCTTTAAAGGTTAGTGTTACCTACCATGCTATCTAGAATAGAAATGTCGATGGTACGATTTGTCTCCCCATGGTCGAACAGGAGTTCTCCACTGCCCCCTTGGAAATCCTTGCCACTGATAGCTGTAATGTCCTTAGTCTCCCACTTGACAGACACGTGACCGTCAGCTCCGTTGACTCTTTGAACGGGGATACGCACTCGCCTGTTGCAATCTGTGGCGATGATGGTGGGCTTGGCAAATTCCAGTTTGCCGGGCTCTACAATAAAGTGTGTGATAGTGTGATTATAGAGAGAAGAGTGTTATGATTTAAAAGTCATCACGTTTATCATACATCTTGGCGGAGAGCTTTCGTGTACGATTCGCTGAAGGTAAAAACTGAGGTAAGCGGCTGATGGAGAAGATTCTGTGGTGTTTCTGATTTCAAATTCTGGTGAGTAAAGTTGTTATCTAAAGACAAGACATAATCAACATATCTAAAGGAAAGCTTAAGAGACTCGGCAAGGCATTGCGCCTTGTTTAATAAGCTCTAACCTTATTTCGAAACCAAGAAAACGTCAGCCAAGAGAGAAGAACAACTTGTTCCTAGGCCTTACCGCCACACTCAAGGAAGACATTGTAGATCTTTAAAGGCTTCTGGTAAGCAAATAATTGAGATTCCTTAGAATAATGATCATATTTTTTTTATTACCAATGATTTCAGCATCAACGACAAACAAGGGATTTTGACATTATTCAAATAAATAAGATCATGTTCCTGTAGGAGAGAAATTTTATCGGGACAATCAATCGTGACGACAAATCTAAAATGTCAAGCAATACCAGCGCTATGGCCCATATTACAGGTAAGCATGACACTTACCGTCGTCGTTGATGATGGTTACTTGGCAGATGGAAACATTGCCGAGAGCAGCATCGTGTACGTCATCATCAAACCGGATCAGCTTGACGAAAAAGAACTCATCAGGCTCCCATTCATTGTCGTCTACGATTTCGATGAAGATTTGCTCAAGTTGTTCCTTGGCGGCAAACTTGACATCCTCGTTGTAAGGGATGTAGTCTTCTGGGGCAACAGCGGTACCGTTGATGGTCTCAACCCTAAAATGTAAAGATCATGCTAGTTTAAGGGAATACTGAAGCTTTCTGTGTTAATGAAGTTTGTGATGACTAATAGTTATGATTCATATGAAGAAAACGATAAACGTATGACGGTATAGAAATGCTGTTACAATGACTGGCGACGTTATAGTAACAACAGAGCACTGAAAAGCTAGGATTGTTTTAAATATCATAATTATTGTTGGGGTTCTTACAGCTTAGATAATTACTTAAGAAAATATCAGACTAAGAGGGATGAATCATGGTATCAGCTGGCAAGCATATAAACAATAAAGTTGGCTTTTAAGGTACTTGAAGTGGCATTAAAGTATCTCTCACCGCTAAAGAGGTTTGCGATATTCTAGCAAGTCAAAGCTGTTTCAGCATTACGTTTCCTTATATTTCTTTTATCCTTGACATTCTTTGATCGAAAAACAAAACGAATTCAACGCAATGACTGGCACAATCGACACGGAAATTATTATTTAGTGTAATAATTGTTGATTTGAGCAATTCCAAATGTTATTCACAATCTGCAAAGTAAATAGTTGGTCGAAAAAGTTTTCCTAGAAATTTAGACATCATTCTATGAAAAGGATCTAAAAGTAAATATGTCCCAGTCATTTGGAATTGTAAATCTGACTTCGTAATGAAAGCTGAAAGCACACGGACATTACTGGGTCTTCTCTGTACTAATTTGTGTGTGATAGATTACACTTGTCTCATCTACGCATCTATCAAACGATGTCTCAATTTTTTGTAAAATGGCATATACCACAACACAAAAAAACCATGTTTACGTTAAATTATAAAGCAAATTGACTCGTCCCTTCTACCTAAGGTGACAATATATGTTATGGATGTAGCTGACGGTCAATGGCTTGTCTAAGTTTCCGTCTCGTCTGACCTATTGATGGTAGCAACGAGACATGCAAATGGTGTTCCTGACAGTCACTGACTTGTCTAAGTTGTCGTTTCGTCTGACCTATTGGAGGTAGCAATAAGATATGCAAATGGTGTACCTGACAAGTCACAATGAGACATGTAATGGTGTACCTGACAAGTCACAATGAGATATGTAATGGTGTACCTGACAAGTCACAATGAGATATGTAATGGTGTACCTGACAAGTCACAATGAGACATGTAATGGTGTACCTGACAAGTCACAATGAGACATGTAATGGTGTACCTGACAAGTCACAATGAGACATGTAAATGGTGTACCTGATAAGTCACAATGAGACATGTAATGGTGTACCTGACAGTAACTGGCTTGTCTAAGTTGCCGTATCTCCGGATGCCGACGCGGACTCTCTTTTCACTTTCTAACACAGAAACTGTAGCCGAAGTAAACTCGATGACTGCCTTCTGTCCACCTTCTGAATGGTCGACATCTTTAGGACTCTTTCTCTCTTCCTCTGGTAGACGTATGTTGTTGTAAATCTAAAATTGACAATGAAGATCTATTGAACAATCACTTAGTCGTAAATCACTGATTTAGTGTTAAGCTAAACCTGACACATTACACCACCACTGACGTCATGCACTTCTCGACTACAATGATACAGTAATACCAAATTGTTACAAATTCTTATTCTGTATAAGCATAGTTATCAGATTTGCCTTACTTTTTACTATAACAATATCATTTCTGATTAATGTCTTTAACCATTTCATATCAAGTGGCTACAGTCCAATGCAAACCGATTTTTACAATACAGTTTGACCTTACGTAACTGTTTCTAGAAACGACAAGAGAAGAATAGTGTTGAACATTGCCTTCAGCTTCTGACGATTTTTATTGTTGAACAAAAAACATTTCATCAAAGCTGGGTTAAACAAGGGCATCAATATTTTGTTGATAAAACTAAAATATAGGCCTATGTTCCGAAGGACGTCTCGCTCATGTTTGTCTGACGGAGCGTGAAAGCGTGGACCTACAGTAGTAATCCACACAGGAGTGCCACTGCCAAGCTGTAGCCTTCAATGAACAGAATCCAGCTCACCTAACACATGTGGCCTTCAACTGTTGTTATGAAATGTAAATTACTGCCTATTGAATGTAAAACATGTTACTGTCATCTTCAAAAGAATTATTGTTATTCTAAGAAGTGCATATGTTAAGTGCACACAATACAGTATACCAAGCAAGTGTAGTTTTTTCATGCCGACTGCTTGTCTTTGCCGACATATTAACATCTGATCGATTTCTACATATGGTGATCGACACATGCTGGCATTGATATAGCATACAAATTACTAACATTAAACGAATATTCAATAGGCAAGTTGACCGCAGGTCTTTACTGTCATCTCCAAACGTTGAATAGATTTTCGTCAAAGTCTATACAGATAAAACATCAATGGGGCCAGCATTAAAGAGAAGGGTGTGATCAACAAAGGCTTAATGATGTCTGGTCTAAATCTACAGGGAACAGGGGCGTTGTTCCAGGATTTCTGGTCTTAATCTACAGGGAACAGGGGCGTTGTTCCAGGATTTCTGGTCTAAATCTACAGGGAACAGGGGCGTTGTTCCAGGATTTCTGGTCTTAATCTACAGGGAACAGGGGCGTTGTTCCCGTTGTTCCAGGATTTCTGGTCTAAATCTACAGGGAACAGGGGCGTTGTTCCAGGATTTCTGGTCTAAATCTACAGGGAACAGGGGCGCTGTACCAGGATTTCTGGTCTTAATCTACAGGGAACAGGGGCGTTGTTCCAGGATTTCTGGTCTAAATCTACAGGGAACAGGGGCGTTGTTCCAGGATTTCTGGTCTAAATCTACAAGGAACAGGGGCGCTGTACCAGGATTTCTGGTCTTAATCTACAGGGAACAGGGGCGTTGTTACAGGATTTCTGGTCTAAATCTACAGGGAACAGGGGCGTTGTTCCAGGATTTCTAGTCTTAATCTACAGGGAACAGGGGCGTTGTTCCAGGATTCCTGGTCTAAATCTACAGGGAACAGGGGCGTTGTTCCAGGATTTCTGGTCTTAATCTACAGGGAACAGGGGCGCTGTTCCCGTTGTTCCAGAATTTCTGGTCTAAATCTACAGGGAACAGGGGCGATGTTCCAGGATTTCTGGTCTTAATCTACAGGGAACAGGGGCGCTGTTCCCGTTGTACCAGGAACAGGGGCGTTGTTCCAGGATTTCTGGTCTAAATCTACAGGGAACAGGGGCGTTGTTCCAGGATTTCTGGTCTAAATCTACAAGGAACAGGGGCGCTGTACCAGGATTTCTGGTCTTAATCTACAGGGAACAGGGGCGTTGTTCCAGGATTTCTGGTCTAAATCTACAGGGAACAGGGGCGTTGTTCCAGGATTTCTGGTCTAAATCTACAAGGAACAGGGGCGCTGTACCTGGATTTCTGGTCTTAATCTACAGGGAACAGGGGCGTTGTTCCAGGATTTCTGGTCTAAATCTACAGGGAACAGGGGCGTTGTTCCAGGATTTCTAGTCTTAATCTACAGGGAACAGGGGCGTTGTTCCAGGATTCCTGGTCTAAATCTACAGGGAACAGGGGCGTTGTTCCAGGATTTCTGGTCTTAATCTACAGGGAACAGGGGCGCTGTTCCCGTTGTTCCAGAATTTCTGGTCTAAATCTACAGGGAACAGGGGCGCTGTTCCAGGATTTCTGGTCTTAATCTACAGGGAACAGGGGCGCTGTTCCCGTTGTACCAGGAACAGGGGCGTTGTTCCAGGATTTCTGGTCTAAATCTACAAGGAACAGGGGCGCTGTACCAGGATTTCTGGTCTAAATCTACAGGGAACAGGGGCGTTGTTCCAGGATTTCTGGTCTTAATCTACAGGGAACAGGGGCGTTGTTCCAGGATTTCTGGTCTTAATCTACAGGGAACAGGGGCGTTGTTCCAGAATTCCTGGTCTAAATCTACAGGGAACAGGGGCGTTGTTCCAGGATTTCTGGTCTTAATCTACAGGGAACAGGGGCGCTGTTCCCGCTGTACCAGGATTTCTGGTCTTAATCTACAGGGAACAGGGGCGCTGTTCCCGTTGTTCCAGAATTTCTGGTCTAAATCTACAGGGAACAGGGGCATTGTTCCAGGATTTCTGGTCTAAATCTACAGGGAACAGGGGCGTTGTTCCCGTTGTTCCAGGATTTCTGGTCTAAATCTACAGGGAACAGGGGCGTTGTTCCCGTTGTTCCATGATGTCACTCTTAATGATTAACGTGGAGTTATATACATCTGCAGTTCATTTTCTGTTTAAAAGTTTTGCTGAAAATTTTGCTCTGTGCTCCCTTATAAGGGTTAGAACTCCGAGATCTTTCAAGTGCCCCACGGTCACTAAAAATACTGTATATTGATATCTTACCCCCTGGAAAGACGTGAGGACGTGGGGTACGAGACGTTTCCCGCCAGATATACCACGTGTTGCATTGATTCGGTACCACATGCGGCCGTGGGACTGATTCTCGGCGATTTTCGCAGCGGCCATTTTAGCAGCTTCATCTTCAGGCACACCGTCTTCGCGCGCCTCGTGTCCTAGCTCCTACAATTATATAACATACCACCAAACCTTAGTTTTATTAAATCATATCATGACAAAATACCACGGGTATTACATCAATGCTTCAGCCAAGGCACATTGTATGAGTGTTTCCTTGTCAGTGTATATCGGTGAACATTCTCGTAGCTTTAATTCAACATTTAAAAAAGGGGGTTTATTACATATCGTCATCAGTAAACTTATAAAGTCCGTATGTCTACCTTTGCAAGGTTCATGAGTGAAGCGTCTCCTGAGGTTTTGCTTTCCAATGCCATGGCTTCCTCGGGGTCCTTGCGGTCCTCTGTGAAATCAAACAGACCCTGTCTGGATTAATGAGGATTGTCCAAAAGACACACAAGTTAATAGCAAAATTTAATACCTATTCAGTATTATATACAATAGACCAAATCATAATACTGGTCCATCCTTCTAAAACTGCTCAGTGATCCTAAGAACATAAATTTTGAAGCCTAAGGAGAAATATACGAGAAAATCGGGAAAATGTCAAGATTGGAATGTAATTTAATGAATTTCGTAATTTTTGTCTGTATTGATAATTTCAGAAGAACGTCAGGTACATGTGTATATTCTGAACCGTGCCACTATTCAAATGAATCAAAACGTAGCATTTCATATGTCTGATGCATAGCTTAATTACAATAAAACTGATAAAAAAACCGAGCGGGATAGTTGGCATCTATTTGAGACTTACTTTGGAAGTAATACTTGTTGTTCCAATAAGTATATTTTCTAGATATTGATGTTTGTTTTATCGTTTTACTTACGTAGAGAAATGCCGACCATCCCTGACGCGTCAAGGTCCTCTTTCTTCATGCAACAGTCTCGGTCAGCAAGATAGGCGACGAGGATGAGGGCGGGGAAGAACAGAAGTGTAATGATAGCCTCCCAAAGTTCCACCCTATTGGGAGATATACCTATCAAAACGATAGCCAACCATACGTACGCAAACACGCAAGAGAAACTGGTTACTCCGAATACCTTTAGATACTTCATTTTGCGGACTTCCCCTTCCGGAATACACGAGATACATATGGCTGAGATGACCAGAAGGTTGAAGGATGCTGACCCCACGATGGTGCTGGGACCGAGTTCTCCTGCCACGAAATTGTTGCCAACGACTTCTATGACGGACAGGAGGATCTCTGGGGCACTTGTTCCAAGGGCGAGTAAACTCAGGTTAGCTACAGTGTCGTTCCATACTTTTACATTGATCTCTCGGTAACCTTCAGGCATTCCGTCGTCCGGAATTCTCACCTTCGTGGTTTTACTGGTAATACGCTCAATGGCGCACATGAAAATGTCTGCAATGATGGACACTCCCAGGAAACACCACAGCATGGCTATGAAATAAAGGGCGGCACGTGTACTGTCGGACCAAGTAAACTCGTTGATGACAGGAAGCAGGATGCCCTTGTTTGAGCATTTATAATTATAAAGCGTATATACTGTGGAATTATCCGTGTTGTTTGCAGCCATCGTTGTCATGGCCATTGTGGTATTCGCCATGTTTAGTTCTGTAACAACTGGTGTATTCCTACCTGTTGCTACTCCCTTGCTTCAGCGAATGGTTCTGTGGAATAAAAAGGACAGCGGCATGATTCGTGTGTACAAATATCGATCAAACAGGAGCTCGACACACACGCCCAACAAGGGAGTCCGTGATTGGCAATTCACAACAAAGCGGCACTTTGTAAACAACCACCAATGGGTAAATGGCACAGACTACACATAATTAATGCCATCGTTGGTCCGCCACATTTACAAAAACAGCATCATATTTAATCGGTCTGGTGAACAATATGTTGATATTAATATCATTACAATTGTTCAGCGATGAAAGTTGATGAATTGATGCGTGTAATGTGACAAGTCTAGACAATAATGTGATATGAATAAAAACAATGGAAACACAACATTTAGCTATCGTCATAATATAATATATATTGCCATTTACAGTGGTACCCGTAATCGATCGGCCCATTCTGTTGGGATTACTGGAGTTTCCTCTTCTCATCATTACCATAGTCATCAGACGCCCTCGTTATACTAATACTCGTGTTTCTCCTACCAGTAACCACACACATGATATCACCACTCACAACATATTACCATCCACGGCATATCACCATCCACGACATATCACCATCCACGACATATCACCATAAAAATACATATCACCATCCACGACATATCACCATCCAATACATATCACCATCCACGACATATCACCATCCACGACATATCACCATACAATACATATCACCATCCACGACATATCACTATCCACGACATATCACCATCCACGACATATCACTATCCACGACATATCACCATCCACGACATATCACCATATAATACATATCACCATCCACGACATATCACCATACAATACATATCACCATCCACGACATATCACCATCCACGACATATCACCATACAATACATATCACCATCCACGACATATCACCATACAATACATATCACCATCCACGACATATCACCATACAATACATATCACCATCCACGACATATCACCATACAATACATATCACCATCCACGACATATTACCATCCACGACATATCTCCGTCCACGACATATCACCATACAATACATATCACCATCCACGACATGTCACCATCCACGACATATCACCATACAATACATATCACCATCCACGACATATCACAATCAACGACATATCACCATCCACGACATATCACCATCCACGACATATCCCCATACAATACATATCACCATCCACGACATATCACCACTCACGACATATCACCACTCACGACATATCACCATCCACGACATATCCCCATACCTCACATCACGGACTTCCATGTTAATTGACTATTATTATCGCCCCGTGTATAATCAGTTACGATGATTTTTTTTTCCATTAGCTAGATGCTATATCACTACACTTCATGCAGGAGGCCCGCCGCATGCTATACAGAGTCACTGGTGTCTTGCACAAGGAGACAGCTACAACAACACAATGGTTTGTGATATCTCAGCTTCCTGAGAAACACAACCCTCCTTGGTAGGGTTCGAACCACACACCTCGGATTTCCCCCTGCAGTGTTGCATTGTCCTAGCTATAGTGATATCTAGCGGATTTTAAGCATGGCTAACGATATCGTTTGATGTCACTCGCATGTACACCATTAAATGGCAATTAATTAGTTATCATTTCCTGGCGGAACTCGTTCAATACCTGGTATAAAGCTAACTGGATATTACACATAATGATAGCAAGTGTTAGAGGCTTTATAAACATTGTTATTAGTATACTTCCTAGTCTCTGAGGAAATGCTAGAGGGTACAGCATAATAACATAATTATCTTCATATGTTAGGTTCTGGCCCATGGAAAGGAACTTTATGTTTCATTACCTCGTTATTCTAGCGCGTGCTTCTAATTTTCAAGAAAGGGTCTCTATCGTGCTAAATCAGGCACAACTGTTCCAGTTAATAGAGAGTCGATTTTACTCGCTGTTATACAACCTGTCTTCTTACTGACTGAACGCAGCACGAAATTAGTATTACTCTTCAACAGGGAATTGTTAATATACATATCTTTGTAGTCTGTGAAATATTAATGCAGTGAGCCATGTAGGCTAACAAATAAACGTTACCATCCTTTAAGACTTCGTTCCCTTAGGTTATGCCCTAACAAACATACTTCTCTTTTGAAGTATTGAGTATATACCTATCCACGGCTTTACAATCATGCAGGTTAATTCCGGTATATTTCATAGCAGTATCTTCAAAAAACCAACAACGTATGTCGGATATCATCACCTGATAACTGTACCAACTCCGAGCGCTGCTAACACAACAGAAAAGGAGCAAAGAGTAGCAACATGACTTAGTAGCATGCCAATTAAATGTAGCAAACTTTTAAAATATCACGTATGATTTAGCATTTTATTTTTTTCACTTTATATTAGTGACTTGAGTGTAAATAACTTTCCATGATATATATAATTTCAAACAGACACAATCATTTCCTCTGCCATCAAATTCATCAAAATTTAAAACGAACTCCTGATTTTCACAGATAAAAGCTCAATCCTTAAAGGACTATATGGTTAAGAAAGCGATCAGATGTTAAGAAGAGAGGAATGTGGCTACCTGTTAAGTAACTAGGAATGTGGCTAGATGTTTAATAACTAGGAATGTTGCTAGATGTTAAGTAACTAGGAATGTTGCTAGATGTTAAGTAACTAGGAATGTTGCTAGATGTTCAGTAAATAGGAATGTGGCTAGATGTTTAGTAACTAGGAATGTGGTTAGATGTTAAGTAACTAGGAATGTGGCTAGATGTTCAGTAACTAGGAATGTGGTTAGATGTTCAGTAACTAGGAATGTGGCTAGATGTTTAGTAACTAGGAATGTGGTTAGATGGAATGTGGTTAGATGTTCAGTATGTTCAGTAACTAGGAATGTGGTTACATGTTCAGTAACTAGGAATGTGGCTAGATGTTTAGTAACTAGGAATGTGGTTACATGTTTAGTAACTAGGAATGTGGCTAGATGTTCAGTAACTAGGAATGTGGCTAGATGTTTAGTAACTAGGAATGTGGTTAGATGTTCAGTAACTAGGAATGTGGTTACATGTTCAGTAACTAGGAATGTGGCTAGATGTTTAGTAACTAGGAATGTGGTTACATGTTTAGTAACTAGGAATGTAGCTAGAAGTTCAGTAACTAGGAATGTGGCTAGATGTTAAGTAACTAGGAATGTGGCTAGATGTTAAGTAACTAGGAATGTGGCTAGATGTTAAGTTACTAGGAATGTGGCTAGATGTTTAGTAACCAGGAATGTGGTTAGATGTTAAGTAACTAGGAATGTGGTTAGATGTTTAGTAACTAGGAATGTGGTTACATGTTTAGTAACTAGGAATGTGGCTAGATGTTCAGTAACTAGGAATGTGGTTAGATGTTCAGTAACTAGGAATGTGGCTAGATATTCAGTAACTAGGAATGTGGTTGGATGTTAAGTAACTAGGAATGTGGTTAGATGTTTAGTAACTAGGAATGTGGTTGGATGTTAAGTAACTAGGAATGTGGTTAGATGTTAAGTAACTAGGAATGTGGCTAGATGTTCAGTAACTAGGAATGTGGTTGGATGTTAAGTAACTAGGAATGTGGTTACATGTTCAGTAACTAGGAATGTGGCTAGATGTTTAGTAACTAGGAATGTGGTTACATGTTCAGTAACTAGGAATGTGGCTAGATGTTTAGTAACTAGGAATGTGGTTACATGTTTAGTAACTAGGAATGTGGCTAGATGTTCAGTAACTAGGAATGTGGCTAGATGTTAAGTAACTAGGAATGTGGCTAGATGTTAAGTAACTAGGAATGTGGCTAGATGTTAAGTTACTAGGAATGTGGCTAGATGTTTAGTAACCAGGAATGTGGTTAGATGTTAAGTAACTAGGAATGTGGTTAGATGTTTAGTAACTAGGAATGTGGCTAGATATTAAGTAACTAGGAATGTGGTTACATGTTTAGTAACTAGGAATAGGGCTAGATGTTCAGTAACTAGGAATGTGGTTAGATGTTCAGTAACTAGGAATGTGGCTAGATATTCAGTAACTAGGAATGTGGCTGGATGTTAAGTAACTAGGAATGTGGTTGGATGTTAAGTAACTAGGAATGTGGTTGGATGTTAAGTAACTAGGAATGTGGTTAGATGTTAAGTAACTAGGAATGTGGCTAGATGTTCAGTAACTAGGAATGTGGTTGGATGTTAAGTAACTAGGAATGTGGTTAGATGTTAAGTAACTAGTAACTTCGATTAGAATTTCGGTACCTATAAAGTGTGGTTTTCTGTAGCAAGGAAAGTAGATACCAAGAGAGTTAATTATATTGAGGAGATTTTTGACAGCTAGTTAATACTCGTTCAAGTTGTTCAAATAGAAACATTTGTTTTGTTTCACTTCACTTTTCACATTGTGTCATTTCGCTTCGTAAGGTTTATATATTAATAGGCTTTCCGTCATGGACACTAGCTTCAAGGTACGCCCAAGTGAATAAAAAAATCTTATTTAATGTGTAGTTCTCATATACACAACATATTTAATGTGACAAAGTATGACTCACTCGAAGTGACTTGTAACTTCTGGTTATGTGAGGGCGGGCCTGAAGTGCTGAGAATGGCGTAACTGCTAAAACGTTCATACTCTTTTATATTCCCCATCAAAGGGAAATGTTACCTAGGCTGAGCTGATAATTTCTTTTTAATATATATTAAGTTCAAAATACATGTACAAGTTTTTGCCCCTTATGTACACACATATGTAATTTGCCCATAAATTAACTTTTCTCTGTAGAATCCTGTGTGTTATGTACATGTAATAGGTTGATTAGAAATTAGCAAAGCTTGAAAACAACAACAACACCAACAACAAACATGACATTCAGCGTATCGCGTCCTGCTTGAGTGATGTAATATTGATATAATATTCTAACAGAATCGCTCCACTATATTTTGCTGTAGTTTTCCGTGAAAAGGTTTTATTAGCCAATGGTATGAATAATACAGGTTTATAATTT